CCTTAAGTTCTGTCACTAAGGCTTGTACCTCCGGTGGAGCTCGGGTTGGTTTGGTGTTCTCCTTGGCTGGAACTGAGGTAGTCAGTGGGCTGCTGCGTGGTCCCTCTGCCGTCAGCAGTTCGTTAATCTTTGGCACTTTGGCATTGTTTCTCTTTAGCTTGTTCAGCCTCTCCATTTCAAGATTGGCTGCCTCATTCAGTCTTCTCAATCAAGATTTCATCAGTCACATCCGGGTTGTCGAGAAGCGACTTTATCTGAAACTTAATGTTGTCATTCAGTAGACCTGTACCCACTGACCTCAGAAACTTCCTCTTGACCAAATCTGCTCCATAGTGCTCCTCCTCTTTTCCTCTGGATATATACACAGCAGCCTGTCTTTCAGCTCAATGGCTCTGAAGAGGAACTCTTGAGGAGACTCTTTTGGGTCCTGGGAAATGTTGATCAGTTTTTGATACAAGTCTGATGTATCATCTTCTCTGTAATGTCCTTTCAGTATTGTTTTTAACTGAGTGAGTGTCAAATCAGTCTTTATTTCCAGCATGTCACGAAGTTTGAGCCCAGGGCTGATGGCTCTTATCACTGCTTCAATCACCTCTGGCTCACTGTGGCCTTTGCGGAGCCCATTGTCTATTTGATGGAGCAGGTTGGTATAGGACAGCCTGTCACGTTGTCCACCCTCCCCTATCTGGCCACTGATCCGAAACTCTCTACGGATGGTTACTTCAGGGATCTTTCCTGGTACAGGATTATGAGCCGGACTGGGTGCGGCGTCTGCCATGTTCAGCTTCTCCTCTATCGCTCTGATTTCTCTCTGTAGCTCCTTGTACCTTTCAGACGCACGGGAAAAATCACGCCACTCCTCAGCATCGCCTTTCGACCCAGTGTGTCCTATGGCTAATAAAAGTTGTTGCACATACTGGATGGCTTCCTCGAGCTCGTAGTCTGTCTCGACTTCATCCAGTTTATGTTCGATTATTTTCATTAGCGCTCTGCGGCTCATGTCCTTAAGTAACCCTTTCCTGCCTCCTTTGCGCGGAGATTCAGTGCGAATGAACTAGCTACAACACGCAGCAGCAAGCGGACTTTTCTTTGCCTTGAAAATTACGTTTTCAGCTAGGATATCGCTTTCTGTCCTGACGAGCTGATAAAGTACCTTGCAGAAGTTCTTCCAGGAGTAATTTGGCGACCAATGCGTCAGTCTTTAAGCGTCTGCTTCAGTAGTATCGCTGGAATGTTCAAGTCACCTTAGTTTGGCTTCGCTGCTTTTCCCCTTGTCTTCTTCTTTCAGGACCTCAAAAACGGACTTTCTTTTGCGGCTAACTGCTCCTGGATTTTGCGCCATTGCAACAAACTTTGTGCTAACTGCGAAAGATATAGGTCAAAAAAAGCCGCTAAGAACTGTTGCGTTGGTGGAGTAAACAGCGTCTTGCGTCTGTGGACTGCGTGACAGTCGTACGTAAACCACGTACCGGCGGCGCGCAGGCAGGTCAGTTACGCTAGAAACGTAGGGAGTTTGATTGATAGCCTGTCAGCTAACAGATAACGAGGCAATGTCGTTATCTATTGGCAAATGTTTAGCTGGCCCACCACGTCCAGAGTTGATGAATTTTTATTCTCTTTTTTTGGTCATCATAATTACAAGGCTACTGCACCTCTATAATGCTATCATTGACAACTTGAAACAAAAAAAACGAAAAAAAAATCCTCCATACAACCTTTAAGTAACCCTTCCCCTGCCTCACATTTTAGCAGGTTACAGGCTTCTACGAGCTGATCCTTGCTTCTTTGGCATAAAGTAGTAGTAAGTTCGTCTCTCAGATTTTCTAGCTCCATTTTGCGTACTCACAAATCAACTTGTTATCCGTTGTTCCAGGTTCGTTTTTGGAGAGAGGTTTTTTTCAGCAGCGCGAGGACGCTAACGTTTTCGGCTAACGGTTACTAACAAAAGTCCTTTTTCTCACGCTCAAAGTTCGTTTAAAACCAATCTCCTGGCTGGCTCGCCATGATGTTACAGATCTTTAGGCACAAAAACGATTCCGTTCTCTTCCACAGGGGATATTTATTACAAAGCCACACACAATTTTTTTAAATCGGCTGTAACAGTCCCCGCTCCCATACCGTGCCTAGCCGCGGTCCAAAACAAAAAAAACACACGTCAGTCTAGTTCAAGGCACGTACCAAGAAACTGTGCGGGGCGTTCAAATACATCTCGCAAAAACAACAACAATCAGAATTCAAACAACAAGAACAATCAGAATTCAAAACAACAAGAACAAGGGTACACTAATTCATCACAATCATGCGTAACTGTAAAGTCATTAATCAAGTCTCTCACATATGTTCTAATGTAGTTTCAGCATCACAAACAGACCTGGAGTTGTGTTTTCTTCAAATTTTTCTGTTTTGTCCAGATAAAAGTTTAATAGACAGGACTCCCAAAATTTGACGACTAGTTGCTATAATGAAGAAATATTTGTACCGTATTTTCCGGGCTATTAGACGCGCTCTTAAGCCTCCAAACCCCATCAAAAAACGACCGCGCGCCCCACAATCCAGAGCGCCCAGCACGACTTCAGTAAACTACAAAGCCGCAAACACACACGGAGCAGACAGCGGCCGCGCGGCGAAAAACACCAACAGCCACACTCATCACTCCACGCCGACGAGGAACGGAACGGAGGAACGAACCGAAAAAGCGAGTCCAATGTGCCACTTCTAGAAACAACCGAACAACTGAGTCACTGCGAACAGGCCGACAATCCAGCGATCCCAGACAGCACCCTCCCTACACGCCACAACTGAACAAAGCCCAGAGTCACCGTGAACGAACAAACAAACAAAACCACTCACCCATCACACTGTTGTGTTTCCTTTAAAGTCCGGTGCGGTTTATTTGTGAAAAAAGTTTGAAAATAGACCATTTAATGACAGTGCGTTTTATAATCCAGAGCGACTAATAGCCCAGAAAATACAGTACGTGAAAATACTGAGCTCAAAATTGACCTTTGACCCTTATTTGTCAGTTCCTGTTCTCTTCCTTTGTGTTATGAGTCAAAAAGGAGGAGTCGTGCCAAGACCAAAGCCAGGAACTGACATGATCATTATTATTGTCTTGATTTTCCCAGACTTTCCCCCATTATAAGAAAAACACCTCACCAAAGTTGAGTCATCATGGTGTTTGTCTGAAATGATCTAGAAGAGTTTTGATTTTCCTGTTTAGTGCTGATCAGGATCGTGTGGTGACACTTACACAGTTAAACAGTTTGACACAAGTGACTTAGCAGTATAGTGTGTACAGTTCGAATAAATACACAAAATACTTTGACATTAAAGATCATTTAAGTGTAACGTATTTTTGAACTATAAGTCGCTCCGGAGTTTAAGTCTCACCAGTCAAAAAACACATAATGAAGAAGAAAAAAACATATTTAAGTCACACTTTTTGGGGGACATTTATTTTATAAAATCAGAGACCAGGAACTGACATTTCATGTTGAAAGTCAAGTTGTAGTAAAAACTATAGAACAGAGAACAACAGACACATATGAACAGTTCTTCAAATAATCTATAACATAAACAACAGAACAGAACAAGTTTACCAAACTCTCCAACTCACTCCAAATTAGGGAAGGGCATGATTAGTTGATTAATCGATAATTGATCATTCAGAATTTTGTCGATTACGTTCATTTTTAATCGACAAACTGAATGTAGGTCGCTGTGCGTAGTGTAGAGTGACCAAATGTCCGTTTTTCCCCGGACATGTCAGGTTTTCACGTCTTGTCCTGGCCGTGTTGCTAACACAGTTGCCAACACAGAATGTCTGTCTTCGTCTACATCCATCTCGACGCTTTGTTTACAGTTGTGCTGTTCTACAAAAGGCACACAGACAGACGCGACGAGTTTGAAGTCATGGCTTCACGGCTCTTCGTTGATTGGTCGGTGCGTGTTCTACAACTTCCGGGGTTCTTGTAAACCGTCTAGTGTATTTTGATTCCCGCTCTAGTCGCTGGAGAGAAATGAAATTGAGTGGAGGCACTAGGTGGCGCCAGTCTGACTAGTCTCAAATATCCCCAAAATGACATTAACAAACGTGATGTTACAGCTTTCTGCTTTTGTAGGGCAGTGTGCTGAACTAAAGGGAAAAGGAGCTTGAACTTGAAAACTACCACATCACAGGGTGGAACAGAGCATTTTGAGCTTTAGAGATGTAGACAGATTAATAATGAAAGGTTACTAAACATGTGTGAATGAAACAAAACACAACTCCAGCTCTGTTTTTGTTGAGGTAACATTATAACACGACTTAAAGGTTGTATAGAGGATTTTTTAAGGGAAGCAAAATACAGCGACCGTCCTTTTTCAAATGTTGTGTATGTGTGACACCACCTTCCTCAGTAGAAACATCTCCTCCTCCCGCCTCTTTACTCTAGAAATCACATTTGTTTACATCCAGTGCATGTTCAGAATCACTGTTGAAGTGACCTGCCTAGAAATATTTTAGCGACCGACGCGTCAGTTTTTAGTCCCTTCGGACTTTCTTTTGCGGCGAACTGCTCGTGGATTCTCGTCCACCACCGCAACAAACTTTGTGCGAATTGCGAGGGAAGCTACAGTTTGAAAAAGCCTCAAAGAACCGCTGCATAAACCACGTAATCCCCGAGCGCTGACGACTCAGTTACACTAAAAATGTAGGGAGTTTGACTGACAACGCCAATAGAAAAAGAGGGAGCCTCGTTTTCTATTGGCTGATGTTTATCTGGCCTCACTACGTCCACAGTTGATAGATTTTCATTCTTTCTTTTTTTTTTTCGGTCATCATAATTAAAAGCTGCTGCGTCTCTGTAATGGTATTTTAAACTTTCAATGCCAATTTTAAACAAAACAAAAAATCCTCCATACAACCTTTAAAGCTCTTAGGAGTCCATATGGTGTAATACGTAAGGCGTTTATGTTCCATCTTTAATATTCTGTGTGTTTTTTGCTTGTTTGGGTTGCAGGGACGTTCATCACAGAGTGGACAGACGGCGCTAAAGTGTGTGAGGACTTCCTGAAGGACGAGGAGTCGTACCGCGCTGTAGCCGACAAACTGGTGCAGATCTGTCACTGCTACGGCTTCGACGGCTGGCTGATAAACATAGAGAATGAACTGAGCGTGAGTCCTGGAAATACGTAAAAATAAATTATGCAACACTGAATCATAATATTTAGTTTTATACCAAATTATAATAAGGCTTTACTGTCCTTTCTAACTCCTAGTATCATTAGTCAATTTTAGTTTTCACCAATGCCAGAAATTGTATTGGTCGACTAATCATTTTATTTAGATGATAAGGATTTATATGGATCACAGTAGAGGGGAGAATTATATTTATATTAGAAGGTATTTTTTTGGTATTTCAATGTACAAATGCAGATAAAACTCATGATTTACAAGTTTAATCTGGCTTTATATAAATACAAAGTTTCCTTATAGTGTTTCTGCATAAATAGTAGTTTTTACATGAGCGCCCCCTGCAGGTGAAGCCTTGTGAGTGCAGTTTGGGTCAGAAACACTAAAATACTTTATGTAATAGTTTTGAGAGCTTTTCCCACGCTCCCTTTTTAGTCAACCAATCGATCAACAAAATTAAAACAGAAAAGAAAATCATAATCATTATGTTGTAGTACTCGAAAACGTTTTTTTACTCTGTCTCGTCTTGGACTCAAGGTCTGACACTCGTCGAGCGCGATCATATTTCATTATGGCAATAACCTGTGGTTGAAGTTTGTTTAATAAAAGTGCACAAATGCATCTTTATTTGTCACGACGTGCGTTTGGTGAATGTACAGAGACTAAATCCCACCGCAAAACCAGTAAGAGAATGTAACTCTAGTTAGAAACTTGAAAAAACAGGTTTAAAAGTCCTACCCATTTCACTTTTTCACAGTTTTGTGTAAACTCTTAAAAAAGTGGTTCTCTGTGGGTGAGAGTCCAAAAACGGGGCGTGTTTAAGTGCAGTACAGTTTGCTTGGCTTTTTTTATGTCTAAATTAACATTTATGAGATTAAATGAAGATAAATGTATTAAAAAAACCAAAAAAACATTGATATATATGTGTCAAAATAACTCAAATACAAACAAGTGCAATCAGTGAGAGCAACCTGGTCCTCATGAGGCGTCGGTGGGTCAGTTCATCACCACAGAAGCAGTTTATGAGGAGCCCAGCCCATATCACATGATCATTATATCCACAATGTAATGTGTGTATGTGTACAGGCCCATGAACATTTGTGTGATATTGGTCACACATGAGAATGTCTGTGTTTACTAGTGTGTAACCAAAATGTCATTTTTCATGAGTTGTGTGTCTGTTAGTTGTGTGACTGTAGATCAGTGTGTTGTGTATCACCAGGAAAAGAAGAAATTAGAATATTAACGGCTACACTGAAAGAGAAAGGAACTGTTATAATTAGTGATTATCTCGAAAACTATTAATATTTTACCATACAAAATTATAAATAGATCATCATTTTTCTGAGATTTTGAGACACTCCTGTTGCTCGAGCTCGGTCCTTCGCGGAGTTATGACCAAAAACGCATATTTGACCTTGGTTAACCTTGACCTTCAAGTGACCTTGACCGGTTTCAACCTGTCACATCCAGTGTGCCCCGGTTATGTGTGTGCCAACTTGTGTGATGATTGGGTGAATATTTTAGCCCGCAGATGGTTCAGAAATTGACGAAATTGCCTTCATCCTTTATAACGACGTGACCTTTCAATTGACCCGTGTGACCTCAAATGACCTCGGATCGTCACCAAACTTTTTTTTTGCAGCATCGGACACGGGGGCTTGACCAACGTACCAAATTTGGTGACAATCAGTCCATAAATGGCGGAAATAACGCAGGTGGACAGACATGCATAACAGACGCACACAGGGCGAATACAAAACCTGGTCAAACCGTCAGGGACCAGGTAATAAATGTGTGACTACAACACTACATAATCAATATGAGGATTTGTTTTTTCTTTTTTGGTCACATCGCTCAGAAACATATTATACTGTACATACTGTATTTTTCTTATCAAAACAAACTTTGGTTTCATTGATTAACTCTGTAGATGTTGTTTGTCTTCCTCTTCAAAGCTCAAAACACAAGACAAAAACAAGACATGCCGGTAATTCAGGAAGTGTTTTTAAACTCCATGCTTTTTCATCAGAATGAGGCTGACGAAGGAGTGTGGACTTTAAAAACACTTCCTGAATCACTTTTTCAATCTCACATATCCCTTGAAAACTTGAAAAAAAGTTTGTAAAAGCTGAATTTCTGTTTAGTTTAACTCCGTAAAAAGCCTCGTTTATAAATGAACCATTTCTTGTACATCAGCACCGTCGAAAATGTACATCAAAACAAGGACACGTTTTGACTTCACCTTATTTTGGTTCAAAGCCGAGTACTTTTAGTCAGACCATATTTATATATTTACATCTACACCTCGGGCATGGGTACAGTGGTTTTATTACCGCAAGTGTTTCAGCTCTTCAAAGATCTGTTGGTTTATCTATATCGAATCTCCCACAAGTTCTGACTAGACTGTTGTGTTCTCTTTACCTAACCTGACCTTAACTCCTCTTTTTGGAATCCATGTGTGTCCTTTCCAAAGAGAAAGCGTTTATTTTTATCATGAAAGAGCGTGGGTTTTACTTCTGTGGGGCTGAAAATGCTTAGTTTGAGTTTAGATTACGTTTAGATTACGATTATTTTCACAGAAGAGAAGTCCTAAGGGCAAATTTGAGGAAAAGTCAGTAAACCATTTTTATTTTTTTTATATAATTTGAGTGTGCTGATTCAGAATATTTTGTTTACCAAGCTGGATTTTGAGTTCTAAGCCTTCTAATTTGCATATTAATACAAATATATATATATAAAACTTATGAATATATTATCCATCCATTCATCAGTGGAGTTTTAAGTCTCGTCTTAAGACAAACTTTTATTCTCTGGCTTTAATGCCGCGTGAGTTGTGTACTCCTCTGTGTTTTTTATTTATTTTTATGTGTTTTTATTGGTTTTATTGATTTAATTCATTGATTTGATTGATTGCATTTATGTAGCGCCTTTCAAGATACCCAAAGCGGTTTATTGGTTTATTTATTTCTTATTCTATGTTTATTTATTTATTATTCTATGATTTTATTCTTATTTTATTTTACAGTTTTTTATTATTTTATTTTATTTTTAACTTGACAAATTATATAAAAAAAAAAAGACTAGTATTATTTTAGTAGTTTATTCTATCATTTTATTATTGTTGTTATTATTATGTATTTGTGCAGCACTTTGGAAACGGTTTGTTTGTGAAATGTGCGACAGAAATAAAGTGGATTGGATTGGATTTATTCTCAAATAAAGAATGAAAACTGTCGATAGTAAACAGAGATAAATGAGCAATCACCTAGAATCTAAACCGAGTAGAAATCTGAATCAGGAATGTGTTTCATTTCTGCTCATCAAATGAAGGAAATGAAGGACGCCAGCTTTAATTTTTAGTTGTTTTTATTTCAGTTGTTTTTATATTCAGCTTGGTAAACTAAATATTTGGAATCAGCAGCCTCAAATTATGGGAAATAACACGTTTACCGAATTTTCCTCAAATTTGCCGTTAGAACTTTTTCTGAACGCATTTCTTAGAACTATTCTCAATCTAAACCTGGTGGTGTTGTGTTCCAGGCGTCTGCGGTGGAGACCATGCCTCTGTTCCTGCGGTACCTTACGGAGCAGATCCACGAAAGGGTGTCCGGGGGTTTGGTTCTGTGGTACGACAGCGTGGTGCAGACGGGGAAGCTCCAGTGGCAGAACGAGCTCAACCAGAACAACAGGTCAGAACACGCGGGGGTCAGAAGACACGGGGTCAGAAGACACGGGGTCAGAAGACACGGGGGTCAGAAGACACGGGGTCAGAAGACACACGGGTCAGAACACACGGGAGTCAGAACACACGGGGTCAGAAGACACAGGGTCAGAACACACGGGGTCAGAAGACACACGGGGTCAGAAGACACGGGGTCAGAACACACGGGGTCAGAACACACAGGGTCAGAACACACGGGGTCAGAACACACGGGGGTCAGAACACACGGGGTCAGAACACACAGGACAGAACACACGGGGTCAGAAGACACACGGTCAGAACACACGGGGGTCAGAAGACACAGGGTCAGAACACACGGGGTCAGAACACACGGGGTCAGAAACACACGGGGGTCAGAACACACGGGGGTCAGAACACAGGGGTCAGAAGACATGGGGGTCAGAACACACGGGGGTCAGAAGACACAGGGTCAGAAGACACAGGGTCAGAACACACGGGGGTCAGAACACACGGGGGTCAGAAGACACGGGGTCAGAACACACGGGGGTCAGAACACACGGGGTCAGAAGACACAGGGTCAGAACACACGGGGGTCAGAACACACGGGGGTCAGAAGACATGGGGGTCAGAACACACGGGGGTCAGAAGACACAGGGTCAGAAGACACAGGGTCAGAACACACGGGGGTCAGAACACACAGGGTCAGAACACACGGGGTCAGAAGACACAGGGTCAGAACACACGGGGGTCAGAAGACACAGGGTCAGAACACACGGGGGTCAGAAGACACGGGGGTCAGAACACACGGGGTCAGAAGACACAGGGTCAGAACACACGGGGGTCAGAACACACGGGGTCAGAACACACGGGGTCAGAACACACGGGTCAGAACACAGGGGTCAGAACACATGGGGGTCAGAAACACAGGGTCAGAAGACACAGGGTCAGAACACACGGGGGTCAGAACACACGGGGGTCAGAACACACGGGGGGTCAGAACACACGGGGTCAGAAACACACGGGGGTCAGAACACACTGGGGTCAGAAGACACAGGGTCAGAACACACGGGAGTCAGAACACACGGGGTCAGAACACACGGGGGTCAGAAGACACAGGGTCAGAAGACACAGGGTCAGAAGACACAGGGTCAGAACACACGGGGGTCAGAACACACGGGGGTCAGAAGACACGGGGGTCAGAACACACAGGGTCAGAACACACGGGGGTCAGAAGACACAGGGTCAGAACACACGGGGGTCAGAAGACATAGGGTCAGAACACACGGGGGTCAGAAGACACAGGGGTCAGAACACACGGGGGTCAGAACACACGGGGGTCAGAAGACACAGGGTCAGAACACACGGGGGTCAGAAGACACAGGGTCAGAACACACGGGGGTCAGAACACACGGGGTCAGAAGACACGGGGGTCAGAACACACGGGGGTCAGAAGACACAGGGTCAGAACACACGGGGGTCAGAAGACACAGGGTCAGAACACACGGGGTCAGAACACACGGGGGTCAGAACACACGGGGGTCAGAACACACGGGGTCAGAACACACGGGGGTCAGAACACACGGGGGTCAGAACACATGGGGGTCAGAAGACACAGGGTCAGAACACACGGGGTCAGAACACAGGGGTCAGAAGACACAGGGTCAGAACACACAGGGTCAGAACACACAGGGGTCAGAACACACGGGGTCAGAACACACGGGGGTCAGGGGCATGTGAAGTGGGAATAACTCATAATCAGGTGTGGTTGTAACACTCAAGACCAGCACATCGCACATATAATCCTGTGCACCTTCTAGTGCTAAAAATATGGTAAGTATTTTAAATCAAAGTGCATCTCACAGGTTTTTATCGCTTTCTAATTTTGACGTAAAGGTGCACTATGTAACCTTTTGTTTGGGGGCCCGTCATCTGCTTGTTTTTATGGATATGTCACTCGAGACCGGCGAATCACAGACACACACTCTCCCATCACGCGGTTTGTTCACAACAGCGTGTTGTTCCCTTGCGTGCCAGCGTGAATCACAGGGCAGACTAAACTTTTTAAAACATCCTGCCTGTTCACCTGCATCGGCTCAGTCGCGCTGATTAGATCAGAAGGGCAAAAGACGAAATGCGAAGCAAAACCTAATCAAAATTTATGCTACAGTGTCGGTACAGTAGCTGAAGTTTGCCTAATAAAATGCCAAATAAATCTTTGTTTGTCATGACTGTTAGACAGTTTAAGTAATTTATCTTCCACGTACATCTCAGTTTAACATTGACTCACAAAAGCTTTATTTATACTATGATCTTCCCTTGACACACCATTGACACACCATTTTCTAACTCAGGGGTGTCAAACTCATTTTGGTCCGGGGGCCATATCCAACCGACTTTGATCCAAAATGGGCCGGATCAGAAAACTCATGTCATATAAACCCAAAAAATAATAGTAAGTTTTATTTGTGCAAAGAAAAGCAAATCTATTACATGAATCTTTTTTAATTGATGAACTCTTTCTTTTACAAAATATTATAATATTATGAATAGGGCTGGTATCATTAAGGAGTTGCCGATACGATACATACCTCGATACACAGGCCACGATACGATACATATCTCGATACAGTGCACTTTTGATTCGATATGATATATTTCAAATCGATTCAATACGGTTCAATAAAAAATAAAGGCTAAATCGTGGCTCTGATACTAAAAGTCTTTGTTAAATCACTTCTTGTGAAAAGTTCATATGAAACACAAACATTTTAATCATCAAAACAGTAAAAATATCAAATGTGTCGCATAAATGAGTTTCCTTTCACTCCACAAGCAACAAAAATGTAGCTCTGTAACATAATAATTTAGTAAAACACACCTAAAAATACTCTTGGTGAAATATCGATACGGCAGCTCACGATATCGATACCGTATCATCACATTAAACGATACGATATATCGATATTCCGATTTTTTTTATTATGAACAACCTGAAACTTTAAGAAAAATGCAATTTCAACACAATGTTTTAACATGAACTTGTATGTAAATAGGAATAAGTCAGTTTTTCTTGGAAAATCCTGCACTCGGCTCCACTTTTCTCATGTTGGACATTTTTCTGATGAGGGTGTCACGGTCAACAGTCAAAACGATCGTCCTTTAAGAGCGTTTGGAAAGAGACAAGTCTTCATTTGTGCTGCTCTGGTGGGAGGGGCCACGTACAGAGACGCTGGAGACGCTGCTGTGATAAACACTGCAGAAAATTAACAATATTTTAATAGAAAATAATTGAAATATTTTAGTAGAAAATCAGTCGAGTGCCAGATTAAAGGTCTTGGAGGGCCGGATATGTTTGACACCCCTGATCTAACTTGTGCCTACTGGTCTTCATAGTCTCACCACTCGCTTTATAAACCTCCTCTTCCTCTGGAAGCAGAGTCAAGGGGCTTGAACACTCTAAATCAATGAATCACACTATGTTCACTTTTGAAATCACACTATGTTGATTTTTCAAGTCCCCTCAGGCCTGTATTACTGATGATAAATAAACTTATGATAAATATACTCCTGCGTAAGACGTCCTGTTGGTCTCCAGCCTTTTACTTCCACCTTTTCTTGGACAAGCTGAAAACTTCGACAACAATGACGTGTATTTGTTAAATGTGCAGAGGCTAAATACCACTGCAACCAGTAAGAGAATGTAACTCCAGTTAGGAATTTGAAAAAACAGGTTTAAAAATTCAACCTACTTTATTCGTTTTGAAGCGATTTTCTGTAAAGCGCCAGTGGAAGTTCTCTTAAAGAAGGGGTTCTCAAACTGAGGCTGAGGGTCCAAAAAACAAGCGCAGAGTGTTTACAGTTTGGTTGGCTTATGATCAAGCCTAAATGAACATTAATCAGATAGAATGGGAATAGATTTGTAAAAACATTGATACATATGTGCCAAAATAACTCTAAAATACAAATAAATGTAGAAAATGACAAAGATGGCCTCGATTTGGTCTCGATGGGCCGTGGTCTTGGTTTTGTCTCGGTCTCAAGGCATCAATTCTTCAACAATAAAAACACATAAATGAAAATCTGGTGCGTTCTACAGTGAAATGCCACTAAGGCTGATGAATTCTGACGTTTTCTTTACTAAACCATTTTAGATTTGTGGTTTACAATCCACAAAATGTAAAATATGGTCTATGTATGTTATAGTTTATTGCAATGTGAAATGTGAAATGAAAACAACATTTATTTGTGTCGAGCATCCGTCTCAGTTTATTTATTTACGTGAATAATAAATAAAGTGTGTATGTTTGTTTTCTCAGGCAGTTCTTTGAGGTGTGCGACGGCTTCTTCACAAACTACAACTGGAACGAGCAGAACCTGGAGTGGATGAAGGGCTACAGCGCCGTGCAGGGCAGAGAGGCGGACGTTTACATCGGGGTGGACGTGTTCGCGAGAGGAGACGTGGTCGGGGGAATGTACGAAACCAACAAGGTACGGCACTCATCTACAGCGAGAATCAGCTATTGTACAACTACCGTATTTTTCGGACTATAAGGTGCACTTAAAATCCTTTAATTTTCTATTATTATCTATTATTTGCCTCTGGGCTCAAGTGTCGTCCGTTTGTTTCGCTTAATGCGTCTTTTAATCCGGTGCCTTAAAGTCTAAAAAATATGGTAAGTATTTTTAATTAAAGTGTATCTCACAGGTTTTTATCGCTTTCTAATTTTGACGTAAAGTTGAACTATGTAACCTTTTGTTTGGGGGCCCGTCACCTGCTTGTTTCTATGGATATGTCATTGCTCTGTCTGGAATGTTCCACAGTGTGACATTAAACAGCTCTACTTTACATTTATTCAGTTACAGGTGTTTTTATAGCTCAAAAATACCTCGAAAAACAGGCATTTCTGACTGTGAGTTTCCACAGATCTGACTTGTAACTTGAACTGTTTAAGTTTCCATGAAGACAGAAACGTTTAATACCATATTGTGAAACATTTCAGACAAAGAAATGACGTCTCCATGTAGAATAGTGTTTGACTCCACCAGAAAAGTTACACAATGCACCTTTAGTGGGACGATACCTTTTGTAAATATAAATGAAGAAGCAATTTCTAAAGAAAAGTTAAAAACTGTGTTGAAAATTTGCAGGAAGTTGAGTTCTAACCTAGGAACTTTAACTACAAGAATAGATAAGTTCATAATAGAGTTCCCTTGTTGATCAATACGTTTGGGACTAAACCTGGAACTAAACCTGGTCTAGATCAGGACTAGACCAGGACTAGAACAGGACCAAATCTCATCTCTCACATACAGAGTTGGAAAGAGCTCATTTTGTGGACAAACATGTCGTGTTCTTTTATACTGACGCCTTTACTTTCGAGCCTTAGAAAGTAGGATTGGGCGATATCCAAATTTTGATACCGTTCAACCTTCTCAAGATTTTACCGGGGTGTAAAGTATTACCGTATTACCAACATGTTTTAGTACGACTTTGATAAGCTACGAAGCCGCACCGTTGTACGATCTGTGTGTACGACCTGCAGACTTGTAATCTCTGAAAAGTTTCACATGAACCATCTCCAACACGACAAACAGAACAGACTCACCATCAGCAGAACACCCCTCTGTCACAGAAAGAACACTCATATTCCGTGTCCGAGTCGTGTCCTTTAGTCCGACAGAAGCTGAACCGCATCAGTGACACAAGGAAACAGCTGTATTTATCTGCGCTTTATAGTTTATGCAAATGAGCCATGTGGTTTTAAGTTTCATTTCCGTAAAACGTAAACATGACGTAAACGTAAAATGTGCACCTGAAGCCAAAATGCTGCCAAACTGTAGAAGTACTAGGTTTTTTTTTTGGTTTTTTTTGGGGGGGGGGACCAACTCGTTTGCAGCCGGACTTGACGTTTTGTCTTGGTCTCCCTTATGAGCGTCACGTGACAACGGAACGAAACTAATCAAACGTCGTCTCCCCACACAGTTAAAAGAAACATTATAGACATTATTAGTTTTCAATCGTGATATCGTTTATGTTGAGCAAACAAATGTTGGTATCAATAAATTATAAAATTATATTGGGTCCTTATTCGCTGCAGATTTTTTTAATGACGGTAATAAAACTGATACCGTTGCTACTTTCTGATACCTCCGGATACCGTAATACTGTATTACCGCCCAACCTTAAATTCCAGAACGAAAAACAGGAAGCAGTGAGGCGATAAACTCCTTTTTTCCAGTTGACACCATAGAACTGTAATAAAATCTTTAATTTTTTTTTTGTTATAGGTCCATGGTTGACACTGAATTCACAGGCGGATAGCGAATATAATATCAAAATAAAAACTAAATATCAAAATTAAAGTAGACACCGAGACTAGAAATAAACTTTAAATTAAATATTGGAAATAGAGGTCGAAATCTGTTTTTTTTTGTTTGACACTAAAATGGAATAATGAAATAACTAAACTGTTTTCCTTTTTTATTGTTTGTCGTTCTTAATTGTGATGGACCGTCCAGTAGAAAAGTTACACAATGCACTTTTAACCTCCTGTCACCTCCATTTCCAAACAGTGAACATTGTGATTAGGTTTACATCTGAAAAGAATCTATTGGGAGTGTGTAAAGAGCAAATCACAAATCACGTCCCCCGGGTTAATCATTCCGTATGTTTCCGTGGCCCGGGCTGCTGTAGGTCCGATCACATGACCTCTCTGTCGGCGTCTGTGTTTTTTTGTCCCTCTGCCGCTCCGACGGTTCCGCCCACAGCTCAGACCCGAACCCAAACGGGGGCCTTTGTGAGGGAAACGCGCAGAGAATGCGGCCGTGGACACATGAATGCTCGTCTGTCCGCCCCCCCGGGTCACAGCTGATGTGCGCTGACTGAGGGGACAATGGGCTTCAGCTCCGGGACCCTCCAGGAGCCAAGGGAGGAGGAGGAGGAGGGCGTTTAGGATTAGTGTGTGTGGGGGATTCATTAGAAACTTCTACTAACTGCCATAGCTAAACAAACATCGATCTGTCGGTGTCGTGTAGGTCGGTGTTTGCCAAACTTTATATTAAAAGTCACAAACCTTCGCGACCCAAATCAATAGACGTTATTCGTAAATCACAAAATAAAAGTGGATTTGATTTCTTTTTCTTTTCAACATTCAATTGAACCAGCAATACTGGAACAGAATAGTCAATAAAATAATTACAAAAAGATTAGAAATTATACAAAACATGTCTTAACATTTGAACATTTCTAGTGAGATAGGTGAGAGTTTGTGTGTTTTTGTAGCGCGTTCAGTCCGGGTGCAGGAGGAGACGCAGCAGCAGATCAGGCGCAGCATTCAGTCTGTTTTTGTGCTTTGGCTTCATTTTTGTGAGCACAGAAAATCCCACTTCACACAAATATGTAATAGTGAAAGGAATAAGCAGAGAAACACTGGCCCTACTGAGGACAGGAGATTTTGACAAAATGCTGAGCCCGGAATAGAGATAAGGTCACAGATCCATGTTTACAGCTGTATACTGCAGATCTTGACAGGGGGACCTAAAAAAATCTCCTGCGACCCAGTCTTTGGGAAACAGTGGTGCAGGTGATTCCCATATTTGAAAATTAATCACTTTCCATTGTTGTCAGAAGATCAGTCAGTCCATACACTTGGCATATACATTATTTTAAACTACACAATGCACTTTTAAAGGGCCCATCTCATGCAAAATCAACTTTTCAGAGCTTTCTACCTTCTAAGAGTGATGTGTGGGCCTTGGATTTGTCGCCGAAGTGGTTTTTAGATTGATTCGGCAGTTTTTTAACAAATTGCAGTGTATTTCTGCCACCCTCCCACGTGACAGTGAACTAAAACTGCTACACCGATGACGCGGCAGATACACCTATGACGCGTTTGACGTAGCAGAAAGCGCTTCACACCCGCCCCCCTCCCCCGCTCCAACACCTCCACCCCGACTGCAGTTACACGATATAATAAGTTTATCTACTAGTGTTTATTAATACTTTACCAATCAGTAATGTTCAGCTGATATCGACGCGGTGCTCGCGCTTCGTGCACCTCAAAGTCCTCGTCCGATTCCGGGTCCAACACATGCGGCTGAACGCGCTGTATCGCCATGATGAATAAAATTTTATTCCTGCCGCTATCAGGGTCACGTCTGTCTCCCCCTCCCTCCCTGAGATGGGCGGAGGAAGGGCGGCTCACTCAGAGCCTACGTCACGTTTGGAGGGCGGAGCCTGTGCTTTCTCAGGACGGGCGGGGGGAGGAGCAATAGTTGGACTTTCATAGTTCCTGGTCTGTGACTGTCTCCAAGAAATCAGTAAGATTTCATAACTATTGTGTAATGGATGTTCCAAAACCCAAATTGTGCTTGTTTATGTGCAGAAAATACATTGTGAAAAGAGTTATTTTGCATCAGATGGGACCTTTAAAGATGCAGTATTAGGCCTGTGTATCATTCAGAAGTTGCCGATACGATGCATACCTCTATACATATGCCACGATACAGTAAATATCTCAATACAGTGAACTTTTGGTTCGATACGATATTTCAAATTGATTTGATATGATTCAGTAAAAATAAAGACAAAATCATGGCTGTGATACTAAAAGTCTTTGTTAAACCACTTCTTGTGCGAAGTTTAAATGAAACACAAACATTTTAATCATCAAAACAAGCAACAAAACTGTAGCTGTAACAAAATAATTTAGTAAAATATACCAAAAAATACTCTTGGCGATATATCGATACAGCAGCCCACGATATTGATATTGTATCATTACATTAAACAATATGATATATTGATATTTCAATATTTTTGCACACCCCTATGCAGTTTGTAACTTTCCTGGATATGATGGCGCTTTGTCTGAAATGTTCCACTTTTCTGGTTAAATACAAATTCTAATAAAAAATAAATTCATGAATAATTCTCAAATATCTTTGAAAAACTTCACCTGCTTGTCTCCATGGAGATAGAGAAGTGTAATGCCATAAGGTGGAACTTTCCAGGCAACGCAGTGACATTTCCATGGAGGTAAACAGGTTGCTGATCTTTAATTGACTGATGTTTACAGAATTTAAAACTTCGGCCATTTTAACTGATGCGCATTTTGTCATTTTGTTTGTGAAAATTTTGTGTTTTAGGACAATATATCTAGGAATGTACCAATTTTTTTTTTTTTTTTTTTTTCAGTTGGGTACCACTACCTATACCCAATATTAACCAATTTCCTTAAAACAGAGCTGTTATTTAACCACCTTCAAATCGCTCCAGAACAGCTTTGTATGACTTAAAGCTCAAATATTATGAGATGTTCTGTGTCAAAATCAGTCTGTAAATAGTTTAATTTCATCCAGTTAAAGCCAAACCAGGACATCAGCTGATCTGACATAATGGAACCGATCATTTTTCAGTATTTGCACCGATATTCCATTGCAATACCTATTTTTTTTCCCCCAGTACATATATATTGTACTTCAGCTCTTGAGGTCAAAACTGTAAAAACCATGTAGAGCTCCTCTAAGTACATTGTTATTCCTCTCTGTCCTCTTTGTCTGACAGCCTCTGGAGATGATCCGAAAGCACAACTTCTCGGCGGCCGTCTTCGCTCCGGGCTGGGTGTACGAGACTCAGGAGAAGACCGAGTTCAGACACAACCAGGACAAGTCGGTGCTGAATGTCGCTGTGACGATGATGATATTGAACGTTTTACTGAGAGTATAAAGCGGTTTTGTGTCGTGCGCAGGTTCTGGGCTCTGCTGTCCGACCTCCTGCCCCTCCACAGACCCGTACACTCCCTCCCCTTCACCTCCACCTTCTGCCAGGGCTTTGGAAAGAGCCTCTACTGGAGAGGGAAGGTATTACACCAGGATCCACTAGAACGGGCTTTGTTTATCAAGGAATTATGGCACAATTCACATTTGTAGACAGTGGAGACTTAACATACTTAATTGTAATGAATTCAATAATTAAGTTTTGTAAGTGAGTAGATATATGAAACGTTGATATGGAAAATATGATGACAGGTAATAGGCTTCTCTTGGTGCTCTGTTTAAGGCTGCGTTCAGACTGCAGCCTGAAGTGACCCAAATCCGATTTTTTGGCTCCTATGTGACCTGTATCTGATCTTTTAATGACAGTCTGAACGATCTGTTTTTTTTCAAATGTGACCCAGGACACTTGGATATGTGCTCCTAAAACCGATACATATCTGATCTTTTGACATGTGACTTCAGTCTGAACGGTCAAAGCGCATTCATTCAACCTACACGTTATCAACAAGACACAAACGTCACTATTCTGCTCTGAAGTGGGCGAAAATTGTTAATGAACTCCGTGTCAATGACGCGAAGCACATCACCACTCACCACTCTTGGCTACGTCTCCACATCCACACGTTCCTTTCAACGGATCGTCGCTGCCGCTGTCCCACAAAACACCACGGCCAAAAACCTCGTCCTTCTCCTTCTCAATCTCCTCCTTAAAACAAGTAAGTTGTTCATGTTCTGGCTCCGGTACGAGAGGAACTTTAAAATCTCCAGGTGCTCAATGCTCGCGTCCATGTTTGGACAACTTCCGTAAACACAGAGACGCTCGCTGCAGTTGACGTCGTCGTGTCTCCAGTGTCACATGCGGGACACTTTCGGGCCGTTTAATGTTCACACTGGAGATCACATACAAGTCACATTTAATTGGAAATGTGAACGACCTCGCAAAAACATCGGATTTCACCAAAAAATCGGAATTGAGCGTTAAGCCCTGCAGTCTGAACGTAGCCTAAGAATAAGCAACTGTTTGGGTTCAGGGTTTGTTGTCGTTAAGTCTCTTCAAATCCAGATTTACGTATATCTGATTATCTGACCTGTTTTTTTTTTTTTTTTTTTGCACTTCTGAGTTATTATAACACGGCAGTAATATAGTGATTTAATGTAATATAGTGAATCTAGTTCTGATAAAGACTTTCTTGTGAATCTTTGTCATAACTAGATTCAAGTTCTGTCTGTACGGTTTATTTTAGTGACTGATTTTGAACCACATGAGCCTCTGTTCTGTTTGCGTGTCAGATAGAGAGGGAGAGGCCGTGGTTTGATCTGAGCGCTCAGCAGATCCAGCCCGAGTTGTGCAGTTCTAAAGAGGGCCGGGGCTGGCTGAAGTCCAGGGCGTGTCCGGAGCACGTGTGGAGCGGGGGCTCGTCTCTGCTGCTGGAGGGACTCATCCCCGCGGAGCACACGGGGGCTGTGGCTGCGAGGTGAGGTCACTGTTACTCTAGTACAGTTAGGTCATGTTATTAGGTTCTTTTTTCAGACCAAGAGTTTCAACTGCTCACTAACGGTCTTCCTCAGAGAGACTCTTGGTCTGAAAAAAGAACCTAATAACATAAACAAGTGCAATTAGAAAGAGTAACCTGGTCCCCATGAGGCGTCAGTGGGGTCAGTTCATCAAAACAGAAGCAGTTTAATGAGGAGCCCAGCCCATATCACACGATCGTTATATCCACAATGTAATGTGTGTATCTGTACAGGCCCATGAACATTTGTGTGATATTGGTCACACATGAGAATGTCTGTGTTTATTAGTGTGGAACCAAAATGTCATTTTTCATGAGTTGTGTGTCTGTTAGTTGTGTGACTGTAGATCAGTGTGTTGTGTATCACCAGAAAAACAAGAAGTAGAAATTATTTTTTGCTCCACTTACAATTTTAACAGCTACACTGAAAGAGAAAGGAACTGTTATAATTAGTGATTATCTCAAAAACTATTAATATTTTACTATACAAATGCATAGAATTATAAATAGATAATAATTTTTCTGAGATTTTGAGACACTCCCGTCGCTCTACCTCTATCCTTCTTAGAGTTATGACCAAAAACGCATATTTGACCTTGGTTACCTTGACCTTCAAGTGACCTCGACCTGTTTCAACCTGTAACATCCATGTGTGTGCCAACTTGTGTGATGATTGTGTGAATATTTGATCCCGCACATGGTTCAGAAATTGCTGAAATTGCCTTTATCCTTTATAACCGCGTGACTTTTCAATTGACCCGTGTGACCTCAAATGACCTCGGATCGTCACCAAACTTTTTTTTTTTGCGGCATCGGGCACGGGGGCTTGACCCACGTACCAAATTTGGTGACAATCGGTTTATAAATGGTGGAATTATCGCGGGTGAACAGACACACAGACACACAGGGTGGATACAAAACCTGGTCAAACCTTCGGGGACCAGGTAATTATTGGAAGACCAGATGAACCTCAGACCAGATGGATAGGTTACGTCAGTGTGGTGCTCATGTTTTCCTCGTGTTCCCCCAGAGTCCTGTCTCTCCACGTGCCCTTGGCCTCGTCCACGCTGCTCTGTGTGGTTTATAAAGCCTCTCCTGGAGTGTCTGTGTCTCTGGAGAGCACCGTACACCATCCAGACGAGGACACAGGTGAGTCACTCTGGAGATGGAAACAACGCCCATCTGATTGTGGAAAGTATCAAATACTAAAGGCAAAGTGACTGTGACTGACTTGTATCTTCAAGTCTTGAAAACCTATTTTCTCAGTGTTGGAGCCTAAACCCAGTTTCATCATTGTTTTCATTACTGAGATAATTATTCTTATTTTTTTGACTTAAATGCATGATTGTTGGTAATTCTTTATTTATTTTTATTTATTTATTTAATAGGGACAGTGCGTATTAATGAACATCTACAACATTGCAGTGTAAATATGACAGATTATAGCAAAACTGCTCATTTCCATCTGTTGTCCCTCGGCAGGTAACACCACAAATTTAAACAAAGCAAAAACAAGTTACAAATCTATACTAAAAGTGTCCACAAGTCTGTTTTTTCTTTAGCCGCTCTTTTAAGGAGGACTTGAAGGTGGCAAGAGTTGAAGTTTCTCTCATTGATAGTGGCAGACTGTTCCAAAATGTTGTGCCTCTGACTGAGACACACATTGTTCGAGTGTGGAGCGTCTGTGTGGCACCTCACAGTTCCCCCGGGCTGTGGCCCTAACTCCCTCTGACAGTCTTTACTTTAATAAAATCCTGTAACGGAGGGGAGCAAGTCCATGCAAAACTTTATAGACAAAACATCCGTATTTAAAACCAATAAAATTATTAAACATGATTAACTTTATGATTAACATGATTATGTGATGATTATTTGCTTAAAATAATTTGATCTATTTACATTTTTCTATCAACCAATATTATTTCATAAGATTACTTAAGTAATGTTTATTTTGTGTATTATTTTGTGGTCTCTGGCTCCTTATTTAAGGCGAGTGCAGGTGCATCATGGGAGTGAAGTGGAGCCAAACCTCCTGTTACCTCCTGTTAAAATTCCCTTTTGTGTATGGCTGTATGTCCTGAATTATGTGAATAAGGTTTTTAACTGCACTCGGACGCTCTCCATAGATTTATTTCACTTCACTCAGACATTTTGAAAAGTGGAACAAGTTGCACAAATCGTCAAACTATGGCTTCACAAATGTTTGGACCTTAAACTCAGAAACAGGCCACATAAAGCTGGGGAGCCTGACTTTATTCTTGCAAATAAGTACATTTATTTTCCTCCCACAAAGTAAACTGTCATTTAGTTTGTGAAAATTTTGTGTTTTAGGACAGTTTATCTAGGAATGCACCGATATTTTTATTTTTTTTTTCAGCTGGGTATCATTGTCGATACTTTGACTGTAACTAAGAGAGTTAACGCTTATTTAACCTTAACTCTTATTTAACTTTCAAATCACTCCAGAGCTCCACAGCTTTGAATGAATAAAAGTTCAAATATTATGAGATGTTCCGCGTCAAAATCAGTTTGTAAATAGCTTCATTTCATCCAATTAAAGGCCCGACCAGGACATCAGCTGATCTAACATAACGGAACCGATCATTTTTCTGTATTTGAGCCGATATTCAGTAGCAGTAATTATCTCACAAATGTTTGGACCTTACACTCAGAAACAAGCCACATGAAGCTGGGGTGCCTGACTTTATTCTCGCAAATAAGTGCATTTATTTTCCTCCCACTGAGTAAACTGTGAAAGTGGCCCTCACCCACCCCAGCTTTAATACTAACCCTAATATACACGTGTCTCTATTTGATTAAGTTTTTGTATATTTGTGAATCCGTCCATAATTATGTTCGTCCTACAGTCACCAACCTTGGCGTCATCTTAGACAGTGATTTTAAATTTGATAAACAGATTAACAATGTTTTAAAATCAAGTTTTTATCATTTGCGACTTTTATCTAAAGTTAAACCTTTTTTATCTTTTAAACTATTTGAACAAGTTATGCAGGCTTTTATTTCATCACATCTGGACGACTGTAATGCACTTTATTCCGGCATTTCGCAAAACGCACTTTACCGACTACAGTTCGTCCAAAACTCTGCAGCGCGACTTTTAACAGGAGCAAAAAGGAGAGAAGAGCACATCACCCCAATCCTCGCGTCTTTGCACTGGCTCCCTGTTAATTTTAGAATTGATTTTAAGATTTTATTGTTTGTTTTTAAAGCTTTGAATGGACTGGCTCCACAGTACGTCTCGGACCTCATCCAAATTTATATCCCTGCTCGCGCTCTGAGGTCCGAGGTCCAGCTCCAGCTCAGGGGGCCTAAGACGAGACTTAAAGGTTGTATGGAGGATTTTTTTTTTTACTTTCAAATTGTCAAGGAAAGTTTAAAATACCCTTACAGACATGCAGCAGCCTTGTAATTATGTTGATTAAAGAAAAAATAATGAAAATTTGTCATCTGTGGACATAGTGAGGGCAGATAAACATCAGCCAATAGAAAACAAGGCTCCCTCATTTTCTATTGGCTGTTAGGTTGTCAATCAAACTCCCTATGTTTCTAGTGTAACTGACTCGTCGGCGCGCTGGGATTATTTGGTTTATGCGGCGGTTCTTAGAGGCTTTTTAAAACTGTCGCTTTCTCGCAGTTCGCACAAAGTTTGTCGCGATGTCGGACGAGAATCCGCGAGCAGTTCGCCGCGAAAGAAAGTCAGTTTTTGAGGTCGCTGAAAGAAGGAGAATAGGAGTAAAGCCAAACACATGATTCTTGGAGATTCCTTCCAGTGATTGCGTGAATGAAGCAGATGAAGGGTCTAAAAACTGACGTGTCGGCTGCTAAATAATTTCTAGACAGGAAACTTCAGCAGTGATTCTGAACCCGCACTGGATGTAAACAAACGTGATTTCTAGAGTAAAGAGGCGGGAGGAAGAGGAGCTGTGGAGGAGGAAGGTGATGTCACACATGCACAACATTTGAAAAAACAACTTGCTGTATTTCTTTTCCCTTTAAAAAATCCTCTATACAACCTTTAAAACCAGAGGGGACAGGACCTTCTCTGTGGTCGGCCCTAAACTCTGGAACGATCTGCCGCTTCACGTTCGAGCAGCTCCACAGTGCAGAGTTTTAAATCTCGTCTGAAGACCCACTTTTATTCTCTGGCTTTTAACACTGCGCGAGTCGTGTGGTCCTCTGTGTCTTTTATTTATTTTTATGTGTTTTTATTGGTTTTACTGATTTAATTTATTTATTGGTTTATTTATTTCTATTCTATGATTTAGTTTTTATTTTTATTTTACTGGTTTTATTATTTTAAGACTAGTATTATTTTAGTAGTTTACTTTATCATCTTATTGTTGTAATTTTTTATGTATTTGTGCAGCACTTTGGAAACAGTTTGTTTGTGAAATGTGCTATAGAAATAAAGTGGATTGGATAATTCACAGCACATGATATAACACAAAAACACAGGTCTGACTCTACTCATTTTTATTTTAACTAGTTGTAACGTGTCCCTGTCCTCTGTGTCCTCAGTGACGAGTGTGTCTCCTGTGCGTCTGGAGGAGGGACATGATGTTGTCTCGCGGTACACTCGACTGTGTGGCCTGCACAACGAGAAGGACTGGACTGTCATGTGAGTTTGCCACACAGGATTTCTCTTCACACAATCTCTTCTATTCAGATGATCTGTGTTTTCATTTTCACATTCATGGTGGAATATAATGTACATATTGTGTGCCTTATGCCGTGTGTTTGACAAAGGAGTCATCATAATTGTAGGTTATTAGCAGATACTTGATGTGTGACGTGACACGGACTGAACAGTAGTGTGTTTGTGTGTGTTGTGCTGCAGGTGTGTGTTACTGGAGGCACAGCGCGGCTCTCTCAGGGATGTGTCTGTGAACATCAGCAGAGACGCAGAGGATCAGGACACGGCGTTCTCCCTCAGACTGGGACAGATCACGGTAGGAGGGCACTCGTGTAGTTCAAACATGAAGATTAAAGAGCCAGTAAACCCCTTCCCAAAGCTTTACGTCACCTCCAAGCAAAGTCTGATAAATCCTCCAGAGTGGGCGGTGCCTGGCGGGTTGGGTGGAGCGGGCGTGGGGCAGCCTGGAGCAATGATTGACAGTTGACCGACAACCACAACAATCCAACTCGGCACTCTCCGGACTTTGAACCAGAGCGAACATTTGTGCTCTGATCACGCCGTTTCCCTTTTCTCCAGACACGGCGGGACATCGCGGTGCCCGGCGGTGCCAGGTCGGGGCGGGGCTGAGAGGAGCTCCTCACGTCCCGCCCGTAGACGCCATTGACTGCGCTCGTCACATAATAACCTGCGTCTGACTCATTGGCGGCCATTAGTCCAGCCTGAAAATTCAGATATATTGACCGTAGTTGATCCTAAAGAGGAAGTTACAGACACGACTCTGACCCAAAAGTCAGATTTTTAACAAATATCCACTAAAATGCCAAACTAAGACCAGGGATACAGGTATACATTTCTATTTTAGACCCATTTACACAGAAAATCAGTAGATTTCAGTAGTGATTTGGGTTTTTAGTCGCCCTAAACTGCTACAAAGACCTGAGCATCGTCTTGACTAACCGCAGAAATGAGCTTCGAAACTTGATGCACATGGGGAAGTTGGTTGCCATGCAGTTATTTTGCCGTTGAGCTTTTGTTTAGAGCTCCTGCACTCACGCGACAAAATTTGACCGGCCATATTTTGGGGAATTAACGGTAATGAATGGCACAGCGTCACTTCTGGAGCTTTTTGTCAGTAAATGAAATCATAGACAATTATTTAACTTAAAACTGATCAGATTAAACATTAGTGACCCTTACCTCTGATTTTAAAGAGTATATTTATGCTTAACTCTGCAATATCTGGACATCTGGTTTACTTTTCACTTTCTTCATCATCAAAAAGGGTGTAAAATAAAAGGGGGGTTTTCTTTTTTTATGTTCACACAAATTTACCTAGAAATTGACTTACCCCCATCTTCAGACGTGCCATGGTGTCTCAAAAGTACTCAAGTACAGAAATAAATGCCAGATTTGGATTCCTTATGATGTCCCCTTTCCAGAGAGACCTTGGTTTTTGATATGGGACCAGTGGTTGCTGAGTAAATGCAATTTGAAATTCGACGACCACACAAATAATTGTAAAAATGAAATTGTGATATCTCAGCAGCTGTTATTCCGATCATGCTAAAATTTGAGATTTGGGCGTTCTTGGCTATGACTTACCCATACACCAATTTTCTATTCAATTCGACCATGTGAGTGTTCAAACTGCAAATTTTTTGGGTGAATTGAGGTGGAATGACCCTGTACTGACTGTGGACCTGTTTATTTTTGACCGTTTGAAACAACTGGGTCGTAGTTTGATGTGCTGAATGCTTTATCTTGGATGTATATCTTCAACACTTTCTTTCATTCCTAATTAGGGATGGGCATGATTAATCGATAAATCGATAATTGATTATTAAGAATTTCATCGATTACGTTAATTTTAATTGACAAACTGAATGTATGTTGCTGTGTGTAGTGACCAAACAGGTGTGTACATGTGTCTCTCTGCATCAGAAGGAGCGAGACACAAACAGTCGGTCAGTCTGTAACGTCCGAAGCACAAATGTGGATTTAAGGATGATTTGTACAAGAAATTCGACGCTTTCTGTTGCGTTCGGGACAAGTGTTTGTCCATGTGCACAGTGTATAAAGCAGCACATATGTTTCTGTGTCCAGTGGGAAAAAGTTTTTCCAGGTGAGAGTCGCTCAATGTGGATGACGAGTCCCCACCTCCCTCCCCCCGTACGGTGTCCTGGTTTTGACAAACGCAAATCTGGTCACACTAACCTGTATTCACCTGAGTCGTGCTCTTGTGTCAAGAGCTGTAATTTTATCTTCGCTTAGTTTATGTAAATTAGTGATGTGGTTTTAAGTTTTGTTTCTGTGAGAGTTGCGCAAAACTGAATTAAACACATTATAATGTCAAACGGGCTGATGTGGCTCTAGAGTCGTTACGGTTTATATGTCGTAAAGTTGAATTTATTTATGCAGATTAGTAGTGCAGATAGTAATAATAATGATGATCATTTTAATATCAAAACGTTAATGATTAATCGATAATTGATCGTTAATAAATCTTCTCTTCTCTTTTGACTCTCGTCTCTCAGCTGTTGGACGCCTCCACTCTGCAGCTCCCCTCTGAGCGCATCGAGGGCCTGTGCATCTACGACGTGGTGTGGCTCCACGGCTCCTCCTCCACAAACTCCCACCCTCCCGAGGTGCTCCTGAACGCCACGCTGCGCTGGCACTTCAAACCCGAGCTGGCCTGTCACTACAGGGTGCACTGGAGGAGGCTGAGGGGCCCGGACCCTCGCGTCGCGGGGGGGCCGCTGGTGTTTTTGTCCCGGGCGCAGTCTCACCTCTTCAGGATCACGGAGCTGGCCGTCCCCGCTCCTCCGGGCCTGCTGGAGGTGCTGGTGGAGCCCGTGCTGAAGAGCGGGTTTGTCCTGCCCGAGAGTCAGTGGGGCAGAGCTCGCCTCAGCTACTCCCAGGACCAATGAAGGACGGGGTTACAACTGGACATAGAGTTTTTATTCATGTTCTTTTTACTTGTCCAAGTCCTGTAGAAAACATATTATGCGATTTTAAATTGTCTATTAGTCCTATATTACACAAAATGGACTCTCGTGAGCTTTAAGCCGTGTTATAATGTTGTTACCTCATCAAAAACAGACCTGGAGTTGTGTTTTGTTTATAAAAACGCAACTCCAGGTCAGAATACAGTTACCGTATTTTACTATTAGGCGCTCTGGATTATAAGGCGCACTGTCATTAAATGGTCTATTTCTGAACTTTTTACACAAATAAACCGCGTAGGACTTTAAAGGAAACACAACAGTTGGATGGGTGAGTGGTTTTGTTTGTTTGGCGTGTAGGGAGGGTGCTGTCTGGGACCACTGGATTGTCGGCGTGTTCACAGTGACTCAGTTGTTCAGTCGCACATTGCGCTCGCTTTTTCGGTTCGTTCCTCCGTTCCGTTCCTCGTCGGCGTGGAGTGATGAGTGTGTCTGTGGGTGTTTGTCGCTGTGCGGTCGCTGTCTGCTCCGTGTGTGTTTGCGGCTTTGTGGTTTACTGAAGTCGTGCTGGGACACCTGAGTGGATTCGTGTACAGGGCGCTCTGGATTGTGGGCGCACAGTTGTTTTTTGATGGGGTTAGAGGCTTAAGAGCGCGTCTAATAGCCCGGAAAATACGGTACATTTCTAAAATCAGAGGAATACATAGTAGTACTTGTAATTTAGACTTCAAACTGCACGGAATTCGTAAGATAAATAGAAAACACTTTTGCATGACATGTGATCTTTCCTTCTCTAATCACTGGAAAATAACAGCAAATGTGCAACTAACATTATAACTAACAACACACTTAACATAAACCCATTTAGATCCTATACTGCGTTTTTCACAGTGTTGGGGAGTAACAGATTACATGTACCAGAGTTACGTAATCAGAGTACAAATTATGAGTAACTGTATTCAGTTACAGTTACTGTTTCAGTGAGTGGTAATTGGATTACAGTTACTTTGTTGAAATAAGTGGATTACACTGCGGTATTTTCCTGTTTTCACATTTTGGGCTATTCAATCAATCAATCAATCAAACTTTATTTATAAAGCGCTTTTCATACAAAAACGTAACACAAAGTGCTTTACAGTGATTAAAAACAATCCCGCATTTCCATCCACCCACCCACTTATCCAACCCCACACCTGCCCAACTCCACACAACCAAACAACCCAGACACGCACACACACTCGCACACACACACACACACACACACACACACACACACACACACACACACACACACACACACACACACACACACACACACACACACACACACACACACACACACACACACACACACACACACACACACACACATGCCCTAAGATAGTAAAATACATAAAATCCCCTATAGTAAAATGTGAGGCTGAATACAGGCGAACCAGTTGAGAAAAGCACCATCAGAGGAGCCGTCTGCACCAGGAGCAGAGAGACGTCCACCACCACCAGGAACCACCACCGGAGCCAGGGGAGAGATGAAGCCCAAGCACCAACTCTCCACCAGGAGCCCACAGGACAGACCCGACAGCTACAGCCGACCTCTGCTCCTGATGCAGAGGAAACACTGGAAATCCTAAAAAATACACCTAAAATAAATAAATATACTAAAATGTGTACAATAGAAACAGGTAAAAGTATAAGAATTTAATCAAAAGCTAAGCTAAAAAGGTGGGTCTTGAGCCTGCTCTTAAAAACATGAACGTTCTCTTTGGCCCTGAGCTCCTCCGGCTGCAGTTCCATAGACGGGGGCCATAATACTGAAAAGACGCCTCCTCTCCGTGAGTGTGTGTCCTGACTTTGGGAATGACCAGGAGCCTGCTGCCGGAGGAGCGCAGGGTCCGCGAGGGTTCGTAAGGTAAAAGCAGTTCTGAAAGATAAGAAGGCCCAAGACCATTAAGACATTTAAAGACCAGTAAAAGAACTTTAAAATCGATCCTGAAACTCACAGGGAGCCAATGCAGTGATTTTAAAACCGGTGTAATGTGGTCCCGCCCTCTGGTCCTCGTCAGGACACGTGCTGCTGAATTTTGTAGTAACTTGTAAACCTGAAATACTCTTTTTGGGAAGACCAGAGAGCAGGGCATTACAGTCGTCTATTCGACTGGTGATAAAAGCATGCAAAACTATTCCCTCCCCCTTTTTTTTTTCGGTAATTCCACTCATTGCCGGACACTAAACCAGGTCTAAACCAAGTCTAAACCTGGTCTAAACCAGATCTAAAACCAGGACTAAAACCAGGACTAAACCAGGACTAAACCAGGACTAAAACCAGGTCCAAACCAGGTCTAAACTAGGTCTAAACCAGGTCTAAACCAGGTCCAAAACAGGATTTAACAGGACTAAACCATGCTACGTGGACCATGTCTCCTCTTCTTCTATCAATAATATTTTTAATTTGCTTAAGTAAAGTCTGGGCTTTTCATTTTCTTATCAGACAAAACATTATGTTCAGATTTTCTCGTCTTTGTTTCTCTACAGCAAATCAAGTAATCCAAAGTATTCAGATTACATTACTCACTTTAAGTAATTTAATCGATTACGTTACAAACTACATTTTGGTGTGTGTAATCTGTAATCTGTAGGGGATTACATTTTAAAAGTCACCTTCCCAACACTGGTTTTTCACTACATAATAATACAGGGTTCCCACGTCATGGAAATCCTAGAAAAGCCTTGGAAGTTGATTGGAAATGTCATTTTCCAGGCCTGGAAAAGTCAAGGAATTTTGTAAATTCAATGAAAGCTTCGATAAAGTCATGGAATTTTTAATCTCTCTTTCATGCAACTACAGCGTTCTGTTAAGTTATAATTAGGCGTTTATGATTATTTCCGAACATCTGCGGTTTTTGTTTAAAGGAAACTTATAATAGCCCAGAAAACACGATAATCCCAAACTATAATGTGAGAGGAAAGAGTTCAACATTTCATATTTAGCCCTAAAAGTCTGATCAGTTCTACACATGTAGGTGCCGTAAAGTCATGGAAAATTCACTTTGGGTCATGAAAAAGTCATGGAAAAGTTTTGTAACTTTGTCAGTGAAAAAGAGTGGGAACCCTGATAATTAAGGCCGTAACGATACTCAAATCTTTCAGTACGATATTTTCACGATACGCATCTCACGATACGATATTTATTGCGATATTTTATAGAGCCTAACAAAACTGTAAATATGCTGCTTTTTCCTCTTGCCTTGACAAAGACTCAATCCAAAGAAGATTTAAAAGCGCTTAGAACCGTTTAGTCTGTACTAAAATGGAGCAAAGGATCATGGTCTATGTAGTTCCCTCTGTTTTTTTTAGCTGTTGCTGCACCATAACCAGTGTTGGGAAGGTGACTTTTAAAATGTAATCCCCTACAGATTACAGATTACATACACCAAAATGTAGTTTGTAACGTAATCCATTAAATTACTTAAAGTGAGTAATGTAATCTGAATACTTTGGATTACTTGATTTGCTGTAGAGAAGCAAAGACGAGGAAATCTTCACATAAATCTGCTAAGACAATGAAAAGCCCAGACTTTACTTAACCGTATTAAAAATATTATTGATAGAAGAGAAGGAGACATGGTCCACGCAGCATGATTTAGTTCTGTTAAATCCTGTTTTAGACCTGGTTTAGTCTTGGTTTAGTCCTGGTTTAGACCTAGTTTAGACCTGGTTTAGTCCTGGTTTAGACCTATTTTAGACCTGGTTTTAGACTAGGTTTAGCACTGGTTTGGACCTGGGTTTAGACCTCTTTTAGACCTGGTTTAGTCTTGGTTTAGTCCTGGTTTAGACCTGGTTTTAGTCCTGGTTTTAGACCTGGTTTAGACCTGGTTTAGACCTGGTTTTAGTCCTGCTTTAGTCCTGGTTTAGACCCATTTTAGATCTGGTTTTAGACCAGGTTTAGTGTCTGGCAATGAGTGGAATTACGGAGAAAAGAGAAAAAAAAAAAAAAAGGGAATACCCCGAAATGTGATAACAGGAAAATACCGCCATATGTAATCCATTTATTTCAGCAAAGTAACTGTAATCCAATTACCACTCACTGAAACACTGAATACAGTTACTCATAATTTGTACTCTGATTACATAACTCCGGTACATGTAATCTGTTACTCCCCAACACTGACCATAACTATAAAATTATGCAAAGAGACTTGTAATTCGATATATTGTGATGGTCCACGATATTATTGTGAGAACTTTGACGATACGATATCATGATATTTAGGTTATTGTTACATCCCTACTGATACTGCAGCCTTGTGAAAGTATTCAGAATACAGTACTGCGATTGGACCATGTAATGAGATATGTATGGAGTACGAAAGCTTTCAGAAATATTCGTATGCATAGATAGAAATCCGTGCATATTTGTCTGTAGTTGAGCATAAAATAAATATTCGTAAACTCTCGAATAAGTCTGGTCGTACATAAAAGGTATTTTGTGTATTTTATCCATCAGAATACGAAAACGGTCTGTGTGACATTTTGAACACACGTATGACATAATAAGACTTTTTTTTTTTTATGTCTGTAACTGTAAGGAGTAAGTACAGGGATGTGGGCGGGGATAGGGGGTAAGTGAAAACCAAATCACTCCAAGAACAACTCTTAAGTAAAATTAATGTGTTGAGCGAAGGTGCAAAGTATCTTAATTAAATCGACCTCATAAGCACTTACGGTATTTTTGTTTAGTTATTATTTGTATAAATCTGTCGTGTTTAGTGCCTCGCAAACTGGTCTTGAAGAAATTAAAAATATGAAGGAATTTAATGTTGTAGCAAAGGTTTAATTTTGTTTTTATTTCTTTCAATTGTTTGCATATTATTGTAGTTAATATATGATTTGTAATTTACATATTGTCAAAACAAGCCTCTACGCAACGTCTTAAAGCACTTTCAAATAAAAAATAAATGAATTGCTTTCTCAACCTTCTCTGTTTTCTTAATGTTTTCCAAATAAAACTAGACAAGACGTTTTAGTTGCAATAAGAGAAAGTATTTCAAGGGTCTCAGGTTCCTGTTATAGGCGCCATTTTGAGGACTTTTAACCATTTATAAGATGCATATTTTGTTTTTATTGCACTTTCAAATTAAAAAAAAGCTTACTCAACCTATATTTTCTCATCTTTTACAAATAAAACTGTACAAAATGTTTTAGCTATAATGAGAGAGACTATTCATGGGTCTCAGCTTTCTGTTATAGGCGCCATTTTGAGGACTTTTCACCATTCAGATTTCGATTTTGAATTAAATAGTTAATAAAGATGGCGAAGTCCAAGTTTTAAACCTTTAGAAACCCGTGGAAATTGGCGTATCTGAAATATCGTTCTTGAATTGTATTTCAGCTGCGTCATGTAAATCCGCACACACTACACTCGTGCAGCGGCGATGTGAGTGTCTTGCTCAAGGACGCAACAGTATCAGGGTTCCCAGGGTCATGGGAATCCTGGAAAAGCCATGGAAATTGAAAATGTCATTGTCCAGGCCTGGAAAAGTCATGGAATTTTAGTATCTCTTTCACACGACTCCAGCGTTCTGTTAAGTTTTCATTCGATTATTATGATTATTTGTGAACGTCTGCGCCTTTTGTTTAAAAAAGAGACGACAATAAATGCACCGACAGGATTTTGAATGTTAACTCCTTAACGCCTGAATTTATATAGATGTACTGTAGATAAAAAAATATTTTGTGTGTGTTTTTGCCTTAAAGTAGATGGTAAATTAAGTTGAGATTATTAATTTAACTATAGCAAATAAAATATATAGAAATTTGGGTATGTTTCAAATTTAGGACAACTAGAAACTTGTTTGCCAATGGTTCCTAGGAAGGTTCTACATATGCATGAACCGGCATCTCGTCTTATATGTTAAAGGTTGTATAGAGGATTTTTTAAGGGAAGTGAAATACAGCGACCTTTTTCAAATGTTGTGCATGTGTGACACCACCTTCCTCCTCCACAGCCCTCAGTAGAAACACCTCCCCCGCCTTGTTACTCCAGAAATCACACTTGTTTACATCCAGTGCACGTTCCGAATTACTGTTGAAGTGACCTGTCTAGAAGTAATTTAGCAACCGACACGTCAGTTTTTAGACCCTTTGTCTCTCTGGAAGGAATCTCCAAGAATCACCTCAGTTTGTCTTCGCTCCTTTTCCCCTTCTCTTCTTCTTTCAGCGACCTCGAAAACTGACTTTCTTTTGCGGCGAACCGGTCGTGGATTCTCGTCCGCCGTCGCAACAAACTTTGTGCGAATTGCGAGGAAGCGACAGTTTAAAAAAGCCTCTAAGAACCGCTGCATAAACCACGTAATCCCCACACGCCAGCAAGTCAGTTACAATAGAAATGTAGGGAGTCTGACTGACAACCTAACAGCCAATAAATAATGAGGTAGCCTCGCTATCTATTGGCTGATGTTTATCTGGCCTCTCTACGTCCACAGTTGATGGGTTTTCATTCTTTTTTTTTTTTGGTTATCATATTTACAAGGCTGCTCCATCTCTGTAATGGTATTTTAAACTTTCTTTGACAATTCAAAACTGAAAAAAAAAATCCTCCATACAACCTTTAATCCAAAAGGTTTGTTGCATATTTATGACATTTGGCGTTAAGGGGATAAAAAACTAGAATACCATAACCATGAGGTGAGTGGAAAGTGTTAACATTTCATATTTAGCTCTAAAATTATGATAAATTCTACACATGTAGGTGCAGTAAAGTCATGGAAAATTCACTTTAGCTCATGAAAAAGTTTTGAAATTTTGTCAGTGAAAAAGAGTGGGAATCCTGAGTGCACTGGGATTGAACTAGCAGCTTTTGGGACTTGGGCAAATGTTCAAACCACTGAGGCACCACCGTCCCAAAGAACTAAAGCAGGAGTCTCCAACCTGGCGAACTCTCCACTCCCTTCCAAATTGCTCGCCAAGGGATTTCTGAATTCTATGTATTGTGGATAATAAGTACAATTTGATTATTTAAATGCCTTTTTCTATGGTACGTGTATCATTTTGATCCCTAACTTGTGCACCCACAAATGGATAATGGTTTATGTTTTATAAGCGTCTAACTGTTCCCCATCTAAGGCTCAACGTGGCTCTTATATTTACTTAGTTTCTTTGCGACGGCTGAAATTGGTAGCCAGGCCGGCACCACCTAATGCCTCTGTTCAGTTTCATTTCTCTCCAGCAACTAGGTCAGGAATCAAAATACACTAGACGGTTCGCAAAAGCGGCGGAAGTGTGAGTTCAGGCACCAGCCAATCAGCGAAGAGACAGACATTCTGTGTTGTTAACGATTCCCAAGATCGAGGATTTAAAGCTGGAACAAAGAGAATGTTTGGTGAATTTTATCAAGGGGAAAGACGTTATTGTCCTTCTTCCTGCGGGATTTGTTAAAAGCTTAATATACCAGTTAGCCCCATTAGTGGCACATTACATACATCACGACCAAATAGCAGCGATTGGTTAAATAAAAAGGACCCGCCTACTGTTGAGCGAGTTTCTGTGAAGTGAAACTGGCTGATGAATCAGGCTGTGAAATTGGCAGCTCTCTCTCATTTTCGTTTTGTAAAGGAGCTCACTGGAGTAAAAAGGTTGGAGACCCCTGACCTAAAGCATCTGATCTTTTCATATTGTTTTGTTTTGTTACAGGTCTTACATGTGTGTGAATTTTACTCATTATTGTCTTGTCAAACTATAAAACTGACTTAAATACAACAATAACACTGTTGAGCCTTTCTTTCAGTTTATGCTTTGAGAGAAAACGCACGATCAAACTTTTTCACCTTCGTTAACACTATTATTAGTTTGTACGACCATAAACGAAAAACAAATAATCCTTACATTCTTTCATTCTCATTGTCGTTTATTTCGCACGATCATAAATGTTAAACTTTTGTCCCTTTGTTAACATTATTATTAGATTGTACGACCATAAATGGGGAGGAGAAAAAAAAAATAAAAATAAATAAAAGATAAGCACGAGGAAGAAAGAAATTTCTGGTAGAGATTTTGGTTTGTAAAATTATCGAAGCAATGACTTTAAACAGTCCAACTCTGTAAAAACCTTATTTAAAAAAAGAGTATAGACTGTTGTGTTTTGGAAAATATGGAGCTCTGGAGTTGATGAATTGTGCATTGAGTTTTGTTTGTTTTAATTTATATTTTGTCTCTTATATGTACAGTGAGTGGAGTTGTGAATGCACATTTGTTGTTGGAGCTTTCTGTTTCAGCTCAGACTCTTCCTGTCATGACCCATATTCTCGTGGTTTATGTTTTGTTTTTGTTTGCCGCAAATGATCCAATTAAAAAAAAAAAAAGAGAGAGAGAGAAAACACAGTGTCACAAAGCGTTACTAAAAACAGTTTTATTGATCCTTTGGTTAAAATCAGTGATTTGTGTGATTTGTGTGATTTGGACGAAAATAAAAGTGATGTGATTGTCAGTGCTGTTCCAGACAGCAGAGGTCACTGCGGCTCAGGTCAGAGGTCACGAGGTCTGCTGAGTGATCATCTGCAGCATCCGGAGAGCCATGGCGCCCTGGTCTGAGGGGATCTGCACAAACACAAACACAAACACACAAACAAACACAGACACACACAGACAATATTTAGGAGTTCGTAAAATCACAATAATCTCTGTTAGCTTCCTCCCACTGAAACACAAATATATCATCAGGTCATCTTTATCGAGATGATGAATAAACCTTTTTCACAACGGCTGAAAGTGCTGCAGGGTCAAGGCAACGTCCGGTTAATGGTTTTCTTTGGCAAAATATCTGTGGAAATGTTTTGCATATTCTCCACCAGCTGATTCTAGGATTAAAATAAAAAATCTATTTCATGATGTCAATATTAGCATAGACCGGAGTGTCCAAACTTTTTTCATCAAGGGCCACATCAAGGGCCGATCGAGGGCCGGAGACTGGTGCTCAATACAGTGAATAATTGAAATATGTGCATGTTTAACACATTAGAATGAACCATTATTCATGTTATGATCTTTAAAACCAAACACTAAATATTAAATATTAGCTTTATTAAGGTAAATTTTCAAAAAACTGGCAGTAAAAAGTTTTTAAATTTTCAATTGATGCAAGGTCATTTGGGCCAATTCACCTGGAAGCCTGACGGGCAAAGAAAAATTTGTCTGAGGGCCGCATTTGGCCCACGGGCCATAGTTTGGACATGCCTGGCACAGACAGAGAGATTTGTGCAGTTTAAATGATAATGATAATCTGTGAATATCTGTAGCATCTGAACTGCACAAATCTCTCTGTTTATGCCAATATCGACATCATGAAATAGATTTTTTATTTTAATTGTAGAATCAGTCTGAGTGAACAAGTTACTTCTGTTTTATTCATGACCATAATGTTAGTTTTGTTCAGTAGTTCACTAATGTTGTTCTCCTTTGTTTTCATCTTTTTTCTCTTGATAGTTGTGGATAAATTCATGTTAGAATGTTTATCCTTTGTGGACCTTGTTGGTTGAAGATTTGGAAATGGGGCAGATTTATGAAGCTGCTGGAGAATACGACACACATTTACACAGATATTTTGACACAGAAAAACATTAACCAGAAGCATTGCGCAATGTTTACCCTTCTGGCTGTTGAGAAAAAAGGTCTATAAATATTGACATGTCTGATTTTTATATTGAATGTAGATCGTCTCTTGAGATGCATCAGCTCTTTTTCAAGTTCAACCCAGAGTTATAAATGTAACTATGGTTCTATGACTCTTGAAAGCCAGTCAGAGGTCAGTGTTTGGCCCCGTGCACATGTGTGAAGAGACTCATTCAATGGTTTAAACGCTGCCCTCTGGTGGTCACTAGAGATCAAATACAATCTGATTCAAACAGAGTTGTTAAATTTGTTTAGAATCCGTGTATCATTCGTTCATTCGTTTTTCAATACAAAACCAAAAATAAGAACATGAAAAAACAACTATTTTCTTCATTATTTGTCTCCAAAACCAAAATGAAAAAACAGATAATGATTTGTTTTTTCAGTTTTCAATTTTGTGTTTAAATGAAAAATGGAAAAAAACAGATAAAGGCTGTTTCCTGTTTACATGATTTAACTGCGACGCCGGACTGAACCAGGACTGAACCAGGTCTAAACCAGGACTAAACCAGGACTGAACCAGGACTGAACCAGGACTAAACCAGGACTGAACCAGGACTGAACCAGGACTGAACCAGGACTAAACCAGGACTGAACCAGGACTGAACCAGGACTAAACCAGGACTAAACCAGGACTGAACCAGGACTGAACCAGGACTGAACCAGGACTGAACAGGACTGAACCAGGACTGAACCAGGACTGAACCAGGACTGAAACCAGGACTGAACCAGGACTGAACCAGGACTGAACCAGGACCAGGACCAGGACTGAACCAGGACTGAACCAGGACTAAACCAGGACTAAACCAGGACTAAACCAGGACTGAACCAGGACTGAACCAGGACTGAACCAGGACTGAACCAGGACTGAACCAGGACTGAACCAGGACTGAACCAGGACTGAACCAGGACTGAACCAGGACTAAAGGACTGAACCAGGACTGAACCAGGACTAAAACCAGGACTAAACCAGGACTAAACCAGGACTCCAGGACTGAACCAGGACTAACAGGACTGAACCAGGACTAAACCAGGACTAAACCAGGACTAAACCAGGACTCTCTTTTCTGTCCGGTCTCTGTCTCGGTCTCTGTCTCGGTCTCTGTCCCGGTCTCTGTCCCGGTCTCTGTCCGGTCTCTGTCCCGGTCTCTGTCCCGGTCTTTGTCTCTGTCCCGGCCCTGGTCCCGGCCCTGGTCCCTGCGCTGGTCCCAGTCTCAGTCCCGGTCTCTGTCCTGGTCTCAGTCTCGGTTTAAGTCTCGGTTTCAGTCCCGGTCTGGTCCCGGGCTAAGTCCTGGTCTGGTTCCGGTCTGGTCCCGGACCTGGTTTAGTCCTGGTTCAGTCCTGGTTTAGTCCTGGTTTAGTCCTGGTTTAGTCCTGGTTCAGTCCTGGTTCAGTCCTGGTTCAGTCCTGGTTTAGTCCTGGTTCAGTCCTGGTTTCAGTCCTGGTTTAAGTCACCTGGTTCAAAACGGCTGTTAACACAAAATCGAAAAACTGAAAAAACTAATCATTGTCTGTTTTTTCATTTTGGTTTCGGAGACAAATAATGAAGAAATTTTTTATTTTTGTTTTTTTCCTTTTCTTATTTTTGGTTTTATATTGAAAAACGAGCCCGTCTCATGAACCAGGATCGCAGCGTAAACTTATGAATCCAAACTCTGTCAGACTCTCACCATGTGTCCGGCCTTGAGGATCCAGTAGAAGGTGAAGTTCTTGTAGTTCTTGTAGAAGGCTCCCGTGACCCCAGGAGAGGAGGGGTCATCCAGGGGAGTCCAGCGCAGTTTGTTAAAGTACGAAAGCCCCTCCCACGTCAGCGTCTTCACCCACTGCTCCTGACCTGCAGCACACACACCACAAACACACTGCAACACGTCTCCGGACTTAAACACAGAGCTCCTGAAATAATCTTCAAGCTCTCATCGCTCATTTCGCAAATCCAGGAGAACCTTTCAGACGTTAGGAGACTGAATAGGCCGGATTCGTGTGCAAACCAACTCTGGGTGGTCGCAAACTGAGGTGAAAAGTTAATCCTACGCAAAAGCTTGCTGTCACTTGAAAGGACTTTAATCCGAAAGATGAAAAACGCTCCGTAAATCCAGTATGACGTGTTTGTGGACACTGATAAATGAGGTTGTGGTTCATGGAGTTCTCTTAGCCCCTGCCCTCTTTTTCAACCAATCATAGAAAGAAACATGTGTAAAAAAGTCATACGAATCACATGCATTTAAGACAGGGTTTCCCAAACTTTTTTTCTGGGGACCCATATTTTAAAAGTCACAAACCTCTGCGACCCAAGTCAATAGACGTTATTCGTGAATCACAAAATAAAGATGGATTTGTATGGAGTTGCAGCTGACTGGCTGATTTGTTATTTGCTGGCGCTCCAGACTCCGTGCAGGTGCAGACTGGGCTGCATGTAGCTTTCCTCAGCCGTGAGCCTTTTGTTTTGACCTGGTGGGGCCGGCTGTCCTGTTTTCACTTTTCCTTTAGGTTCAGGTTTGCTGAGTTTTTGTCTTTAGTTCAGGGGTGTCAAACTCATTTTGGTCCAGGGCCGAATCTTGATTCTAAAGAGGCCGGATCAGAAAAATCATGGCATATAAACCCCAAAAATAGCAACAAGTTCAAATATTTGTACAGAGAAACTGCCGGCAATGTAAACACAGCTCCTGCTCCGGTCATACAGGGACCGGACAGCCCTTAGCAAAGGGCCCCGGACCCCAGACTCCCAGAGCGCCCCCCACAGGACACCACGAGGGACACGGTCGAACGCCTTCTCCAGATCCACAAAGCACATGTGGACTGGTTGGGCAAACTCCCATGAACCTCGAGCACCGATGGAGAGTGTAGAGCTGCTCCAGTGTCCACGACCAGGACGAAAGGCAAGGCAAGTTTATTTGTACAGCACAATTCGTACACAAAGTAATTCAAAGTGCTTTACAGAATAAGAAATACATTAAAATCATAATAAAAACTAATCAAAACATAAATAATCATGAAGATTAAAATTAAAAAAGAGAGACATAAATTGGAGAGAAGAGTGCGGAATGAAAACCTTTCAGTTATTTGCACAGTTAAACAGAAATGTTTTGAGTCTGGATTTAAACAGCGTCACAGAAGAGTCTGTCTCACATGTTCAGACTGTTCCAGGTTTTAGCTGCATGAACCTGAAACTCTGACTCCCCTTGTTTAGTCGTGACTCTGGGCACCAGCAGGAGGCCGGTCCCTGAGCTCCTCAGAGTGTGAGATGTTCATATGACACTAACATGTCACAGATGGACTTTGGTGCTCGACCATGGAGACACTTGTACAAGCAGAGCTGCTTTAAAGTCTCTGAGCCACAGGAGCCAGAGCAGAGACCTGAGACCAGGACTTATGTGCTCGTACTTCCTACTTCGAGTCAGGACCCGAGCTGCAGCGTTCTGGATGTTCTGGATGTTCTGCAGCGTCTCACAGCTCGTTTGGAGAGACCAGTGAGCAGAACATTACAGTATCTAATCTACTGGAGACAAACGCATGGATAAGTTTCTCCAAGTCTGATTTAGACAGTTAACGAAAACCACACTGCTCCTTCTGGATCTGAGGTTCGACTATCGGCCGGATTCTCCTCTCCAGTACCCTGACAAAGACCTTAGCGGGGAGGCTGAGGAGTGTGATCCCCCTGGAGTTGGAACACACCCTCCAGTCCCCCTTCTTATACAGAGGGACCACCACCCCGGTCTGCCAGTCCAGAGGTACTGTCCCCGACCGCCACGCGATGTTGAAGAGGCGTTTCAGCCAAGTCCCACAACATCCAGAGACTTAAGATACTCAGGACGGATCATCCACCCCCATATATGTGTACGTATAATAGTATAAATGTATAATAGTTATTAGACAAACATACCCATGGTGTCCACGATGAGGTCCAGCTGTCCGTTGTACACAGTCACATTGACCCCAGCAGACAGCAGCTCGTCCACGATGTCCACCACTGGTCTCATGAAGTCTCCTGACATGTACTGGAACACTGCACCAGCCTGACCTGTAACACACACACACACAACCTTATACTGTATATACTGTATATACTGTATATACTGTATATACTCACAGAGACACTGTCCTGTATCCAGTGTTGGGGAGTAACAGATTACATGTACTGGAGTTACGTAATCAGAGTACAAATTATGAGTAACTGTATTCAGTTACAGTTACTGTTTCAGTGAGTGGTAATTGGATTACAGTTACTTTGTTGAAATAAATGGATTACACGGAGGTATTTTCCCGTTTTGGGCTATATCCCCCCCCTTTTTTTTTTTTTTTTTTTTTTTCTCGATAATTCCACTCATTGCCGGACACTAAACCATGTCTAAACCAGGTTTAAACTAGGTCTAAACTAGATCTAAACCAGGACTAAACCAGGACGAAACCAGGTCTAAACCAGGACTAAACCAGGACTAAAACCAGATCTAAAACCAGGTCTAAACCAGGACTAAACCAGGACTAAACCACAATTAAAACCAGGTCTAAACCAGGTCCAAACCAGGTCTAAACCAGGACTAAACCAGGTCTAAACCAGGACTAAACCAGGTCTAAACCAGGACTAAACCAGGTCTAAACCAGGTCTAAACCACTAAACCAGGTCTAAACCAGGACTAAACCAGGTCTAAAACAGGATTTAACAGGACTAAATCATGCCATGTGGACCGTGTTTCCTCCTCTTTCTTTCAATAATATTTTTCATAAGGTTCAGTAAAGTCTGGGCTTTTTATTTTCTTTTAACAGACAAAACATCTTATCTTATGATATTCTCGACTCTGCTTCTCTACAAACTCATTTATGCGACACATTTGGCATTGTCACTGTTTTGATTATTAAAATGAGTGTTTCATTTTAACTTTGCACAAGAAGAAGTGGTTTAACAAAGACTTTTCGTACCACAGCCATAATTTAGCCTTTATTTTTTTATTCAAATGTATCGAATCGAAAGCTCACTGTATCAGAGATATGGATCTTATCATGGACTATAAATCGAGGAATGTATCGTATCAGCAACTTCTTAATGACACCCAGTCCTAGTCGGTATCTTATTATTGTCTTGTGTTATTGCTACTGAAAAGGCTGCTGCCTCTTGACTAGGACACTTTCGCAAAAAAATATTATTTTTTTTCTTTTAATCCTGATGAAATAAAAAGAGTCTGAATTTGTATTTAGTACTGGGGTGTAACGATATCCAAGTCTCACGATACGATATCGTCACGGTATGAACCTCACGGTACGATATTTATTGAGATATTGAGGGAAAGCTCATGATATGTTGGGGAGGCTCTCGATTAGAGATGTAACAATATCCAAATCTCTCTGTACGATATTTTCATGATATACATCTCACGGTACGATATTTATTGCAATATTTTGTGGACGCTAAACAGCTAAAACTGTTAATATGCTACTGTTGGAGCCATATTCTACCTCTTCTAGCCATATCTTCCTCCCACCACCGTGTGGCGCTATTTATAATTTACTAAGTAATTTGCTGCCCTATATAAGGGGAGGAAAATGTGCACACAGGTGTTGCACTGTGAAGGTGTACAGTCTTTTGAACATCGTCGTCATCGTCGTGATATATTGAGTGCTGAATCTGTATTTTTGGATGGCTATAAGGTACGCCAATACATGTTGAGGAACACAGTATTTGGACTCTGCTTTTATTGAAGACACGCGTCCGAGACACCACACACGCTGCAGCCATAGCGGACCTTAACAGGGCAAGTTTTGGCCGCTACAGCTACTTTTTCCTCTTAAAATGCCTTGACAAGACTTAATCCAAAGAACTAAGACTTAAAAGTGTTGGAACTGTTATTTCTTCATGTCGTCTGCACTGAAATGGAGCAAAGGATCATGGTCTGTGTAGTTTCCTCTGCTTAAATTAAAAGTTATGGTGCAGCAATAGCTAAAAAAAGATGTGATGGTCCACGATATTATTGTGCGAACTTTGACGATACGATATCACGATATTTCGGTTATTGTTACATCCCTGTTTAGTAATGTAAAAATGGTTTAAACTCTTATTAAACTCTTATTATTACTTTTTTTTTTTTTTTTATGACCTTACCTCCCCAGGTGACGTTGTGAGGGATCACGCCGAGCTTCTTCCTGATTGGTCCGTTCATCAGCTCGCTCAGGGACTGTTTGTGGAGGCGGCCGACGTGGCGACGGAACTGGAGAGCTGTCGGAGAGAACATCAGACGCAGGAGCACTGTTCACGATTCTGATTTTATAAGAATGAGATCATGACACTTCAGACAGAGTTATTCAGGTCCTCACATATGAAGTCTTCTCCCTGACGCGCCGTGACCTTCTCGTCCGTGTCTTGGGTGAGGATGTTGTAGAAGTTGACGTTGTTGGTGTTCTATCAAAAAAAAAAAAGAGATTAAAGTGTTTTTGAATGAACAGAGCATGAATATCTGGACATTTTTAAACAGTAAAAGACTATGCTGTCCAGTTGGAATAGTGTAAGAAAATAAGAAAACAAAAAACAACTATTTTCTTCATTATTTGTTTCCAAAACCAAAATGAAAAAAAAAAGGATAATGATTCATTTTTTCAGTTTTCAATTTTGTGTTTAAAGGAAAAATGGAAAAAACGGATAAAAAACGTTTCCCGTTTACGTGACTTAAACTGAGATGCTGGACTGAACCAGGACTAAACCAAGTCCAAACCAGGATTTAACCGTCCTAGTCTGGCCCCAGTCTCAGTCCTGGTCTCAGTTCTGATCCTGTTCCCGGTCTCAGTCCCGGTCTCAGTCCCGGTCTCAGTCCCGGTCTCAGTCCCGGTCTCAGTCCCGTCGTCCCGGTCTCAGTCCCGGTCTCAGTCCCGGTCTCAGTCCCGGTCTCAGTCCCGTCTCTGTCCTGGTCCTGTTCCCGTCCCGGTCTCAGTCCTGGTCTCAGTTTCTGTCCTGGTTTCGGTCCCGGTTTCGGCCCTGGTCTCGGCCCTGGTCTCGGCCCTGTCTCAGTCCCGTCTCAGTCCCCGTCTCAGTCCCCGTCTCAGTTCGGTCTCAGTTCCGGTCTCAGTTCCGGTCTCAGTTCCGTCTCAGTCCCCGTCTGTCCTGGTCCTGTTCCCGTCTTCCCGGTCTCAGTCCCGGTCTCAGTCCCGGTCTCAGTCCCGGTCTCAGTTCCGTCTCAGTCCCGGTCTCAGTCCCTGTCTGTCCTGGTCCTGTTCCCGTCCCGTCTCAGTTCCGGTCTCAGTTCCGGTCTCAGTCCTCAGTTCCGGTCTCAGTTCCGGTCTCAGTTCCGGTCTCAGTCCCCGTCTGTCCTGGTCCTGTTCCCGTCCCGGTCTCAGTCCCGTCTCAGTCCCGGTCTCAGTCCCGGTCTCAGTTCCAGTCTCAGTCCGTCTCAGTCCTGTCCTGTCCTCCCGTCCTCCAGTCCGGTCTCAGTCCCGTCTCAGTCCCGGTCTCAGTCCCGGTCTCAGTCCGTCTGTCCTGGTCCTGTTCCCGTCCCGGTCTCAGTCCCGGTCTCAGTTTCTGTCCTGGTTTCGGTCCCGGTTTCGGCCCTGGTCTCAGTCCTGGTCTCAGTCCCCGTCTCAGTCCCCGTCTCAGTCCCCGTCTCAGTCCTGGCCTCAGTCCTGATCTGGTCCCGGTCTCGGTCCCGGTCTCACTCCTGGTCTCACTCCTGTCTCAGTTCTGGTCTCAGTCCCCGTATCAGTCCTGGCTCAGTCCTGGTTTAGTCCTGGTTTAGTCCTGGCTCAGTCCTGGCTCAGTCCTGGCTCAGTCCTGGCTCAGTCCTGGTTCAGTCCTGGTTCAGTCAGTCCTGGCTCAGTCCTGGCTCAGTCCTGGTTCAGTCCTGGTCTCAGTCCTGGTTCAGTCCTGTCTCAGTCCTGTCTCAGTCCTGGCTCAGTCCTGGTTCAGTCCTGGTTCAGTCCTGGTCTCAGTCCTGGCTCAGTCCTGGTTCAGTCCTGGTTCAGTCCTGGTCTCAGTCCTGGTTCAGTCCTAGCTCAGTCCTGGCTCAGTCCTGGCTCAGTCCTGGTTCAGTCCTGGATCTCAGTTTAAGTCACGTAAATGGGAAACGTCCGTTATCCTTTTTTTTCTCCATTTTCCATTTAAACACAAAATCGAAAACTGGAAAAACAAATCTTTATCTGTTTTTTTCATTTTGGTTTTGGAGACAAATATTATTATTATTTTTTGTTTTATTTTGAAAAAAACACACGGATTTCTCTCTACTCTCTGTAATGGAGCAAACTAAACTAAACTAAATGTGTGTTTGTTTTCTCACCTTCTCCACCACAGACTCAGCGATGGACCAGAGCTCTGTGGCCTTGAGGAACTGCCCGTTGTTCACAGCGTCCTGAACCTGCTGGGCCACTCCGGTCACCTCGGCCAGCCCCAGGTCGTCCAGGAGAGACTGCACCACAACACCGAGGAAAAGTTTAATGGTTTGAACACAGATCATTTTGCACATTTCATCACAAGATAAACTTCATTAACTAAAAATAAGAGAATATGAATCGATTTCTCAACTATTATTATTACAAGTAGGTAACACAAGTAGTAACCAGTACTTAACCAGGTCAAAACCAGGACTAAACCAGGATTAACCAGGTCTAAACCAGGACTAAACCAAAGTCCAAACCAGGTCTAAACCAGTACTTAACCAGGTCAAAACCAGGACTAAACCAAGATTTAACCAGGTTTAAACCAGGACTAAACCAAGTCCAAACCAGGTCAAAACCAGGACTAAACCAAGTCCAAACCAGGTCTAAACCAGTATTTAACCAGGTCAAAACCAGGACTAAACCAAGATTTAACCAGGTTTAAACCAGGACTAAACCAAGTCCAAACCAGGTCTAAACCAGGACTAAACCAAAGTCCAAACCAAGATTTAACCAGGTGTAAACCAGGTCTAAACCAGGACTAAACCAGGACTAAACCAGGTCTAAACCAGGACTAAACCAAAGTCCAAACCAAGATTTAACCAGGTGTAAACCAGGTCTAAACCAGGACTAAACCAGGACTAAACCAAGTCCAAACCAGGCCTAAACCAGGACTAAACCAAAATCCAAACCAAGATTTAACCAGGTCTAAACCAGATCTAAACCAGGACTAAACCAAAGTCCAAACCAAGATTTAACCAGGTCTAAACCAGATCTAAACCAGGACTAAACCAGGATTAACCAGGTCTAAATCAGGACTTAACCAGGACTAAACCAAGATTTAACCAGGTCTAAACCAGGACTAAACCAAGTCCAAACCAGGTCTAAACCAGGACTAAACCCAAGTCCAAACCAAGATTTAACCAGGTCTAAACCAGGACTAAACCCAAGTCCAAACCAGGTCTAAACCAGGACTAAACCCAAGTCCAAACCAGGATTTAACCAGGTCTAAACCAGGACTAAACCAAGTCCAAACCAGGTCTAAACCAGGTCTAAACCAGGACTAAACCCAAGTCCAAACCAGGATTTAACCAGGTCTAAACCAGATCTAAACCAGATCTAAACCAGGACTAAACCAGATCTAAACCAGGACTAAACCAGGACTAAACCAGGTCTAAACCAGGTCTAAACCAGGACTAAACCCAAGTCCAAACCAGGATTTAACCAGGTCTAAACCAGGTCTAAACCAGATCTAAACCAGGACTAAACCAGATCTAAACCAGGACTAAACCAGGAGCGTAGCCAGAGCCGATCTCCTCCGCTGATGGTTTTATGTAATTAAAACACAAAAGTCTCTCCAGGGAAAGACGGGGAAATGGCGCTTGTTTCCAGGGCAACGGACATCCTGGACACGTGTCAAGTGTTTTTCTCCCCGTTCCTCGTTCGTTTGATTCGCCTGATCTGCCCGTGTGTGATCGCTACCCGCCCGTAAAATTCAAGAACGTTAAAACCCTCCCATTTCAGCAACTATTTGCTGGTACCCAACCCGGTGCAGGACTCTGGTGGAGAGGCAGGCCCGCTCACGACATCTTTTTTTCAATTAATTTTTAAGCACCAATTACCCGTTTACCTACTTTATAAAAGGTGCAGAATGTAACTTTTCTTGTTGTTCTACACTGTGGCATTAACCGTCATGGAAATAAGCAGGTAAAGCCAGGGCAAGTTACTGTGGGTTTTTTCGGAAGGTTCAATGCGTGTCCTAAAAAGAAGCACGAGAGATGGAGAATCCGAGAGAACAGACCACTTTATTTCAGCATTTCCATTGAGAGAGATTCAAGTTGATTACCAAGTACAACTGCCACCCCGGAACGACGTCTCTGACAAACTCAAACTCAGGGGAAGCTTTATACTACATCTTGACAAAACATTAACTTGTTGATTTAGCATATACAGCAAGAAAATGAACAATACTGCTGACCCAGTGCACCTTATCATGGGTGGGAACATGCCACGGGGTCCACATATGTCAGTTTTTCTACTTCGTGGCACTCAAAGTCCAGAAAAACATGTTCTTTATGGCACTCAAAGTACAGAAAAAACATGTTATATAGACCTATAGATAGTCATACATGTTTTCCACCCTGTTGTCATTCCAAAGTCCATAATATTAGGTGAATTAGCATGACCAACACATAATATTTCCCACATTACTCTCTGGACTTGAGACACTGACAGAGGACGTCCCAGAGGATTTTAAAAGACGAGCAACATCCACTAAATTCAACTGCTTCCTTCTGGTCCGAGGCTTTTAGTCCCAAGATCTAGAACGAATTGTTTTAAAAGGAGCTTCGTTCCGGCTGCTGTCGTACTTATGAATAAATTGTAATCTGTTTATCTAAGTGTTTTTAACATATTTAATATTTATTGTGATTTTAGTCAAGCGTGATGGATGAATTTAACTAATTACCTCCACCAAGGAGGTTATGTTTTTGCAGGCGTTTGTCTGTTTGTTTGTTTGTTTGTTTGTCTGTTAGCAACATAACTCAAGAAGTTATGGACCGATTTTGATGAAATTTTCAGGATTTGTTGGAAATCTGAAAAGGAAGAACTGATTTCATTTTGGGGGTGATCCGGAAGAAATCCTGGATTCTGGATCACTTTGAAATTTTAGTTAACATTGTGGTAAATGGGGCCAAAAATTTAGTTTCTCAATATGTCGGTTAATTATTGACCAAACCCCATGAAATTTGGCTCAGGGATGGACAATGGGATCCTCTTTCATATTCCAAAGGCTGATCCGGATCTGATCCAGAAGACTGATTTTATCGCAATTTATATAAAAAATGGGGGTAGTCCTTGGCGGAGGTCTGCGCTCTCTGACTGCTTTTCAAGTTGTTTATGGAACAAATTATTCTACACTGGAGCACTGTAACACTTTATTTTGTAATTGTGTTTTTATACATGTTTTGTGGATGAATGAAATGTGAAATGTGGAACCTGCCTCTCAAATCTGCAAAGCAAATTTACCTACGGGTACGAATAAAGCGACCGAACCCTAACCTAACCTGTTACAAGTCAAAACCAGGTTGTGTGAAGTCTTCTTGCGTCATGTTTTTCCAGGTATTTTCCATTTGAAAATGAACCAAAATCAAGACAGTTTTATTGTTGTTGCTTTGTTTAAAATGAAGGCAGAACCCACAGGTTACACACTGCACATTTAAATTTGCTCTGTAAATTTTTAAGGGTTTGTTTTTGTTCAAATCAATAAAACATAAAAAAAAATGAAACCATCGTCAGGCATGTACTTACGGTGGTGTAGAGGTACGGGCCCCAGGTCATCACAGAGTCTAACACAGACAAAACGCAAATATTAATACACAATAAAATAATCCAATCCAGCTTTATTTGTACAGCACAATTTACCAACATAAAGTCTCCAAAGTGCTGCACAGAGTCGGCTCAATAAAAATTAACACATTAAATAAAATAAAGCATAAAATAAATAAATAAGCAAGTCAATAAAAAACATAAAAATTACTAAAATACCAAAATTAGCAAATAAAATCAATAAAAGACAGTCAGGGGAGCACACAATTCTCACGCCGTGCTAAAAGCCCGAGAGTAAAAGTGTGTTTTAAACGAGACTTAAAAGAATCGAGTGAAGGTGCGCTTTTAACGTGAGGTGGGAGACGGTTCTGAAGTTTGGGGTCGACCGCAGAAAAGGTCCGGTCACCCCAGGTTCGCCCCGGCTTTTGACTCTCGTTTTTGGGACGACAAGTTGGGCCTCGACCTCAGAGTGTAGGGGACAGTGAGATCTGAAACGTACACTGGGGCCAGTCCATGAAGCGCCAACAGGGGAGAGGACGCTTTGGTAACAAGTTAGACAGACAATAAACACTTTTTAAGCTTTTAGAAACTACAATCTTGAACTGAATTGCTCACTATGACAACCAGATATGGAACAAGAGAAAAGAAAACATTGGACTAACTAACTAAATATGAGTTCACTCTTCAATTCATTGTATGGAATATAACATAGACGATATTTTTGACGGTAGTAAGTAAGTTTAACCTTTGCATCTTCATGGATCCTACCCTTTCATTCAGAACCCACATCAGCCACATCAGCAAAACATCTTTTTTGCCCCATCTCCGTAATATCACCTCTCTCCGCCCCTTCCTCCGCCGACTGTCACGCAGTCCACAGACGCACAGACGCTGTTTACTCCACCAACGCAACAGTTCTTAGTGGCGTTTTTGACCTATATCTTCCTCGCAGTTCGCACAAAGTTTGTTGCAATGGCAACAAGAATCCAGGAGCAGTTCGCCGCAAAAGAAAGTCAGTTTTTGAGGTCGCTGAAAGAAGAAGACAAGGGGAAAAGCAGCGAAGCCAAACTAAGGTGATTCTTGTAGATTCATTCCAGCGATGGCGCGACTGAAGCAGACGCAGGGTCTAAAGACTGAACCACTGGTCCACAAATTACTCCTGGACAGGAAACTTCTGCTTATTATGAAAACGTACTTTATTTCCAAGAGCGAGACAAACGTTTTTCAGGACACGAAAGCGATATCCTATGTCTGAAAACGTCATTTTCAAGGCAAAGAAAGAGTCCACTTGCTGCTGCGTGTTGTAGCTAGTTCATTCGCACTGAATCTCCGCGCACCTTCCCTGCTCCCCTTTCCTGCTCCTCTCCCCGCTGCCCGTTCCGGTCTTCCCACTGCTCCTCACTTCTCCGGGCACCGCTCCCGTCTCCTCTCTCCTCTCTCCTCTCTTCTCCCTGCTCCTCACTTCTCGTCCGCGCACGAAATGTCCGCACACCCCCTCCCCCCGCTCCTCACTTCTCCGTCTTGTCTAACCAACACTGTAGTTAGTTGTTTACAAGTCATGTGCAGTGCACCGGCTGTAAACAAACCTGTTTCTGGTGTAAGGATGAGGAGGGAGGAGGCGTTTCTGCGTAGGAGCTGTAGGGGAGGGGGGGTTGGTTTCACGCATGCGCAACATTTGAAACAGGACAAACAGTCGCTGGATTTCTTGTTCCTTGGAAAATCCTCTATACAACCTTTAAAAAAACTCACCTGTTCAATCTGGCATCCCTCCATGATTCCCTTGTTTTCTACTTTTATTTGTTTGTAAAGCGTCTTTGAGTGTCCAAAGTCTGATGTATTATTATTATTATTATTATTATTATTAATTATTATTATTATTTTAAAAGTCATTAACTTCTATTTGAAGAAGAGGTCAAATACAAACACATTTTGATTTTAGGATAATACAGTATTTTAAACTTGGACAACAGGGGAAATTGAAGATAGAATTTGAAGTTTCTATTGACTGATTTTGCTGAAAATTATAGATAGAAGATATGTTTCTTTAACTGATGAACTGTAATGGAAATATTATCAATGCTTTTATGTAAAAACTGGTAAAACAGGGACTAAGATTACTAAGATCTATTAATGCAGAACAAATGTCTGTCTGTGTCTCCTCCTGTTGGTTGGTTTGTCTGACTTTTCCACGCATAATTCTTGAACCGCTCGTCCGACTGATCTTAAAGGTTGTATGGAGGATTTTTTTTTTGTTTCAAATTGTCAGTGAAAGATTAAAATACCATTACAGAGACGCAGCAGCTTTGTAATTATGACGACCAAAAAAAAAAAGAACGAAAATCTATCAACTGTGGACGTGTTGAGGCCAGATAAACATCAGCCAATAGAAAACGAGGCTCCCTCATTTTCTATTGGCTGTTAGGTTGTCAATCAAACTCCCTAGTGTAACTGACTCGTCGGAGCGCGGGGATTACGTGGTTTACGCAGCGGTTCTTAGAGGCTTTTTCGAACTGTCGCTTCCTCGCATTTCGCACAAAGTTTGTCGCGACGGCGGACGAGAATCCACGACCGGTTCACCGCAAAAGAAAGTCCGTTTTTGAGGTCGGTGAAAGAAGAAGAGAAGAGGAAAAGGAGCAAAGCCAAACTGAGGTGATTCTTGGAGATCTCGTCCAGCGATGGCGCGACCGAAGCCGACGAAGGGTCTAAAAACTGACGCGTCGGTCGCTGAATTACTTCTAAACAGGTCACTTCAACAGTAATTCTGAATGCGCACAAGGACTGTCGCTGTATTTCTCTTCCCTTAAAAAAATCCTCTATACAACCTTTAAATTTGGAGGGTGTCATCCTAATGATACGGGTGTGTGCTGTGCCAAGTTTTATGTTGTTAGGGCAAAAAACGGCAAAGATCTGATTCCTATTAGATTATGTGATCTGTCCTCCCATAACATTACACACTTTTCTATTTACACAACAAAACTGAGCATTTTTATTTGACAATTTACAGCACTATATGATGATAAATATGTTATGACTTGATACTAACCCAGTGGGGAAATCCAGGAGTCTCCGAGAGCCACTCCAGCAAAGGTACATTTTATAGATCCTCGTGCAATGGCCTGGAATAAAAAAGTACAGCACAGTTAATCATTTTCTACACTCATTTAGTCATGATTTGATCTTATCAGCAGAGTCTACAACACTTCTGCTTTATTTGACATCAGTCTCTTGGTATTTTTGAGACTTACTGTATGTTGAATTTCTTATTAACAATCATACTTTTGCTCTTTGTTGTTATATTTAATGTGATGTGTGAGTTGTGGACAAATGCTTTCCCTTGTGGATCAATAAAGTTTTTCTAAGTTTATCAGAAGGTGCACGGTGTAACTTTCCGGATGAAGCGTCTGCCGCCTGCTTGTCTCTAAAGAAATGACTGTTTTGCCTCAGATGTTACACAGTACGGCATTAAACATCTACCCGGCATTTATTCTATTGCAGATGTTTAGACCTGGTTAAGTCCTGGTTCAGACTTGGTTAAGTCCTGGTTTAAGCCTGGTTAAGTCCTGGTTTAGACCTGGTTAAGTCTTGGTCCAGACCTGGTTAAGTCCTGGTTTAGGCCTGGTTAAGTCCTTGGTTCAGACCTTGGTTAAGTCCTGGTTCAGACCTGGTTAAGTCCTGGTTCAGACCTGGTTTAGACCTGGTTAAGTCATGATGTAGTCCTGATGTAGTCCTGGTTTAGACCTGGTTAATTCTTGGTTCAGACCTGGTTAAGTCCTGGTTTAGGCCTGGTTAAGTCCTGGTTTAGACCTGGTTAAGTCCCCTGGTTTAGTGGTTTAGACCTGGTTAAGTCTTGGTCCAGACCTGGTTAAGTCCTGGTTTAGACCTGGTTAGTCCTGGTCTAGACCTGGTTAAGTCCTGGTTTAGGCCTGGTTAAGTCCTGGTTTAGTCCTGGTTTAGTCCTGGTTTAGTCCTGGTTTAGTCCTGGTTAGTCCTGGTCCAGTCCTGGTCCAGTCCTGGTGTAATCCTGGTGATCGGCTCTGTGGTTTGTAGCATGTATATATTTATAATCTGCTAATGACACGGCGTAGGTCCAGTCCTGGTTTAGTCCTGGTTTAGTCCTGGTTTAGTCCTGGTTTAGTCCTGGTTTAGTCCTGGACTATCGGGCTGTCGGACTAATGGGCTGACCCTGATTTATCACGGGCGGGTAACGGGTGGAACGTTAACGGGTCCGGGCGGGTGCAGATTTAACTTTGATATAATGAGGTGTTAACGGGCGGGTGCGGTGCTGTTCTGTGCTGTTCTGTGCTTTCCACAGATCTGACCTGTAACCTGCTTGATCGTGCCACCTGTCTGTCTCCATGGAGTTATATAAGTTTAATGTCACCCTGGCAAAGCAGTAACATCTCCACGGAGACACCTGGTGATGAAAAGTTCCCTAATGCACCTTTAAGTCTAATTTTAGAAACACTGCGTCACGCTCACCTTAGTCAGCTCCATGGAGATCGCCGAGGCCATCTTCCCTCCATAGGACTCAGAGAAGATGTAGAAGGGAATTGTCTGCAAAATTAATTATATTAAAGGTTGTATGGAGGATTTTTTTTTTTAGTTTCAAATTGTCATTGAAAGTTTAAAATACCATTACAGAGACGCAGCAGCCTTGTAATTATGATGACCAAAAAAAAAAGAAAAAAAAGAATGAAAATCTATCAACTGTGGACGTGTTGATAAACATCAGCCAATAGAAAACAAGGCTGCCTCATTTTCTATTGGCTGTTCGGTTGTCAATCAAACTCCCTACATTTCTAGTGTAACTGACTCGTCGGCGCGCAGGGATTTTGTGGTTTATGCAGCGGTTCTTAGAGGCTTTTTCACACTGTAGCTTCATTGCAGTTTGCACAAAGTTTGTTGCGATGGAGGAAGAGAATCAACGACCAGTTCACCGCAAAAGAAAGTCAGTTTTTGAAAGAAGAAGAGAAGAGGAAAAGGAGCTAAATTGAGGTGATTCTTGGAGGTCTCTTCCAGCGATTGCGCGAATGAAGTAGACAGAGTCTAAAAACTTACGCATCGGTCACTAAATTATTTCTAGACAGGAAACTTCAACAGTAATTCTGAAAGCGCACTGGATGTAAACAAGCGTGATTTCTAGAGTAAAGAGGCGGGAGGAGGTGTTTCTACTGAGGGAGCTGCTTAAAAAATCCTCTATACAACCTTTAATTAATTATATTATATATATACAGTCTGGTCCCGGTCTGGTCCTGGATCTGGATCAGTTCTGGTTCAGTCCGGCATCGCATTCACTGAAGTCACGTAAATAGTAAACGGCCGTTATTCCATTCTTCATTTAAACACAAAATCAAAAACTGAAAAAACTAATCATTATCGTTTTTTTCATTTTAATTTTGGAGACAAATAATGAAGAAAATAGTTGTTTTTTTTTCGTTTTTCTTATTTTTGGTTTTATTTTGAAAAACGAATGAACGAACGAAACACGGATTAAATATCTCATTTTGTTGTTTTTGTTTTTTTGTCTTTATTGTTATCATTTGCCTAATTTATTTCAATACACATAACAACAAAACTCAAAGCTGTAATCTTGCGTTTACCTGAAATTCGCTGTGTGAGTTGAAGAAGTTCCTGAGCAGCACGATCATGTCCGAGGCCACGGTCGACACGTTGGTGGCGAAGGCGTCCTCCCTGTCTGTGTAACTGAAGCCGGTGCCCACGGGGTTATCCACGAACAGCACGCTCGCCGACTGCACCTGAACGCATCACGCAGAGAGAGAGACGGGAAAGTCACAGTGCACACAGCGCCCTCGTGTCCTTCGGCAACACACTTCGTCCACATCCTGTCAGTGTGAATGAAGCCCAAACTGTGTAATAGTCAGTGGTGACAGTAGTAGTAGTAGTAGTAGTAGTAGTAGTAGTAGTAGTAGTAGTAGTAGCAGTAGTAGTAGTAGTAGTAGTAGTTGTAGTAATAGTAGCAGTAGTAGTAGTAATAGAAGTGGTAATAGTAGTGGTAGTAGTAGTAGCAGTAGTAGTAGTGGTAGTAACGGTAGTAGTAGTAGTAGTAGTAATAGTAGTGGTAGTAGTAGTAGCAGTAGTAGTAATAGTAGTGGTAGTAGTAGTAGCGATATTAGTAGCAGTAGTAGTGGTAGTAGGAATAGTAGTCGGAGTTGTAGTAGTTGTAGTAGTAGTAGTAGTTGTAGTAGTAGTAGTAGCAGTAGTAGTAGTAGCAGTAGTTGTAGTAGTAGTTGTTGTAGTAATAGTAGTAGTAGTTGTATTAGTTTTAGTAGTTGTAGTTGTTGTAGTAGTTGTAGTTGTTGTAGTAGTAGTTGTAGTAGTAGTAGTAGTTGTAGTAGTAGTAGTAGTTGTAGTAGTAGTTGTTGTAGTAGTAGTTGTTGTAGTAGTAGTAGTAGTTTTAGTAGTTGTATTAGTTTTAGTAGTTGTAGTTGTTGTAGTAGTTGTAGTTGTTGTAGTAGTAGTAGTGTTGTTGACTACTAGGAGAAATTAGACAGTTTTAGTAGTAAGAGTAGTAATAAATAAGTATTATACTTTTACTTTTACACTTAAGTACAATTTTAAGGTATCTGTACTTTACTTAAGTACATTTTAAAGTCCACTCCACTTTAGATTTGGACTGAAAAGTGAAAAGTACTTTTCTTTATGGAAAGGCTGAATTGGGTGAGACTTATTTTTAGCACATTTCATTTGAGTTAATGCCCTGGAAAGAATATTGGTGTAGTTATACAAAATTTTATTTTTGTCTAGGCAAAACTGAGTTAGAGATATCTGCAATAAATATAATATCTGAATCACAGACTATAATTCTATTATTATTAAATAATTCCACATGGTCTGTCTGCTTCCTTTCAGAGCTGTTCCAATGGTTGTGCTGCTTCCACACATGTGTTTTCATATTAAAACATTTGACCAATCACATTTCAAGTATCACTTGTTGCCAGGCAGAGTCAAAGTCAAAAAAGTCACAATCTGTTCGTTCTGCAGGAACCTCGAACACAAAATAAATGTCCATGAAACTGTTGCTTCAACAAATCAGATTTTGAGTTGGTATCACCAGGAACTATAGCAGGACTAAACCAAGACTGAACCAGGTCTAAACCAGGACTAAGCCAGGACTAAACCAGAACTAAACCAGGACTAAACCAGGACTAAACCAGGTCTAAACCAGGACTAAACCAGGTCTAAACCAGGTCTAAACCAGGACTAAACCAGGTCTAAACCAGGACTGAACCAGGTCTAAACCAGGACTGAACCAGGTCTAAACCAGGACTAAACCAGGTCTAAACCAGGACTCTAAACCAGGTCTAAAACCAGGTCTAAACCAGGTCTAAACCAGGTCTAAACCAGGACTAAACTAAACCAGGACTCCAGGTAAAACCAGGTCTAAACCTAAACCAGAACCAGGTCTAAACCAGGACTCTAAACCAGGACTCTAAACCAGGACTAAACCAGGTCTAAACCAGGACTGAAAACCAGGTCTAAACCAGGACCAGGACTGAACCAGGTCTAAACCAGGACTGAAACCAGGACTAAACCAGGACTAAACCAGGACTAAACCAGGACTAAACCAGGACTAAACCAGGACCAGGACTAAACCAGGTCTAAACCAGGACTAAACCAGGACTAAACCAGGACTAAACCAGGTCTAAACCAGGACTCAGGTCTAAACCAGGACTAAACCAGGTCTAAACCAGGACTAAACCAGGACTAAACCAGAGGACCCAAAACCAGGTCTAAACCAGGTCCAGGTCTAAACCAGGACTAAACCAGGAACCAGGACTAACCAGGACTAACCAGGACTCTAAACCAGACTAAACCCAGGACTAAACTAAAAGGTCTAAACCAGGTCTAAACCAGGACTCTAACCAGGACTACCAGGACTAAACCAAACCAGGTCTAAACCAGGACTTTTCTAAACCAGGACTTAACCAGGACTAATCTCGCCCTCACTTTTTTTCCCCATGGGTGTAGTTTGGCAGCCACGTTTCCATCATTCTGCCCCAGGACAGTTTGGTTACAAATACACTAACTTACACCCTTGAATTATGACTGACATTAGAGAGACCGTCCTCCGTACCCATGTGGTTTCTCTGGGGTTCAGGTCTCCATCCAGAGGACCGATCTCCGCAAAGTTCCCGAAACCTGTCCCAGAGCCGCCCGGACCGCCCTGGACACACAAACAAAAGTCAACATCAGCAAACCCGAGCGGCCAAAACACACATTTACTCAGAGCCGAACACATTCAGGGGGGACTGGAGATCAGAGCGACCAGTCTATATCGGTCACTTCCACTTTTTGAAGCTAAAATAAATGCAACACACTTAGTCACGGTAAATGTGAGGAAACATCATGTGCTGGAAATATTTGTATTTTGGGCTTGTTCTTCAATCTGAAACCCCTGGGTAAATAAATACCGCTTTAAATATGTAAGTTGATTTTTTAAAATCCCTTAAACCTTCTGACCTACAGTGTCTCCAGATGCGAGTCAAATATGTTCAGGTCAAATATAACTTTTACTGACACCAGATGTAAGACGGAATTATTTTTAGTTACAAAAACGTGATGGTCAAGTCACAATGTGGTGTTTTTTTTTGTTTTGTTTTTCACCTCTACACCTGTCTGATGTTGTCCTGTTGGCTTCATCAGACCAGGACCTGCAGCACTGGGGCGGTTTGCAGCCGAGTGTGAAGCGGTTGGGATGAGGATCAGCTCTTCCAAATCTGAGGCCGTGATTCTCGACCGGAAAAAGGCGTCTTGTCCTCTCCGGGCGGGTGGAGAGTCCCTGCCTCAAGTGGAGGAGTTCAAGTATCTCGGGGTCTTGTTCTCGAGTGAGGGGAGGACGGAGTGTGAGATTGACAGGTGGATCGGTGCAGCGTCTGCAGTGATGCGGTCGCTGTATTGGACCGTTGTGGTGAAGAGGAGCTGAGCCGAAAGGCAAAGCTCTCGATTTACCTTCAGTCTATGTTCCTCCCCTCAGCTCTGGTCATGAGCTCTGGGTAATGACTGAAAGGACGAGATCGCGGATACAAGCGCTTGAAATGAGTTTCCTCCTCAGGGTGGCTGGGCGCTCCCTTAGAGACAGAGTGAGGAGCTCAGTCACACGGGAGGAGCTCGGAGTAGAGCCGCTGCTCCTCCACGTGGAGAGGAGCAGCTGAGGGGAACACCTTCCAAGGCAGGCACATCCCAATGGGAGGAGGCCCCAGACACGCTGGAGGGACTATGTCTCTGGGCTGGCCTGGGAATGTCTCTGGGTCCCCCTGGAAGAGCTGGAGGAAGTGTCTGGGGTGAAGGAAGTCTGGGAATCCCTATTTAGTCTGCTGACCAAGTGACCTGGCCCCGGAAGCGGAAGAACATGGATGGATAGATGGATGGATAATATACTCATAAATGATATATACATTATTAATATGCAAATTAGAAGGCTTAGAACTCAATATCCAGCTTGGTAAACAAAATATTCTGAATCAGCACCCTTAAATTATGTAAAAAATGGTTTATCGACTTTTCCTCAAATTTGCCGTTAGGACTTCTCTTCTGTGAATATACTCCTGGTCTGCTGGGGGGTGCAGGAGGATTGTTAATATTGTCACTAATACTCATTGTTACACCACCTTTTGCATTTTGAGTATCACATTAAACGCCTTCAGTAATGAAAGCCACATTTGACACTGACTGAACGAGAACAGGAAATCAACTCTTACCAAAACAGTAACTGTGTCACATGTCAGCAGGTAAAAATCTACTTTCAGTTTCACCTGCATTTGAAGGACACTTTCTCTGCTCATGGTGGACAATATTACACCACTTTACCCTGATCAGGCTGCTCTCCGGTCACTTTTATTCTGACTTTTGATTCAATTCCATGAGGATTTTAGCACAGACGTTCTTCTTGACTCCACTGCCCTCTCAGGAGGAGAAGGAGGAGGAGGGGGTCTTTTACTCTTACCTGCAGCCACATGACCAGAGGCAGGTCCTTGTACTCTGCAGATGGGGAGTCGGCGTAGTAAAGCCACCAGAACATGTGCGCCCCATCTCGGACCGTCACGTAGCCCCAGGTCTCTTTGCCCTGCAGTGGACTCGGGAACCCTGGACAAAGAAAATCAAAGTTTACAGAAGCAGCAGTAGGAGACATTTGTGGTTAGTGTGGGTGAGATTGCACAATTTGTCAGTAGAGATCAAGCTCTGATAACGACAATCTGTTACTATTATTTATTATTTTTATTTTTCATATTGAACTAATGCGTTATAAATATTTTTTTTGGACATGTTTGCGCTCACCAATCGATCTCCGAACAAATTATTATAACTTGTCCACGTGGTTTAGATATGCATCGGTATGTAGGACAACTGACACAAATAATAATAGCTTAATAAACCGTACCTTTTGTGAATAAAGAAGCGAAAATCAGCACCACGAAAGAGGATAACTGTAGCCGGTCCATTGTTGATGACTATGAAGTATGTGGCGCTACACTTCAGTGGTGCAGGTCACATGACACTTCCCAAGTCTGGTCAGCTGACTAACAATTTTCTTACTTTTTCTTTATCTGTGTTCAGTCCTTCTATTTTTTCTTCAGATTTTGTATTAAATATGTGATGTAGCAAACCGTAGAAGCCGTAATGTTTATAGTAAAGATAAATCTACAAAAAACCAAAACAAAACAAACAAAAAACAAAAAACGTGCTGCAATAGTTATAAGTAAAAATAAACAAATAATAATAAAAATGTTAATTAACGATTAAATGGTCACAATTCATGTAATAAATTAATTATTATCTCTCGCTTTCTTTTTTTAATTTTTATTTATTTTTATTTTTTACAAAAATAATCGAGTTCTCGTTCAAGAGGAGAGCGCCGCGAGATACAGGAAGTTTCCAAAACACTCCTGATTTTCAAAATAAAAGACAGTTACGTTTCCATATGTTTATTTTCCTATTTTCTTTCTTTGAAAACGCAAATTACATTACAGTTAAGCTTACTTGTTTACATAAAATATTAAATTAAGCGTCTCATTGAGTTTAAATAAAAACCGTGTAAACTTCAAAAATATCCCTCAGCATTACTTTGAAAACCTCCTCCGGCATCCTCCGCTTCTGTGTCAAACATGTTTTGAGCATGAATTAGCTCTGTGCAGTTGCTTTATTTCTGTAGTTTTTAACCTTAAATGTAAATCGCCATGACGACCAACTTCATCCGTGTGCGGCTGCACTTTGACTACGCCCCGCCGGCCGTGCTGGGCTGCCGCATGTGCTGGCTGCTGGTGGACCTGCGCTCGTGCCGTGTGGTGGCCGACCTCGAGGGCATCATCCGGGACAAGTTCGAGCTGAGCCGCGGCAGCATCGTCAGTCTGTTCATCGACGACTGTTACCTGCCCCACACCGAGAGCGTCCTGCTGGTGCGGGACAACGACTGTGTGCGGTGAGACACGCAAAATATCTCTGTCAAATTATGTTCTGTTCAAGATCTGGTTTTGTTTTCTAATCAAATGCATGTCCAGGCCTAAACCAGGTCTAAACCAGGTCTAAACCAGGCCTAAACCAGGCCTAAACCAGGCCTAAACCAGGACTAAACCAGGACTAAACCAGGACTAAACCAGGACTAAACAAAGAGTAAAACCAGGTCTAAAACCAGGCCTAAACCAGGCCCTAAACCAGGTCTAAACCAGGCTAAACCAGGTCTAAACCAGGTCTAAACCAGGTCTAAACCAGGTCTAAACCAGGTCTAAACCAGGACTAAACCAGGACTAAACCAGGACTAAACCAGGACTAAACAAAGAGTAAAAAACCAGGTCTAAACCCAGGACTAAACCAGGACTAAACAAAGAGTAAAATCCAGGTCTAAATCCAGGTCTAAAAGCAGGTCTAAAAGCCAGGACTAAACAAAGAGTAAAACCAGGTCTAAAACCAGGACTAATCCAGGACTAATCCAGAGTAAATCCAGGTCTAAAACCAGGTCTAAACCAGGACTAAACCAGGACTAAACAAAGAGTAAATCCAGGTCTAAAACCAGGTCTAAAACCAGGACTAAAACCAGGACTAAAACAGGACTAAACCAGGACTAAACCAGGACTAAACAAAGAGTAAATCCAGGTGTAAATCCAGGTGTAAATCCAGGTGTAAATCAGGTGTAAAACCAGGTGTAAATCCAGGTCTAAATCCAGGTCTAAAACCAGGTCTAAACCAGGACTAAACCAGGACTAAACAAAGAGTAAAACCAGGTCTAAAACCAGGACTAAACCAGGACTAATCCAGGACTAAACCAAGAGTAAATCCAGGTCTAAATCCAGGTCTAAATCCAGGTCTAAAACCAGGTCTAAAACCAGGACTAAAACCAGGACTAAAACCAGGACTAAACAAAGAGTAAATCCAGGTGTAAATCCAGGTGTAAATCCAGGTGTAAATCCAGGTGTAAATCCAGGTGTAAAACCAGGTCTAAAACCAGGTCTAAACCAGGTCTAAACCAGGACTAAACCAGGACTAAACAAAGAGTAAAACCAGGTCTAAAACCAGGACTAAACCAGGACTAATCCAGGACTAAACCAAGAGTAAATCCAGGTCTAAAACCAGGTCTAAACCAGGTCTAAACCAGGTCTAAACCAGGTCTAAACCAGGACTAAACAAAGAGAAATCCAGGTCTAAAACCAGGACTAAACCAGGACTAAACAAAGAGTAAATCCAGGTGTAAATCCAGGTGTAAATCCAGGTGTAAATCCAGGTGTAAACCAGGTCTAAAACCAGGTCTAAAACCAGGTCTAAACCAGGTCTAAACCAGGTCTAAACCAGGTCTAAACCAGGACTAAACCAGGACTAAACAAAGAGTAAAACCAGGTCTAAAACCAGGACTAAACCAGGACTAAACAAAGAGTAAAACCAGGTCTAAAACCAGGTCTAAAACCAGGTCTAAAACCAGGTCTAAAACCAGGTCTAAAACCAGATCTAAAACCAGATCTAAAACCAGATCTAAAACCAGGCCTAAAACCAGGCCTAAAACCAGGCCTAAAACCAGGTCTAAAACGGGACTAAAACAGGATTTAACAGGACTAAACCTTGCTGGGTGGACCGTGTCTCCTCTTCTTCTATCAATAATATTATTAATACGGTTGTAGAGCTGCTCGATTATGGAAAAAATCATTATCACGATTATTTAGTCAATACTGAAATCACAGTTATTCAGATTATTATTTTATTTTTTTTAGTTAAACAATTCAGCATTTCTTTTTGAAAAAAACAAACAAAACAAAACAGAAAACTGTTGTTACTGATACACAAATCTTTCAAATTGAAAATAAACATAGACTAATAAATACAAATATGAACCTTAGAGCAGTTCTGCGATGTGTAAAACATAAATGAATAAAATATACTTTGAACATGAAATAAGGCATAGGGAAACATAAATATATACAGAATAAACTATATATCCACCTGTGCTACAATCTCAATATTTAAAAAATAAAATGAATATACTTATTTATATTAAAAATATCCCAAAATAAACTTTATAATTTCACAAAGCATTTAAACTCAATTATGAGTTTGGAGATTGTTTGACTCATAAATTGAAATTGCGATAAAAATTCTATTAATTGCACAGGCTTAGCTGGTTGGTAATAATAAAATTGTGAAATGAGTGCGTATTTAAGAGAAATTGTCTGCACTTGGCACTAATTTGAGTCAGTATAGTCACATTTTCTTTGTGTTTTGGTAATTTTCAAGCAGATTTTCTGTATTTTACCAAAAGAAATGACGATTTATCCCTCTCTTTATTGTTGGCAGGAACATTTCTTGTATAAAACTGGAACAAATCAGTGGTTTTGTATAAATCTGCTGGGACAGGGGACACAGGACTCAAAATTGGGACGTCTGGTCACCCTGACTAATATAACTTTTTAGGTGTTGATTCCTGTGTGTCCGCATGAGGATACTTTACCTTTTTGTCTGGAATATTCCTCAGGATAAGATTACACTTTTATATCTGCATGGAGACAAGCCGACGACACCACAAGGCCAAGTTACAGGTCAGATCTGTGGAGAGTCAGGCCAGCTCACTGTCCCGGTAACGGACGAAGAGCCTCATTACAATCAGTACTTTAAAGGCTGTATGGAGGATTTTTTTTTTTTAGTTTCAAATTGTTAATGAAGTTTAAAATACCATCACAGAGACACAGCGGCTTTGTAATTATGATGATCAAAAAAAAAAAAGAAAAGAAAATCTATCAACTGTGGACGTAGTGAGGCCAGATAAACATCAGCCAATAGATAAAAAGGCTACCTCATTTTCTATTGGCTGTTAGGTTGTCAATCAAACTTCTTACGTTTCTAGGGTAACTATGCAGCGGTTCTTAGAGGCTTTTTCTAATTGTAGCTTCCTCGCAGTTTGCACAAAGTTTGTTGCGATGGTGGACGAGAATCCACGACCAGTTCTCCGCAAAAGAAAGTCCGTTTTTGAGGGGAAAAGGAGCGAAGACAAACTGAGCTGATTCTCGGAGATTCCTTCCAGCGATGGTGCGACTGAAGCAGACGAAGGGTCTAAAAACTGAGGTGTTGGTCTCTAAATTATTTCTAGAGGGAGCTGTGGAGGAGGAAGGTGGTGTCACGCATGCACAACATTTGAAAAAGGACTGTCGCTGTATTTCTCTACCCTTAAAAAATCCTCTATACAACCTTTAAATCTTAAAGGCACATTATATAACTTTTTATTAGTGGATCACCCCCCAGAGCAGTTGAAATATAAATTTATACAGTTAGTTTTTCTGAAATTAAATGACTAATACTAATTGCTGACACTTTTTTGACCATTTGTGTCTGACAGGGTGAAGGTGGACAGCGTCTCTACAGCTCAGAAGTCTCCAGAAGCCCCCGGTAAAAACAAACGCAAGCGGCAAAGACCTGCAGAAGACGAGGGATCGCTTGAAAATTCATCGGGTTTGGAATTTAAAAAGAAAAAGAGGAAAAGGAGCGTTGTGGAGAGCCCTGCTGTGAACGGTCTACAGACAGAGACTGAGCAGACGGACACAAACCCGACCAAAAAGGACAAAAAGAGACAAAAGGAGGAAAAGGAGAAAGCGAAAACGAAAAGTACTCCTCCTCCGGTCAAAGCAAGTCCGAGTGTGAAGAAATCTGCAACAAATACTCCAAAAATACTGAATACTACTGCGACAAAGAAGCCTCAGATTGCTTCTTCTTCAAGTACGAGCAGTGAGGAGGAAGAACCAGTAAGAAAGATTCCTGCTCCTAAACCGGTATCTAAACCTGCCCTCGCGTCTCCCAAAACGATCCAAAATGGTCGACCCGCTTCCAAAAAACTCCCCCCTCCATCCTCCTCGTCGTCCTCGGACACGGACTCACCCTCGGAGGAAGAAGAAGGCAAAACCGCAAAAGCGAAAATGACGAATGATACGTCGAAATCGGCGGAGGCGTCGCAGCGGTCCGCCGACAACGTGATCCAAAACGGAGGAGACGAGAGCGAGGAGGAGATCCGGTTGGTGATCAAGAAGCCGGTGCAGCATCCACACGGACGCATCGTGCTGGGGCAGACGTGGCAGCAGGGAGGAGGGGAGGCGGGAAGAGGAAGAGGAGCAGGGAGAGGGAAGCCGGAGCCCAGGGAGTCGTGGGGCAAAGGGAGAGGAAGAGGAAGAGGAAGAGGAGGCAACTGCGTCCAGTACGACTATCAGGAGAAAGAGACGGGCAAGAAGGAGGCGTCGTACAGCACGGACTCACTCACCAACGTGTCTGTGGTTCTACAGGTGAGGATTTTTATGGTTCACAGACAGTGTTGTGGAGTAACAGATTACATGTACCGGAGTTACGTAATCAGAGTACAAATTATGAGTAACTGTATTCAGTTACAGTTACTGTTTCAGTGAGTGGTAATTGGATTACAGTTACTTTGTTGAAATAAATGGATTACACGGAGGTATTTTCCTGTTTTCACATTTTGGGCTATAGCCCTTTTTTTGTTTTTGTTTTTCTTTTTCGGTAACTCCACTCATTGCCGGACACTAAATCAGGTCTAAAACCAGGTCTAAACCAGGTCTAAACCAGGTCTAAACCAGGTCTAAACCAGGTCTAAACCCAGGACCAGGTCTAACCAGGTCTAAACCAGGTCTAAACCAGGTCTAAACCAGGTCTAAAACCAGGTCTAAACCAGGACTAAAACCAGGATTAAAACCAGAATTCAAACCAGGTCTAAAACCAGGTCTAAAACCAGGTCTAAAACGGATCTAATCCATGACTAAACCAACACTAAACCACATCTAAACCATGTCTCAAACAGGATTTAACAGGACTAAATCCTGCTGTGTGGACGTGTCTCCTCGTCTTCTAGCAATACGATTTTTAATTTGGTTCAGTAAAGTCTGGGCTTTTCATTTTCTTTTATCAGACAAAACTTCTTATGTGAAGATTTCCTCGTCTTTGCTTCTCTACAGCAAATCAAGTAATCCAAAGTATTCAGATTACATTACTCACTTTAAGTAATTTAATGGATTCTGTTACAAACTACATTTTGGGGTATGTAATCTGTAATCTGTAGGGGATTACATTTTAAAAGTCACCTTCCCAACACTGGGGGCTGGGTATCATTCTTTTGTAAAGTGAATGTAACTGCCCTGGTTTTCTTCACGCTCCGTACTGATGATCATGTGTCAATATTTATTCTCAGTAATCTTCCACTCCATCAACACACTGAACACCTTGAAAACTAAAATAAGAGCAGACAAAAAAAAATACCTCAGCTTTACATAAATACCTTTAAATAAATGCAGAATTCAAAACAATATATTTACCGTGTTCGCCTAAACATCACCAGCGTAGTTAAGTAGCTTTTTTTTTAAAAGTTTGACGTCTTTTCTTTACACCGTTTTCTCTTTTGGCGGCTGCTATTTCTCACTCTCACAAGGTAAAAGGTCACATCACTGATATTAAAAATATAATAAATAAATAAAATTGAAATATTTTTACAAATAAAATATAAAATTAATAACAGTGGTGTTTTGACACATCTTAATATTTGAATGAATAAAATAAGGATTTTCTGACTTATTACCCTGAAAACAAATATACTGACAGTTCATATAAAACACACTGATTTTACTCATCAAAACAGTGAAAATGTCAAATGTGCCGCATAAATGAGTTTCCCTCCACTAGCTGTAACAAAATAATTTAGTAAAATACTCCAAAAAATACTCTTGGCGATATATCGACACAGCAGTCCACGATATCGATACTGTATCATCACATTAAATGGTACGATATATCGATATTTTTGCACACCTCCGTTCACAGATCACGCAGACTTTTGTTGTAAAACTTCATCAAAACACTCCTTCAGTATTTTGCAAAGTAATTAAGGTACCTGGGGTGATCAGACGTCCCGAAATTTTAACTAATGTCCCGAATCCCGAGTCCGGCTCTAAACGTCCACTCTCCAGATTAATTCGCTCGTCTTTAGTGCAGCCGCTTCGGGTTCAAGACCTTGATTTGTTTTTCTTTTGTTCTTTCTTCAGTGTCGTGTGTAAATTAAACAGTTTATTAAAACTCAATGTTTTTATTAGTTAACGTGATTTTTGTGATTGAAGAACACAGAAAACAGAACAGAAAAGCAACTTGTGCATCAGCAATCCTGAGCCTGCACTTTGACACCACACCCTCCCCTTCCCAAATTTTAGTCAACACCGTCCTGAATTTCTGCCAATCTCATCTGGTCACCCTAAAGGTACCTCAGAAATATTTGCATAGTTGGCTTATATTAAGAAATTCTTCTTCTTAAATGATGGTAATAGTCCAACTCTAAAATAAAATCAAAAGCACAAACACTTCACTTGTGCAGCAGTCGGCCACTGGCGTTTTTGGGGCTACTACAGTATGAAGTTTTGCAAAATTTTTAAAATAAATTCAAAGCTGTTTCATGCCAAATTAAAAACTGAATCTATTTTGAACAGAACGGCCCAAGTGTCCCCAGACCTGACTACAGCACCATGCCTCTGCTGGCGGCGCCTCCACAGGTGGGACAGAAAATCGCCTTTAAGGTAAATCTGTCGTTGCTGCAGCATCTCTGGACAGTTAACAACCACCGAACTTTGTGGATGACACTTGTCAATACTTGTTTTTCTTTTTATAATAGCTTTTGGAACTGACGGAGAACTATACACCAGAGGTATCCGATTATAAAGTAAGTTCAGTTACAATTGATGTTTTCTTTTGTTCATAATTTTATGTCCGTTTTTATAACCAGTGTTATTTTTAGGAGGCAAAGATTTTAAGTTTTGACCCAAACACCAAACAGATTGAGCTGGAACTACTCACTTCTTTAAAAGGTATCATCCCCATGTTCTAGGATTCATAGCTAAAATCCAAAGTCTGCAGAACATGTGCTCATGAATGTTTTCCTGTTTTCTCTTTTCCTTTCCACAGCTCCGGTCGAGCCCGGGAAGTTTGACCTGGTCTATCAGAATCCAGATGGGTCCGAGAGTGTGGAGTACGCGCTGGACAGAGGATCTTTAGTGAGCAGCTTTAGTATTATTAGTACTTTATTTATTATTAGTAGTCACTTTTAAAAATAAATTAACCTTAGACTTGGATATGTGGATAACAAAATTCCAGCCGTTTATGCAGCAGATTGGGTTGGAGACATGAACAAGTTTGTATAGTATGTTATTTGCCCAAAGAAGCCTTTTCTTAATCCTCACGCTCTCCTCGGGGTCACATTGACCCAAAGAATTTTTTTTCCTTCCAGCTCTCTTGGGGTTGGTCAGTAAGACCCAAAAATTTATTTTCAAATAAATTCTCACCAGGCGAGAAAGTCTGATTGACCTGCCCCACGAGAGCAGGAAGGAAAAAAAAATCTTCGGGTCAGTGTGACCCCGAGGAGAGCGTGAGGGGTTTGTTACTAAAAATAAAACAAAGCATTTTTTGTACATTTATTAATGTATTTTATTTCTTTATAATTATACAAAGCAATACATTATTATGGGGCACATTTTTTATTTGTTCCAGTGCAAACATTTCATAAATCTTCACATGCCTTTTTGTTCTAATGCAAATGTTTTATGTGACTTTTATGTTTTATGTCAGGTTAAGTTTTAGTACAAAATTGCCTTTGTTCAGCAGCCTGTATTCAAACTAATGTGACTGTATTTGTTGTAGGTAACTGAGAGGTGGGATTCTCTGCTCGAACCAAGACTCATCATTTAAAGTGGATCTAACGAAGTGAAGCAAAACCTGTGAATCTTGGATTATTCCAGTGTTAACGAATCGATAGGTTACCGTTCATTTTAAATGCTTTTTACTGGTCTGTAATTTGCTTTTATGAACCCTGATTTGTTAATGGGTGTACAACGATGACATGTTTTTATTTTTGTACAAATATGTGAATGTAAATGTTTCCTAATTAAACTATAAAATCTAAACAACACCTAGTAATACTTGTCAAACCAGATTTTTACTCATCAAAATGCACAGTACTGGAGAAGCACGCTCGTCTGATCACAAATTATTTGTTGTAGTTGCAGGATTTACTACAAAAGGGTCCTATTTCAAGTTTCAAGAGATTTCTGCCCTTAATGAAACCTAATTAATTGTGCGAAGTTGCAGTCATGGTGGAAAAGTACCAAAACAGAATGCAGATGGTCCAGCCGGGAGAAAACAGAGCAGAAGAGCAGAGGTTTTCCCAATTAAGACTGATTATATGGGTTTCAGCTTTCTGTTATATTCGCCATTTTGAGCAGTGTTCACGATTCAAAACATAAATTCTGATATTTTCTGTTTAGTATATTCCATTTATCTGAAACCCTGTTCAATGCACGAGGTCAACCGAGGTCAGACGCAAAACAAGTGTGAGGTCTCCTGGGAAAATTATGTGGAATATTAAGCAAAGAATCAACATTTCACTTGGTTTTCTATGATTATGCGGTAAAAGTGAGCTTTCTTCAACACTTGTAAGGATATTATATGTTGGATTAGTGTCATATACATGTCGCTCTTGCAGGTTACGAAGTTTTAGTGTCACATACAAAATCTGTTAGGATTCAGATAAAACAAAGATAAAATGGTGTATGATATGGGATAAGACCAGATTTTCAAAATAAAACCTGGAATATCCCTGGTTTGTGGAGGCTGGTAATAATACAATTGTAAAACGAGTGCGTAATTTAAGGAAAATTGTTATGCACTGGGCCCATTCATGACTAACATGACTCAGTATAATCACATTTTCTTAGTGTTGGTGATTTTTAAGCAGATTTTCTATATTTTACTGAAACAAATGACAGTTTATGCTTTTTGGGTTGGTCATACTCAGACTTAAAGGAGCACTATGTATAGTGTGACCTGATTTTCAAACTAAAAAACTGGATCGTCTCTGGTTTGTGGTGGTTGGTAATAATAAAATTGTGACACGAGTGCGTAATTAAGGAAAATTATTAGTAATAGGCACTAATGTGAGTCAGTATAGTCACATTTTCTTTGTGTTTTGAACGTTTTTAAGCAGATTTTGGGTATTTTACCGAAACAAATGACAACTGATGCCTCTTTTTACTGTTGGCAGGGATCAGATTGGTCAAAAATAAGGACATTTTTTGTATAAAACTGGGACAAATCAGTGTTTTTTGGATAAATCTGCTGGGACAGGGAACACAAGGCTCAAAACTGGGACTGTCCTGAGTAAATAGAGACGTCTGGTCACCGTATTCAAAATAAAAAATTGGACATCCCTGGTTTGTCATGCTTGGTAATAATAAAATTGTAAAACGAGTGCATAATTAAGGAAAACTGATCTGCACTCGGCCCATTCATGACCAAAATGTGAGTCGGTATAGTCACATTTTCTTTGTGTTTTGGTCATTTCTAAGCAGATTTTGTGTATTTTACCAAAACAAATGACATACTCAGACTTAAAGGGAGCACTTTGTGTAGGGTGACCTGATTTTCAAACAAAAAAACTGGGACATCCCTGGTTTGTGGTGCTTGGTAATAATAAAATTGTGACACGAGTGCGTAATTAAGGAAAATTGTTAGTATTAAGCCAGTATAGTCACATTTTCTTTGTGTTTTGGTCATTTTTAAGTAGATTCTGGGTATTTTACCGAAACAAATGACAATTGATGACCTCTTTTTACTGTTGGCATGGATTAGATTGGTCAAAAATAGGGACATTTCTTGTATAAAACTGGGACAAATAAGTGTTTTTTGGATAAATCTGCTGGGACAGGGAACACAGGGCTCAAAACTGGGACTGTCCTGAGTAAATAAAGACGTCTGGTCACCGTATTCAAAATAAAAAGTGGACATCCCTGGTTTGTGGTGTTTGGTAATAATAAAACTGTGAAACGAGTGCATAATTAACGAAAATTGTTAGTATTAAGCCAGGATAGTCACATTTTCTTTGTGTTTTGATCATCTTTAAGCAGATTTTCTATATTTTAACGAAACAAATGACAATGTATGCCTCTCTTTACTGTTGGCAGGGATCAGATTAGTCAAAAATAGGGACATTTCTTGAATAAAACTGGGACAAATCAGTAGTTTTAGATAAATCTGCTGGGACAAGGAACACAGGCTCAAAACTGGGACTGTCCTGAGTAAATAGAGACGTCTGGTCACCGTATTCAAAATAAAAAAAAACTGGACAACTCTAATTTGTGGTGCTTAGTAATAATAAAATTGTAAAACGAGTGTGTAATTAAGGAAAATTGTTCTGCACTTGGCCCATTCATGACCAACATTCAAGTCAGTATAGTCACGTTTTCTTAGTGTTTTGGTCATTTTTAAGCAGGTTTTCTGTATTTTACCGAAACAAATGACATACTCAAACTAAAATAACTGGCATACCCCTGGTTTGTGGTGGTTGGTAATAATAAAATTGTGACACGAGTGCGTAATTAAGGAAAATTTTTAGTAATAGGCACTAATGTGAGTCAGTATAGTCACATTTTATTTGTGTTTTGGTCATTTTTAAGCAGATTTTGAGTCTTTTACCGAAACAAATGACAATTTATGCTTTTCTTTACTGTTAACAGGGATCAGATTAGTCAAAAATAGGGACATTTCTTGAATAAAAATGGGACAAATCACTGGTTTATGGTGGTTGGTAATAATAAAACTGTGAAGCAAGTGCGTAATTAAGGAAAACTGTAAGTAATAAGCTCTAATGTGAGTCAATATAGTCACATTTTCTTTGGGTTTTGGTCATTTTTAAAGAAGATTTTGGGTCTTTTACTGAACCAAATGACAACTGATGCCTCTTTTTTACTGTAGAAAGGGATCAGATTGGTCAAAAATAGGGACATTTCTTGTATAAAACTGGGACAAATCAGTGGTTTTGGATAAATCTGCTAAAAACTGGTACGTCTACTTACCCTAGACAAACAAAATGTGACTATAATACATTTCTGAAATGGATAAATCTGCTGGGACAGGGAACACAGGGCTCAAAACTGGGACTGTCCTGAGAAAATAAAAACATCTGGTCACCGTGTTCAAAATAAAAAACTGGACATCCCTGGTTTGTGGTGTTTAGTAATAATAAAACTGTGACACGAGTGCGTAATTAAGGAAAACTGTTAGTAATAAGCACTAATGTGAGTCAGTATAGTCACATTTTCTTTGTGTTTTGGTCATTTTTAAGCAGATTTTCTGTATTTTACCGAAACAAATGACAACTGATGCCTCTTTACTGTCGGCAGGGATCAGTTTGGTCAACTATAGGGACATTTCTTGTATGAAACTGGGATAAATCCGTGGTCTGTGGTGTTTGGTAATAATAAAACTGTGAAACGAGTGCGTAATTAAGGAAAATTATTAGTAACAGGTACTAATGTGAGTCAGTATAGTCACATTTTATTTGTGTTTTGGTCATTTTTAATAAGATTTTGGGTCTTTTACTGAACCAAATGACAACTGATGCCTCTTTTTTACTGTAGAAAGGGATCAGATTGGTCAAAAATAGGGACATTTCTTGAATAAAACTGGGACAAATCAGTGGTTTTGGATACATTTGCTCAAAACTGGGACGTCCGGTCACCTTAGACAAACAAACTGTGACTATAATACATTTCTAAACACGGCTAATTACGCGTCACGTGGCGTACAAGACAATACACACCTGGATTATTAATAAGCACCTGTCTCGTGACGCGGGGCCTCGTGCGTTTAATCCACCAATCGGCGCCCACCGTCTGTCCTCGCGCTCTTATGTCATAGCAACAGCAGCAATAACACATACACACACACACACACACACACACACACACACACGCCGCCTCCTCCTCCATCCTCCATCACCACAACCACCAGAGACGCGAAGGATGGCGACCGACGAGCAGCCTCCCACATCCGCACGATCGTCCTAACACACCCGGGCATCGCGCACCGGGGGGGAACGCGCTCTGGAACATGGAGGAGCAGCACCACCATCACCACCACCATCAGCCCCAGCAGCCCCAGCCCCAACCCCAGCCCCACGACCAGGAGCAGCTGCTGCAGGTGCTCCGGAGGCTCAAGGAGGTGTTCGACATGTGCGACCGGGACGCGGACGGCTTCATCCGGGTGGAGCACTTGATCAATCTCGGGCTGCAGTTCGGACAAGGAGACGAGGTGAGGTTTGTTTTTTGTTTTTTTAGCGACATATTTGACATTTTAGCTCGAATTTTGACAAGAAAACATCACCAATACGGCGCGTTTTTCTCATTTGGAGAAAAAGCTCCCTCAATGTCACACGTGTTTCGAAATGCCATACGATGAAAACCTTAATCCTTTTTTCCCCCCAATTAGCTCTGAAAATAATGAGCTATCGATTAACTAGGCCGACATCGATATGACATGGCGTAATGACTCACTCCTGTCTTTAATTGAAGTGATTTTCATAGCATCTGCAATGTGAATTACGCTTTTTAAACCTATTTACGATGGATACTAATCGCGATTTAACGATATCCAAATGACTCGCTACGATATTATCACGATATGCGTCTCGCCGTACGATATTTATTGCGATATAATTGTAGATAGGACGCTTTTTTTGCTTTTAAAATACCCTGACAAGATTTTGGTGTGAATTATTACCGTCACAATCTCGAGAAATCAACAAAAAAAACATATGACTTCATGTTGTTTGTGCTGAAATGAATCATGGGAAATGTAGTTCTCGGTGTTTGTCAGCTATTGCAGCTGTAAAACAATGTATTTAAGCAAAGAAACTTGTGATTCGATGTATATTGTGATGCCCCAAGGTATTATTACTGATGAAACTGTATCACAATATTTCGGTTATTGTTACGTCCCTATAATACACAATATTTTAACAATCTTCATGACGTCAAAATGGCTCTTTCATTTGTTTTAGATAGTTTCTGGTGGTATTTGAACTAGGGTGACGAGATTTTTAGAATTCTAAACTGGGACACACCCCGGTTGGGATGGTTGTTATAAATAACATTGTGAAAAGAGTGTGTAACATTGTGGATTCTCGGGTCAGTCATGATCTGCATTTTTTTGCTTTATGGTCATTTTCAAACGCGGTTTTCTGTATTTTGGCAAAACAAATGACAATTCATGGTCCTCTTTACTGTTGGCAGGGATCGGATTAGTCAAAAATTGTGATAGTCCTGGTTTAGAGTTGATGTGGTACTGGTTTGGTCTTGGTTTAGTTCTGGTTTAGATCAAATTGGTAAAAAATACGGGTTATTTCTTGTATAAAACTGGGACTGTCCTGGGTAAATAGGGATGTCTGGTCACACTAATTTAAACCCTAATCTTATATTTAATTTATAAAACTGCTGAATAATGGCGAGTAAAAAATAGTATAGTTATCAAAAGTAAACACTGAAACTTAATTTTTATTTGAGCAGATATTGATACTAAAATAGTTTCATTTGTAGGACAGAAATGAACCTTTCCCGATTAGTTTGAGAATGATCTTGAGCTTTGTCAGAACAAGTATAAGAGCACATAGACTAGTATACGCCCATGGACCTGGTTTAGACCTGGTTTAGACCTGGTTTTAGACCTGGTTTAGACCTGGAATACTATAGAACCTACCTGGACCACTGAGGGATTACACAGATATAAGGCTACATGAGAGTATTAATAAAAAAGGTACTACAATTTAATGTTGAAAATCACATTAAATGATTAAAGATGACCAGAGTTTCAAAATCAAAAACTCTGACGCTCTGATTGGGTTGGTTGGTAATAATCACACACATCATTTCACAATTTTATTAAGGAAAATTCTTCTTCTCGTGGCCCGTTCATGACTAATATGTGAGTCAGTATAGTCACATTTTCTTTGTGTTTTGGTCATTTTTAAGCAGCTTTTTTGTATTTTACTTAAATAAATCACAGTTTATGCCTATTTTTACTGGTGGCAGGGATCAGATTGGTCAAAAATAGGGACACGTAAGGACATTTCTTGTATAAATCTGTTGGGACAGGAGACACAGGCTCCAAACTGGGACTGTCCTGAGTAAACAGAGACATCTGGTCGCCTTAATTAAATGGTACTATGACAATCGTAAAACTGCAAACTCTATTTCAATACTAAGGTCTCTACAGGACTCTGTACTCCGTAAACACTCTTTCTTTAGACAATAGAATGTGATTTTCAACATTAAATGGTAGTAATTTCTTTTCTATTCCCATGTGTCCTTATATCTGTGTTATCCCTCAATGATCCAGGAGGTTCCATAGTGGTCCAGGTCTAAACCAGGTCTAAACCAGGTCTAAACCAGGTCTAAACCAGGTGGAAACCAAGGTCCTAAACAAGGTCCTAAACAAGGTCCTAAACATGTACTAAACAAGGTCCTAAACCAGGACTAAACCAGGACTAAACCAGGTCCTAAACCAGGTCCAAACCAGGTGGAAACCAGATGGAAACCAGGTGGAAACCAAGTGGAAACCAAGGTCCCAAACCAGGTCCAAACCAAGGTCCTAACCAAGGTCCCAAACCAGGTCCTAACCAAGGTCCAAACCAGGTCCAAACCAGGTCCTAAACAACGTCCTAAACCAGGTCCAAACCAGGTCCAAACCAGGTCCAAACCAGGTCTAAACCAGGTCTAAACCAGGTGGAAACCAAGGTCCTAAACAAGGTCCTAAACATGTACTAAACAAGGTCCTAAACCAGGACTAAACAGGTCCTAAACCAGGTCCTAAACCACCAGGTCCAAACCAGGTGGAAACCAAGGTCCTAAACCAAGGTCCTAAACATGTACTAAACAAGGTCCTAAACCAGGACTAAACCAGGTCCAAACCAGGTCTAAACCAGGTCTAAACCAGGTGGAAACCAAGGTCCTAAACAAGGTCCTAAACATGTACTAAACAAGGTCCTAAACCAGGACTAAACCAGGTCCTAAACCAGGTAGTAATCCAGGTCCTAAACCAGGTCCTAAACCAGGTCCAAACCAGGTGGAAACCAGATGGAAACCAAGTGGAAACCAAGGTCCCAAACCAGGTCCAAACCAAGGTCCAAACCAAGGTCCAAACCAGGTGGAAACCAAGGTCCTAAACAAGGTCCTAAACAAGGTCCTAAACCAGGTCCAAACCAAGTGGAAACCAAGGTCCTAAACCAGGTCTTAAACCAGGTGGAAACCAGATGTAAACCAGGTGGAAACCAAGTGGAAACCAAGGTCCCAAACCAGGTCCAAACCAAGGTCCTAACCAAGGTCCAAACCAGGTCCTAAACAAGGTCCTAAACCAGGTCCAAACCAGGTCCAAACCAGGTCCAAACCAGGTGGAAACCAAGGTCCTAAACAAGGTCCTAAACAAGGTCCTAAACCAGGTCCAAACCAAGTGGAAACCAAGTGGAAACCAAGGTCCTAAACCAGGTCTTAAACCAGGTCCCAAACCAGGTCCAAACCAGGTCCTAACCAAGGTCCAAACCAAAGTCCAAACCTAGGTCCTAACCCAGGTCCTAACCCAGGTCCTAACCCAGGTCCTAACCCAGGACTAAACCAGGTCCAAACCAGGTCCAAACCAGGTCCAAACCAGGTCCAAACCAGGTCCAAACCAGGTCCGTGCGCGTATATTAGTCTGTGTGCCCTTATACTTGTTCTAATACAGCTCAAAATCATTCTAAAACCTCAGAAAAGCTTCATTTCTGTCCTGTAAATGTGACTTTTCCAGTATCGATACCCGCTCAAACGAGTATCTAGTTTCGATACCGGTTTTTCGCATCGATTAGTGTCTGACTTTGGACTTTTGACAGCCCTCGTTTATAAAGAACCCGCATTCCTCTGAACTGAAACCGCATTACTTTTTCATTCGTACATCCTGTCTTGTTTTGCAGAAGAGGTTTACGTTGTCGTGAGGTTTGCGTTGCCATGGCAGCAGAGGCTTTAGAGTCGTCTACGTGTCAAAAGACGTTAAAATGGGAATTCGTTTTAATCCGTAACGAGCCGTATCTAGACCGGGGAGAGAGTGGATTTTCTGCAAAGCTGTCATGGCGGCCGAGCTCTAAAAATAACCTGTTTTCTAGAAGCAGTTTCTTCATCTTCCTCCTCCTCCTCCTTCTCCTCCTCTTCTTTCTTCATCATCTCTGTGTTTTTCTCGCTATGGAAACAGGAGCTACACTTCGATAATAGTTCATGAAGCGAGTGAACGGAGAACCTAATTAGACGACGCTTACGAAATGAAATGATAGTTCAGATCTTAGTGGAGTCGAAATATTACACAGCTCGTGCCTGGACAGATTAAACTCTTGGGTGTTTTTTTATTTATTTTTTGGTAGCTGTTATTGTGAAACATTTGTAATTTCTTTCCGTGAAGACGAATAATTTAAAGGGAACATTTCAGGCAAAGCAGTAACATCTCCAGGACATAGTAAACGTACATTTTTTTTTGAGTTTTCTACCATGTTATAGCATTATTCCCTCATCAAAAACATGCTTGAAGTGGTTTTAAATGTCATCCATGCATGTTTGAGTAATCTAGTGATCTCTCCCCGTCACTATTTGAAGCCTTCGTACGGGCAGCAGTAAGTTTTTATCCAAAATTCTCCATAAATATACCAAAACAATACTCTACAACTTCACAAACCCAGTGTTGGGGAGTAACAGATTACATGTACCGGAGTTATGTAATCAGAGTACAAATGATGAGTAACTGTATTCAGTTACAGTTACTGTTTCAGTGAGTGGTAATTGGATTACAGTTACTTTGTTAAAATACATACTTTTCACATTTCGGGCTATATCCCTTTTTTTTTTTTCAGTAATTCCACTCATTGCCGAACACTAAAACCCGGACTAAACCGGACTAAAACCCGGACTAAAACCCGGACTAAAACCAGGTCCAAACCAGGTCCAAACCAGGTCCAAACCAGGTCCAAACCAGGTCCAAACCAGGTCTAACCCAGGTCCTAACCCAGGTCCTAACCCAGGTCTAACCCAGGTCCTAACCCAGGTCTAACCCAGGTCCTAACCCAGGTCTAAACCAGGTCCAAACCAGGTCTAAACTGGAAGTAAACCCGGTCCAAACCCGGTCTAAACCTGGTCTAAACCAGGACTAAAACCAGGACTAAAACCAGGTCCAAACCAGGACTAAAACCAGGTCCAAACCAGGACTAAAACCAGGTCCAAACCAGGACTAAAACCAGGTCCAAACCAGGTCCGAACCAGGTCTAAACTAGGTCTAAACTAGGTCTAAACCAGGTCTAAACTGGAAGTAAACCAGGACTAAACCAGGACTAAACCAGGACTAAACCAGGTCCAAACCAGGTCCAAACCAGGTCCAAACCAGGACTAAAACTAGGACTAAAACTAGGACTAAAACCAGGTCCAAACTAGGACCAAACTAGGACCAAAACCAGGACTAAACCAGGTCCAAACCAGTCTAAAACAGGACTAAATCATGCTGCATGGACCGTGTCTCCTCGTCTTCTATCAATAATATTTTTAATTTTGTTCAGTAAAATCTGGGCTTTTTATTTTCTTTTAGCAGATAAAACTTCTTATGTGAAGATTTCCTCGTCTTTGCTTCTCTACAGCAAATCAAGTAATCCAAAGTATTCAGATTACATTACTCACTTTAAGTAATTTAATGGATTACGTTACAAACTACATTTTGGGGTGTGTAATCTGTAATCTGTAGGGGATTACATTTTAAAAGTCACCTTCCCAACACTGACCAAACCTGATACAATGTGCAGTAGTTTCTTTAAAGGGATGGACGCTGATTGAGTTTGCTCTGAAGGGGGAGTGACTTAGCGCTGGGGGCAAAGGGAGGCAGTGTCCTGTCGTTTTGAGCTCCCGAGGCAGAAGTAGAGTAACAAGTAACACTGACCAAATATCGACTTGTGTGTGTCAAATTTGCGGCAGAATATCTGTGTTAGACGATTGAATAATTTGGATTTAATATTTGAGTTTATCATTATCACTTTCATTACATCGTATTTTATTTTCATGTGTAGAAAACGTCGTAACTGTTAAGAAAGACGTTGTATAAATAAAATATCACCATTTTATAATAAGAAATTAACACTGTAGCCTTTGATATTAGCTTTAAATATTATAAATTTAACACTGTTTAATATAAAGATTTCAGTGTTTCCAGTCATTTCCTTCTCTTATATAGTGGGAGTCTTATTTGATAGAAGATGTAGGTCATGAGGAAATGAGCTCCTCCACCTAAATTCATCTAAATGAGTGAATAATGATGGTGATTCTACAGCGGGAGCATTATTCGATGGTTAAATGCTCCCTTTAGTCAGAGCCCTTTTTGAGCAGAACACAACTGTCCAAATGAACTACGCAGATTCATATAAATGAGTTGAAATTTTACATAACTAAGGCATAAATCAGGGGGTCACCTAACTTTTTTCTCTGGGGGGCCACATTATCGCTTCTGACTGTGACGGGGGGTCGGGGTCGGAGCCGTATAACAGAATTGAACGACCCTGACGACACAGATTATATTCTTTAAACACAGCCACACTTTCTTTACATATCAGACAAACTGCACGCTCCTTACACTGAACAAAAAAAGAATCGTCCACTGTTCTTTGAAAACTCTGCACTAGGGACGGGCATTCGATGAAATTTTCTTAATCAATCGTCGATTAATCATTAACATTTTTATATTAAAGTGATCACAATTATTATTACTATCTGCACTACTAATCTGCATAAATAAATTCAACTTTACGACATGTAAACTGTAAAAACTCTAGAGCCACATCAGCCCGTTTGAGATTATAATGTGTTTAGTGCAGATTTGCGCAACTCTCACAGAAACGAAACTTAAAACCGCATGATTCATTTGCATAAACTAAGCGAAGATCAAACTACAGCTCTTGTGTCGCTGATGCGGTTCAACTTCTGTCGGATTAAAAGACATGACTCAGGTGAATACAGGTTAGTGTGACCATATTTTGCGTTTGTCAAAACCAGGACACCGTACGGGGGGAGGAGGTGGGGACTCGTCATCGACATTGTGCGACTCTCACCTGGTGAAACATTTCCCCACTGGACACGAAACATATGTGCTGCTTTATACACTGTGCACATGGACTCACACTTGTCCCAACCGGAACGGAAAACGAGGAATTTCTTGTACAAATCATCGTTAAATACGCATTTGTGCTTCGGTACACTGCAGACTGACCCACTGTTTGTGTCTCTCTCCTTCTGATGCAGAGACACATGTACACACCTGTTTGGTCACACTATACACAGCAACATACATTCGGTTTGTCGATTAAAATTAACGTAATCGATGAAATTCTTAATGATCAATTATCGATTAATCGACTAATCATGCTCATCCCTACTCGGCACTCTCTGTCATTTTGTTGTCCTTAACTGCACTACAGAACTCTGCATGTGCGTTGACTATCACTGTTTGATCTTGAGCTTGTGAGGTGACGAAAATTTGGCGGCAAATGTAAATACATCATATATTTAAATATAAATAGTTCATAGAAATATCTTTTTTTTTTATAGAAAAGTCAACAAAATACAAGATACAGGCCTGTTATTATTTGACAAAATAGGCCATGACACTTTTGAGGATCGCCTCATGGGGCCAGTTCAAGTGGAGCGGGGACAGAGGGGCTGGAGGGGGCGGTCGAAGGGACGTGGAGGGGCCGGAGTTGGCCCGCGGGCCTTAGTTTGATGACCCCTGGTATGAAGTATGATCACCGTCTGCAAACAGCACAAGGCCCGCTGTCTCTAATCCAAAGAAAATGTTGTAAAACTGTGGAGGTCAGGCTTAGGCTTTATTGGTTTTATACAAATGTAAACGGAAAAATGTGAGGTATCTTATTTTGACGGGGTAGCCCATTTCGACAGAACAGGAATGCAGAGTGTCAGAAATGTATAAAACATGTTAACATGTTGTTTTCAATATAGCATTTTCAATACAATAAAAGGTAAAAGTTGATCTAAATATGTTATGTGCAGTGTTGGGGAGTAACAGATTACATGTACTGAAGTTATGTAATCAGAGTACAAATGATGAGTAACTGTATTCAGTTACAGTTACTGTTTGAGTGAGTGGTAATTGGATTACAGTTACTTTGTTGAAGTAAATGGATTACACGGCGGGATTTTCCTGTTTTCACATTTTGGACAATTCCTTTTTTTTTTTTTTTTTTCTTTGGTAATTCCACTCATTGCCGAACACTAAACCAGGTCTAAAACCAGGACTAAAACCAGGACTGAACCAGGACTAAACCAGGACTAAACCAGGACTAAACCAGGTCTAAACCAGGACTCTAAACCAAGGTCTAAACCAGGACTAAACCAGGAAACTAAACCAGGACTAAACCAGGTCTAAACCAGGACTAAACCAGGTCTAAACCAGGTCTAAAACCAGGTCTAAACCAGGACTAAACCAGGTCTAAACCAGGTCTAAACCAGAAAACTAAACCAGGACTAAACCAGGACTAAACCAGGACTAAACCAGGACTAAAAGGTCAGGACTAAAACAGGACTAAATCCTGCTAAACCAGTGTGGGACGTGTCTCTTCTTCTATCAATAATATTTTTAATTTGGTTCAGTAAAGTTTGGTCTATTTATTTTCTTTTAACAGACAAAACTTCTTATGTGAAGAATTTCCTCGTCTTTGCTTCTCTACAGCAAATCAAGTAATCCAAAGTACTTCAGATTACATTACTCACTTTAAGTAATTTAATGGATTACGTTACAAACTACATTTTGGGGTGTGTAATCTTTAATCTGTAGGGGATTACATTTTAAAAATCACCTTCCCAACACTGGTTATGTGTTACCAGTTAATACCCCATAGAATCATAATACCCCTCTGTAATATTTGTGTAGTTTGCAAAATACATAACGCGTTCTAAAATAATGTTGTTAAATATCCTCCCGTCTCAGATCAAGAGGCTGACCAATTTCCTGGACCCCAACGCTCACGGCAAGATCAACTTCCGAGACTTCTGCCACGGAGTGTTCGCCATTAAAGGTGAGACGGGACGACGTGCGGCGGAGATCTAAACCTGCATGTTTGTGTTCTCACAGTCGGGGGGAGCAGCGGTTTAGGGCCGAGACGGGGCTGATTGTGCTTGTGTTGAAATGTGAAGAGCAGATTTTACTGTTGTCTGCTCCTCGTGTAGCTCAGGTTCAGACTGATTTGTGTCTCTTCTCCGTCTGCTGCAGGCTGTGAGGAGATTCTGAAGATGCCCGTCACCGCTCGCTCTCGCTCCTCCAGTCAGGCTTCAGTCACTGACAACGGATACATCTACCAGGTCAGACCAGGAATAATAATAATTTCACTTATTACCAAGACTATATGACTTTACTGGCTGCCTTAAGAACATCAATAACTTGGCCTGCGCACCTTTATCTTATTTTTTAGATTACAAGGAAACAATCTTAAAGTTAAACAAGGACTTGTATCTTCTAACTTTTATCATACTCTAGAACAGGGGTGGGCAAATATTTTTTCCATGGGACCTCATGAGAAACAAAAAATATTGTGGAGGGTGAAATGAAATGAATGAAAAAGTCAATTCTGCATAATATTAATTGTATTTCTTCTGTAAATGTCATTGTTTTGACGAGCTGGTCAGACTGGTAAGAGTTTGTTATGAAACAATGAAAAAGAGAGGTTACCCTACAAAAAATGTTTAAAAGAAACACCCAAAAATCAAAGCAATGCAGCTTTAGTCCATGCATGAGGTAAAATTATAAAATGTGTTTATATTGTACTTCCAGATGAGCTTAAACAGGCCGGTCAGGGTCATCCAAAGGGCCGTATGTGGCCAGGGACCTGCACAATGTCCAGCTCTGCTCTAGAAACACAAAATGGAATGATAGTCTTCTTAAATTCCATTGAATACTTTTTTTTTTAATTAATGTTTGTTAAATGTCTTGGTGCTGGTAATAACGACTTCTGTGTGCTTTAAGTTCCATAATTATGTAATATTTTGTATCTTTGTATCTTTCATTACTCAGCCACGTCAGAAAAAAGCCACATAATGTCAGGGCATCTGTACATGGCGCCATCTTGGAACTGAACTACATCTATGCACACTGGTTTTATGTGTCTGTAATCATAGATCTGTTATATTTGAAGTGCAGCTCAGCTCACTGTCCATTTAGTGGACGTTACTAAATCTTTTACATTTACTCTTTGGCCTGTTGTGGTTCGTCCTGTACTACGTCTGTCTGCTGAATGACAGAGTGCGCATATTCCCAGTCGGCCTGGCGCTCCATGTTGAATTTAAATGGGAGTGGTTGCTAGGCAACAGCAGAGAGAGTCTGACGGAGGCGTGGCCTCCTCTGGTCCCGACGAGTCCGGACGACTTAGTGGAAAAGACAGTGTTAAAGGGCCGATGCTGACAGGGCTGACAGGACCGACAGGGCCGACAGGGCGTCCTCACAGGACGATCACGTACGGACCTGAAGTCTGTGCTCAGACTGATCATCACTGTACACTGTGCTGCTACATGTGAGGAGGATGACTCTGATATATGATAATTTATTCATCTTAACCTTTACAAGTCACCTTCACCAAACTGAGATGTATACCCTCTTATATAAACCCTCTGATGTTCAGAAGCCTAATCCTGCTTCATCCCAGTATTTAGAGCTGTGATGTATGCAAACTAAATGGAGCAACCCACACAAATATCTCATGTCACTTTCCCCGAGCAGAGCCCAGCAGCCCCCTGCCTCTGTGTAACTCTTCTGTCTTCACACAGACAGTCTGATAGACTTTGCTTGTGTCTGATGTGTTTGTGTGTTTTCAGAATGGTGAGGCGAAGCTGGGCCCTCCTAACATAGTGTGCAGCTCTGAGCCCACACACCAGCGACGGTACGATCCTCTTCTCACTGTAACACACACACACATAAACACACACATATCTCTGTGATTATTGTGCATATGTGTATATAAACCACATCCTCCTGCTCCTCCCAGCAGCAGCAGTGCGTCTGCCTCGGTGCTCTCTGGAGAGGAGCAGTTCGAGGACTATGGTGAAGGAGAGGACGTGGAGTTCAGCCCCAGCAGCCCGTGTCCAGAGGAGGACTCCCCCCACACTCACGGCTTCTCAGAAATGGGCTCCTCTCTGCCCTCCAGGTCAGACACAGCACAGCTCTCTGGAAATGCACCACTTCAAACAACTGCTTTAATTTATTTTAAAAACTGCACTTACTGTGTTTGACTGGAACAGTTGCCTAAAGGCGAGTTATTCTGCAGTGTCAGCGCTGTTTGGTGTGTTTGGTGTGTTTGTGTGTGTTTGTGTGTGTGTTTGTGTGTGGTGTGTTTGGTGTGTTTGTGTGTGTTTGTGTGTGTGTGTTTGGTGTGTTTGTGTGTGTTTTGTGTGTGTTTGTGTGTGTTTGTGTGTGTGTTTGGTGTGTTTTGTGTGTGTTTTGTGTGTGTTTGTGTGTGTGTGTTGTGTGTGTTTGTGTGTGTGTGTGTGTGTTGTGTGTGTTTGTGTGTGTTTGTGTGTGTGTTTGGTGTGTTTGGTGTGTTTGGTTTGTTTGTGTGCGTACAGTCCAGTCCTGAGTTAAAAACTGCAGGTCATGTGAGACGGCGGCAGTAGCTCAGTTGGTGGAGCATTCGCCCACTGATCTGAAGGTTGGTGGTTTGAATCCAGCTCTCCACATAAGAACATCACAGGTTGAGCGGTCAGATTCCACTGACTCACAGGTTGAGCTGGTGTGATTCCAGCTCCCACAGATGAATGCTGCTGTTGTGTCCTTGGGCAAGACACTTAACCCACCTTGCCCACAGTGTCTCCGTACACTGGTGTATGAATGTGCGTGTGAATGGGTGAGTGGTTCCTTGTTGTAAAGCGCTTTGAGTGCTGCTATAGAAAAATGTGACCATTTACCATTTACCTTGAGACATTTGCCCACTCTGCTCTTATGTGTCCATTTTCTCTTCATCTCATACGTGGTTTACAACTGTTACACCGCACATTGTGCTTCTCGAGGTCATTCATTCTCTTTTTTTTTTTTTTATTAATTTTCAATTTATTCAGTGTTGCTTTTGCATGTATCGCAATCCATCCATTTTCTTCCACTTATCCGGGCCCGGGTCATGTGGGCAACAGTCTAAGCAGGGATTTCCAAACTTCCTTCACCCCGTACACTTCCTCCAGCTCCTCCAGGGGACCCCAAGACGTTCCGAGCCCAGCCCAGAGACATAGTCCCTCCAGCGTGTCCTGAGTTTTCCCTGGGGCGTCCCCCCGGTGGGAAATACTCGGAACAGTCCAGGAGGCATCCGGAACAGATGCCCGAGCCACTTCAGCTGCTCCTCGTGGAGGAGCAGTGGCTCTACTCCGAGCTCCTCCAGTCTGCTTGAGCTCCTCACCCGATCTCTAAGAGAGCGCCCAGACACCCTGCGGAGGAAACTCATTTTAACCGCTTGTATCTGTGATCGTGTCCTTTCGGTCATTACCCAGAGCTCATGACCATAGGTGTAGCATATGTATGGTAGACCATATTTATCACAATATATGTGTCTGTTTGTATAACTTAAATGAATATCAAAATAAGAAATGTCCAGTCCCACATTCGCATTCATAAACTCTCATTCATACACCAGTGTAAATGGACACTGGAGTCAAGGTGGGTAAAGGGTCTTGCACAAGGACACAATGACAGTATTCACGCAGGAAAGTGCCCAGTATGGACACGGTGTTATGTGTGTGTGTGTGTGTGTGTTTGTTTGGTATATATGCTGAATAGCAGTCGTGTTTCCATCGGCCTGACTCGTGGCTCGAGTTGTGCTCTTTATCACTGTCAGTGTAAAATAGTTTTCTGTGATTGTCAGGAAGTTTACCCCAGAACAGGACAGGACGTTGCTGTGGCTGTAGTTTATCACCACTGAGTGTCGAGTGAATAAATAATTTGGCTTTGGGTTCCCTGAAAGACGTTATATAAATCCACTGCATTATTATATAAACTACACTTGGTGTTGCTGTTTGTTGATTATTAGAAGTATTAGTATCTTAAACCAAGATGTTGACAGATTTGTTACACTTTGAAGTTTTACACTGTGTTTTTCAACCCCGTAAACCTTCATTAGAACCATTTGGATCATTTCAGTCCTGGAGATGGCGATCTCTGCTGAACAAAAGGTAAAAGGTAGCTGTTAACTTAGATTGATGTATTTATGTTTTGCAAGTAAGAAATGTACATTCTTTTACAATAAAACATATAACATTAATGAAACCAAAGCAGATACGACAACAACAAAAGGAGTGGGAAGAACAAAACGTATTTAATCCTACTCCCTCTTCTAATCTAACACAATGAGCTTTCTTTTGAATTTTTCAGACATTTTGCATTAAACTATAACAACTATTTACAAGTGCGGACAAAGAGTCACTGCTATAGATTAACAGAACTGTATTGCAATTAGTGCTGTCATGCGATTAAAAAAATTGAGAGATTAATTAATTATGATCTGTAATTAATTAATCAAATTAATCTCATTTTAATCTCACCTAAAAATTGCTGAGAAAAGCTTCAATTTGAGGTATTTTCATTTAAATTCATTATTACATTATTGTGGCAGATCAAAAGACTAGATTTAAAAAAGTGACTTTATAAAGTCATTTATTGTTTAACAAATTTCTCCAAATTGTCTGTTGAGCCCAAGTCTCCATGAATAAGAAACTGTTTGTTGTAAAGTAGCAAAGACGAGGAAATCTGAACATAATAACTTTTGTCGACTTAAAGACAATAAAAAGTCCAGTCTTTCCTTAACCATATTAAAAATATTATTGATAGAGAAATGCTTTATATATGAGATCACTGGTTTTAGTCCTGGTTTTAGTCCTGGTTTAGACCTGCTTTAGACCTACTTTAATCCTAGTTTAGTCCTGGAATGGATTAATCCTGGTTTTAGTTCTGGTGTTAGTTCTGGTTTAGTCCTGGTTTAGTTCTGGACTGGTTTAGTCCTGGTTTTAGTCTTGGTGTTAGTTCTGGTTTAGAGGTGCACAGGAGGAAGCGCGGTTTACGCCGCGTAGCGAGAAAACACGGTTCACACGCGGCTCACGGGAGCACGTCGGTGTCCGCGCAGTAACTACGGAAAGAAACGTGGTCCGCGCGTTCTCAGGTTAATGACGATGATGAAGGTGTGTGTGTTTGTGTGTGTTTGTGTTTGTGTTTGTGTGTGTTTGTGTGTGTGTGTGTGTGTGTGTGTGTGTGTGTGTGTGTATAGGACAGTAGTGCAGACATCATGAGTCTATGCAGGTTGTTTTCACCAGTGACATTTAAGTTGTAGGCGATATTATATTTGTTATTTTCTTTTATATTTCACGTCAGGAGAATAATTTCCAAGACACGAATGTGTTTTTCCCTGTGCACTGCTGCTCTGTTCTACTGGCTCTTCCACCTCGTCCATTGTGCGACTGACACCGCCAACGTCGCTCTTACTGCGCGTGTTTTGTGCGGGTTTCCGACAATGAGTGGAATTGCCGAAATTAAAAAATTTATAAATGTGTTTTTGTGTGTGTGTGTTGTTGTCCCAACAACACATAAAAACAGGTTTTTATAATGAAGCAACTCACATACAGAAACACTAAAGTTAGAGATTAAAAATGAGATTAACGCGATTAAAAAACATAACGCGCTAAATATGACTGTAATTAATTAATCGCAATTAACGCGATAATTTGACACCCCTAATTGCAATAATACAGAAGAACACCAACAATGGGAAGGAAAATTAAAGGTACTCACAATGGTAACAGACAGCACAAACTAGCACTACAGAAGGAAGTATTGTTCTAACATTAAGACCCAATCTCTCTATAAACTGTGACAGACAATATGTTTATAGAACAACTTGAACTTTATGGACATTTTGGCGTTGCTTGAGACGTGTATCCAGAGTTTTAGACCAGATACAGACACACAAAAACTTTTATGGGTAGTTCGAACTATTTGAAATTTCCATACCCTCTAAAATTATAAATTCTCTCTCTCATTTTGAACTTTGACGCTTTGTAGATGACTTGGTAGTAAATTGATGAACGCTCTAAATAAAATGACCAGTGTATAATATTTTACAAGGTCGGGAATCTTTAGGAGCTTGGATTGAATAAAAAGATGTTGGGTGTGTTCTAAAAATCCCAACTTTATGGATAATTCGCAAAGCTCGTTTCTGTAATATCCAATCCAATCCACTTTATTTCTATAGCACATTTCACAAACAAAGTGTTTCCAAAGTGCTGCACAAATACATAAAAAATAACAACAATAAGATGATAAAGTAAACTACTAAAATAATACTAGTCTTAAAATAATAAAACCAGTAAAATAAAAATAAAACTAAATCATAGAATAGAAATAAATAAACCAATAAATAAATTAAATCAGTAAAACCAATAAAAACACATAAAAATAAATAAAAGACACAGAGGAGCACACGACTCACGCGGTGTTAAAAGCCAGAGAATAAAAGTGGGTCTTCAGACGAGATTTAAAACTCTCCACTGTGGAGCTGCTCGAACGTGAAGCCTCAGATCGTTCCAGAGTTTAGGGTCGACCACAGAGAAGCTCCTGTCCCCTCTGGTTTTAAGTCTCGTCTTAGGCCCTGAGCTGGAGCCGGACCTCGGACCTCAGAGCGCGAGCAGGGGTATAAATTTGGATGAGGTCCGAGATGTACTGTGGGGCCAGTCCATTCAAAGCTTTAAAAACAAACAATAAAATCTTAAAATCAATTCTAAAATTAACAGGAAGCCAGTGCAAAGACGCGAGGATTGGGGTGATGTGCTCGCTCCTTTTTGCTCCTGTTAAAAGTCGCGCTGCAGAGTTTTGGACGAACTGTAGTCGGTAAAGTGCGTTTTGCGAAATGCCGGAATAAAGTGCATTACAGTCGTCCAGGCGTGATGAAATAAAAGCGTGCATAACTTGTTCAAATAGTTTAAAAGATAAAAAAGGTTTAACTTAAGATAAAAGTAATAATATAATAAAATGATTCATAATAATATAATTAGGGGTGTCAAATTATCGCGTTAATTGCGATTAATTAATTACAGTCATATTTAGCGCGTTATGTTTTTTAATCGCGTTAATCTCAATTTTAATCTCTAACTTTAGTGTTTCTGTATGTGAGTTTCTTTATTACAAAATCTGTTTTTATGTGTTGTTGGGACAACAACACACAAAATAAAAACCCATTTATAATTTGTTTTATTTCGGTAATTCCACTCATTGCCGGAAACCCACACAAAACACGGCAGTAAGAGCGACGTAAACGTCATATTCATGTTCGCGGCGTCAGTCGCACGATGGACGAGAAGAGCCAGTAGAACAGAGGCAGCAGTGCACAGGTTAAAACACATTCGTGTCTTGGAAATTCTTCTTCCGACGTGAAATATAAAAGAAAATAACAAATATAAAATCGCATACAACTTAAATGTCACTGGTGAAAACAACCTGCATAGGCTCATGATGTCTGCACTACTGTCCTATACACAAACACACACAAACACACACAAACACACACAAACACACACAAACACACACCTTCATCATCGTCATTAACCTCAGAACGCGCGGACCACGTTTCCTTCCGTAGTTACTGCGCGGACACCGACGTGCTCCCGTGCGCCGCGTACGTTTTCTTGCGTACGCTGCGTAAACCGCGCTTCCTCCTGTGCGCCTCTAAACTAGAGCTAACACCAAGACTAAAACAGGGACTAACCCAGTCCAGGACTAAATCAGGTCTAAACCAGGACTAAACCAGGACTAAACCAGGTCTAAACCAGATCTAAACCAGGTCTAACCAAGGTCTAAAACCAGGTCTAAACCAGGTCTAAACCAGATCTAAACCAGGTCTAACCAAGGTCTAAAACCAGGACTAAACCAGGTCTAAACCAGGTCTAAACCAGATCTAAACCAGGTCTAACCAAGGTCTAAAACCAGGACTAAACCAGAACTAAAACCAGGTCTAAACCAGGTCTAAACCAGGACTAAACCAGAACTAACACCAGGACTAAAACCAGGACTAACCCATTCCAGGACTAAACTAGGACTAAAGTAGAACTAAAGCAGGTCTAAACCAGGACTCATATATAAAGCATTTCTCTATCAATAATATTTTTAATATGGTTAAGGAAAGACTGGACTTTTTATTGTCTTTAAGTCGACAAAGTTATTATGTTCAGATTTCCTCATCTTTGCTACTTTACAGCAAACAGTTTCTTATTCATTAAGACTTGAGCTCAACAGCCAAATTGGAGAGATTTGTTAAACAATAAATGACTTTATAAAGTCACTTTTTTTAATCTATATCAGTCTTTTGATCTGCCACAATAATGTAATAATGAATTTAAATGAAAATACCTCAAATTGAAGCTTTTCTCAGCAATTTTTAGGTGAGATTAAAATGAGATTAATTAGATTAATTAATTACAGATCATAATTAATTAATCTCTAAATTTTTTTAATCGCATGACAGCACTAAATATAATTAAAGGATTAAGTGTACATTGGTAATTCAACGCAATATGTGAAATAATGGAGAACCAGTGAACAGCAGAATGTACGAAGGGCATTTTGAGCAAGGTAATATTTCACTTTGGAATTTATTTTTATTTTTATATGTTTAATGTAGGCTTTCCGCGATACTGAAATGAACTTGAAAACTACTTTATGACATCACAAGGACAAACTGAGCACTTTGAGGTTTGGTGACGTAGACGGACTAATATTAAAGTATTATTCAAACATGTGAGAGTGAAACAAAACACAAGTCCGGGTCTGTTTTCTGAGGAGGCAACAACGTTCTAACATGGCTCAAAGCTCGCAAAAGTGTAATAAAACTGCACTTCTAAACGTGTCTGCTGTGCGATTGTGGTTGCAGCGGCGGCGAGACTCCCCAGAAGATGCGTCAGCTCTGTAACAGCGAGCTCCTGGACATTTACTGCTCCCAGTGCTGCAAGAAAGTCAACCTGCTCAACGACCTGGAGGCACGGCTCAGGAACCTCAAGTCCAACAGGTATGACCCCGTGTGGCGCGAAGAGGCCACTGCGTTCTCCTGGCCTACTTATTTACAAGCGCCGCGCATTTCACATTCACATCATTTTATTAATCCCACCAGGGGCAATTAGTTTGAGCAATAAAACCAAACATTCAACACACAGTGAAGCGATTCTGTGCACAGACGAGCTCTCAGGTCCACGAAGCGCCCGTTAAAAACACTTTACATCCACACAGGAATTATATTTAAAAGGCTAATGACTGGTTCATTTTAGACAGTCTGCAGTGGTCCTAATTATTCACCAGTTTATAGTTTAGAGTTTATAAGAAACCAGAGTGGGCTTTGGCGTCGCTTTAATACTCACAACAACTAGAATGAACACAACATACAAGAGCTTTTACAGAAATATGTGTGTAAAAAATAAGATGAAGCCACTTGATAAGATGTTATTCTAATCCGTTCAGTATAAAATCAAAAATAAGAAAATGAAAAAACAACTATTTTCTTCATTATTTGTCTCCAAAACCAAAATGAAAAATACAGATAATGATTTGTTTTTTCAGTTTTTGATTTTGTGTTTAATTGAAAAATGGAAAAAATGGATAACGACCGTTTCCCGTTTACGTGACTTAAACTGTGATGCCGGACTTTTGAGACGCATACGGGCTGAACCAGGACTAAACCAGGTCCAGGACCAGACCGGGACCGAGACCGGGACCGAGGCTGGGACCAGACCAGTACTGAGACCGGGACTGGGACTGAGGCTGGGACCAGACCGGGACCGAGGCCGGGACCGAGGCCGGGACCGAGGCCGGGACCGAGGCCGGGGCCGGGACCGAGGCCGGGACGAGGCCGGGACAGACCGGGGCCGAGGCTGGGACCAGGCCGGGACTGAGGCTGGGCCGAGGCCGGGCCGGGCCGGGACCGAGGCCGGACCGAGCCGGGACCGAGGCCGGGACTGAGGCTGGGACCAGACCGGGGCCGAGGCTGGGACCAGGCCGGGACTGAGGCCGGGACTGAGGCTGGGGCCGAGGCCGGGGCCGGGGCCGGGACCGAGGCCGGGACTGAAAACGGTTTAGCCCTAGTTTAGTCCTGTTTTAGTCCTGTTTTAGTCCGGGTTCAGTCCGGGTTCAGTCCGAGTTCAGTCCGAGTTCAGTCCGGGTTCAGTCCGGGTTCAGTCCGGGTTCAGTCTGGGTTCAGTCTGGGTTCAGTCCGGGTTCAGTCCGGGTTCAGTCCGGGTTCAGTCCGGGTTCAGTCCGGCATCGCAGTTTAAGTCGTGTAAATGGGAAATGTCCATTATCCGTTTTTTTCATTTTTCATTTAAACACAAAATCAAAACCTGAAAAAATCGAATCGTTATCCATTTTTTCATTTTGGTTTTGGAGACAAATAATGAAGTAAATAGTTGTTTTTTTGTTTTCTTATTTTTGTTTTTATATTGAAAAACGAATAACACTCTGATTTATTGTTACTGTTCCTCTTGTGTTTCAGTCCTCGGAAAATCTCCAGCCGAGCGTTTGGAAGGTGAGGTCCCTCTGTCGTGTGCGGTACAAGAGAGTGATTAGTGTCTGTTCTGTGGAGCCGCTGCTGGCGCGGTGCAGTGTACAGTACAGTCCAGTGTGTTTTTGTGTGTGCAGGCAGCTGATCCAGGCCAACCACAGTGTGTTTGGCTCCAGTCCTCACAGCAGCACAGAGGATCTGTTCACCGACAGCATCGACTGCTGTGACCTGGACATCGCCGAGAAGGTCTGCCCCAAACACCACACGCTCAACACACAAGGGTTTCTATTTGATATATTCTATACACAGTGTTGGGAAGGTGACTTTTAAAATGTAATCCCCTACAGATTACAGATTACACACCCCAAAATGTAATTTGTAACGTAATCCATTAAGTTTTTTTAAACGACATGAATGTAGCAACCACATCCTCAAAATTCTTGTTTGTTGTCTTCAAATTGTCTGAGCCCAAGTCTCCATGAATAAACAACTGTTTGCTGTAGAGAAACAAAGACCACGAGATCTGAATATAAGAGGTTTTGTCTGTTAAAAGACAGAAACAAGATAAGCTTTTCCTTCACCAGATTAAAAAATATTATTGATAGAGAAATTGTATGAGATCACCTTAAATTATGTCAACCTACTGTTAGGTGTCATGTTGTTTAGACCTGGTTTAGTCCTGGTTTAGTCCTGATTTTTAGACCTGGTTTACTCCTGATTTTAGACCTGGTTTAGTCCTGGTTTAGTCCTGATTTTTAGACCTGGTCTAGACCAGGTCTTTAGTTCTGGTTTAGTCGTGGTTTAGTCCTAGTTTAAACCTGGTTCAGTCCTGCTTTAGTCCTGGTTTAGTCCTGGATTAGTTCTGGTTTAGTCCTGGTGTTAGTTCTGGTTTAGAGGCGCACAGGAGGAAGTGCGGTTTACGCGAGAAAACACGGTCCACACGCGGCGCACGAGACGTCGGTGTCTGCGCTGTAACTACGGAAGGAGACGTGGTCCGCGGGTTCTCAGGTTGATGACGATGATGAAGGTGTGTGTTTGTGTTGTGTGTGTGTGTTTGTGTTTGTGTGTGTTTGTGTGTGTGTGTGTGTTGTGTGTGTGTGTGTGTTTGTGTGTGTTTGTGTGTGTGTGTGTGTGTGTGTGTTGTGTGTGTGTGTGTGTGTGTGTGTGTGTGTGTGTGTGTTGTGTGTGTGTGTTTGTGTGTGTTTGTGTGTGTGTGTTTGTGTGTGTGTTGTGTGTGTTGTGTTGTGTGTGTTGTGTGTGTGTGTGTGTGTGTGTGTTTGTGTGTGTGTTGTGTGTGTGTGTGTGTGTGTGTGTTGTGTGTGTGTGTGTGTGTGTGTGTGTGTGTGTGTGTGTGTGTGTGTGTGTGTGTTGTGTGTGTGTGTGTGTGTGTGTGTGTGTGTGTGTGTGTGTGTGTGTGTGTGTGTGTTGTGTGTGTGTGTGTGTGTGTGTGTGTGTGTGTGTGTGTGTGTGTGTGTGTGTGTGTGTGTGTGTGTGTTTGTGTGTGTTTGTGTGTGTGTGTGTGTGTGTGTGTGTGTGTGTGTGTGTGTGTGTGTGTGTGTGTGTGTTTGTGTGTGTGTGTGTGTGTTGTGTGTGTGTGTGTTGTGTGTGTGTTTGTGTGTGTGTTTGTGTGTGTTTGTGTGTGTGTGTGTGTGTTGTGTGTGTTTGTGTGTGTGTGTGTGTGTGTGTGTGTGTGTATATGACAGTAGTACAGATATTATGAGTCTATGCAGGTTGTTTTCACCAGGTGCCAGTTGCTCCGGTTTCACATTTAAGTTGTAGGCGATTTTATATTTGTTTTTTTTTTATATTATCTCACATCGGGAGAAGAATTTCCAAGACACAAATGCGTTTTTACCAATGCACTGCTGCTTCCACTGTGTGACTGACACCGCCAACTTTAACATGACGTTTACATCGCTCTTATTGTCGCGTTCTGTTTGGGCTTCAGGCAATGAGTGGAATTACCGAAATAAAAAAATAAATAAATGGGATGTAGCACAAAATGTGAAAACAGGAAAATACCGCCTTGTAATCCACTTATTTCAGCAAAGTAACTGTAATCCAATTACCACTCATTGAAACAGTAACTGTAACGGAATACAGTTACTCATAATTTGTACTCTGATTACGTAACGGCGGTACATGTAATCCGTTACTCCCCAACACTGTCACACTATACAGGAGTGTTCCAGAGCATTAGGCAGAACACCAGCAGAACCCCTCTGTCACAGAAAGAACACTCATATTCCACTGAGTCACGTCCTTTAGTCTGACAGAAGCTGAACCACATCAGCGCACGATATCGAGCTGTTTTTTTTGAGCGCTTAGTTTATTCAAATTAGCCATGCGGTTTTAAGTTTTGTTTTTGTAAAATGTAAACAAATATGCTCAGATCTGTGTGGATAGGGAAGACTTGCGGACACAGAAACGAATCAGTCCTCACTCTGAGCCTCCATAAAATTCAGTCTTACCGTCTTAAAATCCAGTGTTACACTAAGTAAAAACTGAACCTCGTCATCGGTCCATGAAAAGATTGTTTTTACACTCGCCATCTCCGTCGGCTCAAAGTCAGCTGCTGCAGCTTCAGACTTCCTTGTTTTTACCTCTCACGTGACATCGGGACGTAGTGACGACGTGACACCAGCCGATCACGTGACGAGCGTTTCTGGCGGTTTTGCGTTACCGTGTGGACAGGGAACGCGTTGATTGCGGATAAAGAAACGACGTGTCTGGACGCAGATCGTTTCTGATACAGTGATACGGTGACACGTGGATTTGTTTCAGTGTAAACCGGGTCTTTATGGGTTATTTGTCTGATATGGAAGCTTCACTGATAAAATCTAAAATAAGTTATGAAATAAGGTGAAAATGAAGGTCTTAGACACACACGACTTGTCCATCTTTGCAGCACATTGGAGCAGTGTTCCCACGATCATGGAAATCCTAGAAACGTCATGGAAACTGAAAATGTCATTCTCCAGGCCTGGAAAAGTCATGGAATTTTAGCATCTTTCACACAAATACATCGTTCTGTTAAGTTCTCATTAGACTATTCTGATTATTTCCGAACGTTTGCGCCTTTTCAATGTTTCCCTGCGGCGCAGCATCACAGAATTAAAACCGAGCTCCACAAATTGATTCCACCTCTTTCCCTTTAGTATTTTCTTATATCTAATTATATATAACAACTATATAATAACACAAATAAAATAAATAAAATACTATTTTAAAAAAAAGTTAAATACAAGAACAAGTATAATATTGGTTGAGCTATAGGTCTTGAGTGAAGTATTTGAAATAAAAACCTCAAGACTTACTTGTTTTTTTGTTTTGTTTTGTAATTAATTCCTTGAATTTCAAAAAATCTAAAGTTAAGGTAAAAGCTAAACTTTAACATCAAATTTGGAAAGTAATTCTCAACTTGAAACTTAAAAAAACTGGTCTGTTGGTGGAAGGTCTGAGATTATTTATTTTTTTGACATAAAGTGAAGAACCTATTGTCCAGTCACACAGTCCTTAAAGGTTGTATGGAGGATTTTTTTTTAGTTTCAAATTGTCAGTGAAAGATTAAAATAAATTACAGAGACGCAGCAGCTTTGTAATTATGACGACCAAAAAAAAAAAGAACGAAAATCTATCAACTGTGGACGTGTTGAGGCCAGATAAACATCAGCCAATAGAAAACGAGACTCCCTCATTTTCTATTGGCTGTTGGGTTGTCAATCAAACTCCCAAGTATAACTGACTCGTCGGAGCGCGGGGATTACGTGGTTTACGCAGCGGTTCTTAGAGGCTTTTTCGAACTGTCGCTTCCTCGCATTTCGCACAAAGTTTGTCGCGACAGCAGACGAGAATCCAAGACCTGTTCACCGCAAAAGAAAGTCCGTTTTTGAGGTCGCTGAAAGAAGAAGAGAAGAGGAAAAGGAGCAAAGCCAAACTGAGGTGATTCTTGGAGATCTCGTCCAGCGATGGCGCGACCGAAGCCGACGAAGGGTCTAAAAACTGGTGCGTCGGTCGCTGAATTACTTCTAAACAGGTCACTTCAACAGTAATTCTGAATGCGCACAAGGACTGTCGCTGTATTTCTCTTCCCTTAAAAAAATCCTCTATACAACCTTTAAGTGTCTGTTCCTGCGGTGTGTTTTAGGTGAGTTACCTGGAGAAGAAGGTGACGGAGTTGGAGGGAGACTGTCTGGCCAACGGAGACCTCAAGTCCAAACTCAAGCAGGAGAACACTCACCTGGTGCTCAGGTACAACACCGCGCTGGGTCAGACGTGCAGCATGACAGCAGCCATCACGACTCTTATTAAATGTTTCTGTTAGCAGATCTTCCAAACACAGACTTTAGGGCAGACATGTCAACCTCAGGCCTGGGGACCAAATTTGGCCTGCGATATAATTATATTTGGGCCGCGAGATCATTTAAAGTATGTATTAGAGGTTGGACTCCATAGGTTTTTTAAACTTCATCCTACTCCTTTTGAGCAGCAGGTCCCAAATATGTCATGTATATATCACTATTTTTGTTATTGTTTTTGAATTTTGTTGTACCTGGCTCAAACAAAGAAATAAATGAATGAATGAAAAGAGTTGCCCGCAGGCTACAGATAGACTATAGAGACATTACTTATTTAAAATGTTGTTATTAATTTTTATTTAGCTTGTTCTGGATTCAGTGTTTAAGCAAAACTATTATTAAACATTTATTTGAATAAGAAAAAAATGTAACATTACATATCTCGAACGAAGAGAAAAGATCCAGATATTGTTGAAATTGGTCAACAAATATTTAGTTTGGCCCAGGACTTTAAATTAGAGTTTGACACCTCTGCTTTAGGGGTTGTGTAGCAGAGTCCTGCACTCAACCAAAACAGTTCTACACATTTTGAAAGCTCATTGCAGGCGCGGGCGGGAGCGGGACTGCACGATGCGGGAGTGGGCGAGCGGGATGATAAACTGCAGTCCCGCAAACTAAACATGAGACTAAAGTAAAATATACAAGTGATTAATGTAAGTCTATCATACATAATCTGTGCTGGATATTTTATTTGGCATTAATAAAAACATTTTAAAGGGCCGTTCACACCAAAGTGTCAAAAAACGCCTTGACGCCTCTATTTGGAGCCTTTGCATTTGAGTTTAGACGCCCCCGACGCGCATCTTTGACGCCGTGGACCAACGGGACAAAAATACTTGACGCGCGTCCGTTGCCCTGGAAACAAGAGCCCGGCCCCGATCTTTTCCCGAAACAATGTCAGACCAGACTGAGAGTGTTTTTATGACATAAAACATCAACGGAGGAGATCAGGTCGACGACTGGGGCGGATATATATTTATACTCCACTTAATGACACCGGTCTAGTCCCTGGTCTAATCACTGGGTCTAGTCCCGGTCTAGTCCTGGTCTAGTCCCGGTCTAGTCCTGGTCTAATACCGGTCTAGTCCCGGTCTAGTCCTGGTCTAATCCGGTCTAGTCCTGGTCTAATCATGGTCTAGTCCCGGTCTAGTCTGGTCTAATCATGGTCTAGTCCCGGTCTAGTCCTGGTCTAATACCGGTCTGGTCCTGGTCTAATCACGGTCTAGTCCCGGTCTAGTCCTGGTCTAATCACGGTCTAGTCTCGGTCTAGTCCTTGTTTAGTCCCCGTCTAGTCCTGGTTTGGTCCTGGTCCGGTCCTGGTTTAGTCCTGGTCCGGTCCTGGTTTAGTCCTGGTCCGGTCCTGGTGTAGTCCTCGCGATCGGCTCGGTGATTGTGGCGTATATATTTATTCTCCGCTCATGTTTGTGGTTCTCGCTCTGGTTCTCGGGTTTTTCTTCCTGATAATAACGTCGCGAAAAGTTCAGCATTTTCAACTTCTTGACGCTGACGCCTTGGACGCGCGTCTCGGCCGCTGACGCCAAAACGCTGAAGACGCGCCGCAAAAACGCAGGATGCTCTAGTTCGCGCGTCCACATAGACTTTACATTGAAACTGGACGCTTTGACGCCTTGGTGTGAACGGCCCTTAAGGAGCCTAAATTTATGGACGTGGTCTAATCTCGCGCACATTTTAGACAATTCTTTCCGCTTCTCCGTGTTTGATAGAGCTTAAGAAAGCGAATGTCCCCATTTTGCGGGACTTGGGGGTGCGAGCAGGACAAAATATCACAGATGTGGGCAGGAGCAGGACTGAAAATTACAATTCTTTGCAGGTGCGAGCTGAAAATTCATTTCCGCGCAGATCTCTGTAGTGTAGGGCCCCGCAGCTGAGATCGTCCCAACAGTTTTGTCACTCTTGTCTGTCTGTCCCGCTCTGCCTGGTAGCAAATGTGGAAAAGTGTTGAGTTCCAATTATGTGAGTGGGTGTTGTGTCCTCAGGGTGCACGAGCTGGAGGAGCAGGTGAAGGACACTGTGAGCAGAGCGGATCAGAGCCTGGAGGACGAGTCCAAACGACACAGGGAGGTGTACAGCAAAATGGAACGAGACCGAAACCATGAGATCGAGCTGCTCTGCTCCAGGTAGGCGGGCGATTCACGGACCACGCAGAGAAACGGTGCGGATTATAAACGTTTGCGTGTTCAACAGGATACAAGAACTGGAGGAGGAGAACGGAGACATGAAGTTAAACGTGCGCAAACTCCGCTCCCAGACTGAGAAACTGGATCAGGTACTGACTGTACAGTTAAATTTAATGACCCACTTTCTACGTGTCACAGTCTTAAACGGACCAGCACACGGACCACAGTCTACTTTTAAACTAGAAATTGTGTAGGAAAAACAAGTTACAGAATGTTAGAGCTACAAATGAGGAGGTTGTTTTGACAGAGGACATACCGGTGTTCTGTCGAAATGGGCTTCCCTGTCGAAATGAGCAACCTCAAGTTTTTCCCTTTACAGTTGTATAGAATCAATAAACCCAAACCCTGATCTTCCCAGTTTTACAACATATTTTTTGGGGGATTAGAGACGTGGGTTTGATGCTGTTTGCACACGGTGATCAGACTTTATACCTTAGTTATGTCAAATTTCAACTCATTAATATGAATATGTGTAGTTAGCTCGTATTTTGGAAATCAGCTGGAAAGTCTCCCTGGCTGAAAGGTCCCCAGACTGGAAAAATCCATCTATCATTTGTTCATTCGTTTTTCAATATAAAACCAAAAATAAGAAGATGAAAAAACAACTATTTTCTTCATTATTTGTCTCCAAAACTAAAATGAAAAAACGGATAATGATTAGTTTTTTCAGTTTTTGATTTTGTGTTTAAATGAAAAATGGAAAAAATGGATAATGACTGTTTCCCCTTTCCGTGATTTAAACTGTGATGCAGAACTTTTGCGCCGCATACGGACTGAACCGGGACTAAAAATGATCTAAACCTGGACTAATCCAGGGCTGTAACAGGACTGAAACAGGACTAAACCAAGACTAAACCAGGACTGAAATGGGACTGAACCAGGTCAGGGACTGAGGCCCGGACTGAGACTGGTTTAGTCCTGGTTTAGTCCTGTTTTAGTCCTGTTTAGTCCTTCTGGTTCAGTCCTGGTTCAGTCCAGCATCGCAGTTTAAGTCACGTAAACGGGAAACGTTTAGTTGGTTTAGTCCTGGGTTTAGTCCTGGTTTAGTCCTGTTTCAGTCCTGTTACAGCCCTGGATTAGTCCAGGTTTAGATCATTTTTAGTCCCGGTTCAGTCCGTATGCGGCGCAAAAGTTCTGCATCACAGTTTAAATCACGGAAAGGGGAAACAGTCATTATCCATTTTTTTCCATTTTTCATTTAAACACAAAATCGAAAACTGAAAAAATGAATCGTTATCTGTTTTTTCATTTTGATTTTGGAGACAAATAATGAAGAAAATAGCTGTTTTTTCACTTTTCTTATTTTTTTGGTTTTTATATTGAAAAACAAACGAATGAATGATTCAAAAGTTCCCATAAATGTGCGGCACTTGTAGGTCGCTTGTGCTGGACTCTACATGTTTTCAAGTTTTACCATCTTGTTCTTTTTTCCTGAGGTAGTTTTGGCAGAGATTGGACTTATTTTGTTATCTTTTATCTTTTTTTTTAACCTTTGTCTGTTCAGTTCTTACCTTTGTACCATTTCAAGCTCTTCATTGGACGTGAATTTCAATAAATAACTGGAAAAATGAGGCTGTTCTGAAACTTTTGACCAGTAGTGTGTGTTCAAAATGCTCCAACCGACCTCCCCCTGACGTGTGTGTGTTTGTGTGTGTGTGTGTTTGCAGGAGAAACAGAGGATGTCGGACAAGCTGGAGGACACCAGTCTGAGGCTCAAGGACGAGATGGACCTGTACCGGAAGATCATGGACAAGCTCTGGCACAACCGCCATGAGTTCCAGAAGGAGAAGGAGGCCATGCAGGAGGTGAGACGCTCTGGGATAAACGGCGCGACGACAGAGCGTGACTAAAACGTGTGTGTGTTTGTGTGTGTGTGTGTTTAGTTGATAGACGACCTGCGGCGCGAGCTGGAGCACCTGCAGCTCTTCAAACTGGAGGTGGAGCATCCGGGCCAAGGGAAGAGTCTGTGCGAGCTGAACGCCCGAACCAGAGAGATCGAGATGGAGCACGAGGTCAAGAGGCTCAAACAGGTGCTGCACTTTACACGTTTAAACATTTTAAGTGCGTTTGACAGATTCACGTTTTTGCTAAAAAGACCTGGTTTGGTGAGATAATATTTGTGAAATTCCAGATTTATCAGAGTTTTACATCAGTTAAGTTGTATTTTGTGAAGAAAAATTAGGAATCAAAATGTACAGAAAATACAGAAAGTAGTGTTGAGTTCTAAAACAATCCGTGCATCATTCGTTCGTTTGTTTTTTAAAGTAAAAAAACAATTTTCTTCATTATTTGTCTCCAAAACCAAAATGAAAAAAAAAAAAAAAAAAAAACACAACAGATTTTTTATGATTTTGTGTTTAAAAGAATAATGGAAAAAAAATGGATAACGCCAGGACTGAGCCAGGACTGAGCCAGGACTAAACCAGGTCTGAGCCAGGTCTGAGCCAGGACTGAGCCAGGACTGAGCCAGGACTGAGCCAGGTCTGAGCCAGGACTGAGCTCAGTGAGCCGGGACTGAGCACTGAGCCTCACTGAGCCAGGACTGAGCCAGGACTGAGCCAGGACTAAACCAGGTCTCAGTCTCAGTTGTGGCCTGGTCCCGGTCGGTCCTGGTTTCAGTCCCGGTCCGGTCCTGGTTTCAGTCCCGGTCCGGTCCTGGTTTCAGTCCCGATCTGGTCCCGGTCTGTTCCTGGACCCATTCCCGACACTCAGTCCTGTCTAAGTCCTGTTTTAGACCTGGTTCAGTCCTGGTTTAGTCCTGCTTTAGTCCTGCATCTTAGTTTAAGTCACATAAACAGGAAATGTCCGTTACCCGTTTTTTTTCCCTATTTTTCATTTAACCACAAAATCGAAAACTGAAAAAACAAATCGCTATCCATTTTTAAAATTTTTGTTTTGGAGACAAATAATAAAGAAAAATTTTGTTTTCTTCATTTTCTTATTTTCAGTTTTATTTTGAAAAACAAATGAACGAATGATACACGGATTTAAAACAAAATCCCGCTACCTGTTCCATTCAAAATGCAGAGAAATTTTCTGATAGTTTAACGTGTTGTAAATGATTTTTTGTCCAAACAAAACTGTGTGAGTGTATTTTTGACGCTGCTAGGAAATAAAACCAGGAAATAAAATGATAAAATTCACAAAAATGACAAAACTAGAACCGATTAAGCAAATTTTAGATTAAAAAAGTAGTTGTCATAAGCTGTTTTAATTAAATCAATTTTCAAAAACATGTGTTGCTTTGTGTCTAACTGCCTCTATGTTTATTTTTTTAAGGAAAACTACAAACTCCGAGATCAGAACGACGACTTGAACGCCCAGATTCTCAGTTTGAGCCTGTACGAAGCGAGGAATCTGTTCTCCTGCCACAGTAAAGCTCAGTCTCTGGCAGCCGAGATCGACAGCGCCTCCAGGGACGAGGTGAGTCTCCCCCACACCTGCTTCTACAAAAACTGCTCTACAATTATCCCGCTGGTTGTACTCAAAGCTTCCTGCGTCTGTGTTTGTGTTTCTGTGTGTTTCTGCAGCTGGTGGACGCTCTGAAGCACCAGGAGGAGATCAACCTGCGTCTGAGGCAGTACATGGACAAGATCATCCTGGCCATCCTGGAGCATAACCCGTCCATACTGGAGATCAAACAGACCTAACATAGGCCTCTGTGTTTACACTTAGATGAGAGTTTAGACATGCACCACGAGCATTTCACCAACAGAGGGAGCCAGGGTCTGTCTATAGTGTCAAAGTCATTACAGTCATCCTCCTCGTTTAGCCCGCTGTGGGAGCACTTATACGCCTCACGCTCCGGACTGCCACTCAAACAGGGCTTAGAGTCACACGTTCATTTGCCAAAGCTCACGTGCGTTAGTAGTAACTGATCCCCTCAGCTGTAATTACTCAGTTGTGACATTTCCTTCCATCCTCTATATCTTGTGATTATTCTGTGTGGAGATGCTCTGCGCAGGTTCCTGTGGTCGAGACTCAAAACTGACACTGGTTTGTGACACGCGCTGTAAAGATGACAGAATGTTTGACCGTGTGCTTCAGAGGACACGTCTCTGAGCGTCTAGATTGTCCACATCAGAACCACTAGACTGTTTAGCCCATAGACTGTTTGGTTTAGTCTCATAACCTCAGCTCTTTGTCTGGAGATGAAGAGTCTGTCTGAAGCACTTGAACTGACGACTAGAGCTGCTGCTGCTTTAGTAGAAGCTGTGTGTCTGAGGACTCTGACCTGTGGCATCTCATGTGATGTAAAAACATGATCTTTATATGATCTTTTTCAGTGTCCCATGCTTAAGCTAGCCAAACACCACGGTGTTCCTGAGAGGAGGCAGCGCGGGGCTGCTACACTGCACTAAAGTACGATGTAGTTGAACTAGTTTTGCTTTGTTGCACAAAGTGTATTTCTGGTAGTTTTGCATCTTCTGTTGACAGTGTGGAATATGGTATGTATTTATGCACAAATATAGTGTTCTGTTCAGATGTCACTTTGATTTAATCACATATTTATTGACACATCACAATGTAAATCATCTGTAAATGATTCTAATCACAGTGTGCTGGTTTCACCACTGTCTTTGGTGAACATGTGTGCGGATATAACTTCACAAAGTGAAATGACATTTGACATAATAAAGTCACTTCATACAAGAGTGGACTGAACATTTATTTGAGAATGTTCTTCTTTGAATTGTTCATGTTTTATGTTTTATGTAAAGTTTATGTTTTAAACTTGTTGTAGTGTTTGTGGTGGTGTTTCCCCTCCGCGCCGCTTGGTGTCAGCAGTTCTCCACAGACCTGCCGCCAAAAACCCTGTTTGACAGAGGCTGTTTTCTTTGGGCTGAAGCTCCGACAAAAGCAGCGCAAACATCTCATCATTTTTACTCCAAACTGCCCCACAAGAGCCCCCAGAGCCGCCATGTACGCCAGCTCCAACCCGGGCAGCGCGCACGGAGACTTCCAGGACAGGAACGGAGTCAACTACGTGTCCTCCGCCGAGTCTTTCGGACACTGCTCGCAATTGTTCTGGAAAAAGGACCCCAGTGATTCCGGAGTAAGAGCCTGTCCTGCTGTTAGCGGGCTACAGCCCACTGCACCCACCACACTGCACCCACGGTGCACACAAAGCACCGGACACACACCGAATTAAACACGATGTTTAAAGACACGAACACGCGACGTTTGCGCCGCTCAGACGCGACTTTATGTGCAGGAAAACTGAGGAGGGGGACATTATGTCAACAAATAGCATCGTTAGCGTCTTCGTGCTTAGCGGCTAATGGCCTAGTTGGACTTTTGCGTAGTACACAACTATTTCCATCACATCAAACTCTTAGATACGGGCGTATTACGGGTGTAAAATGGTTTAGTTCTTTGTGTGCACGCGAATGTAAATAGTGCAGCCCCGTGCGCGTGTCGAGCCTGCGCCTCCTGCGCCTCCTGCAGCTCCTGCACAGCCCGTCCAGCCTGTCCGCTCACATCCGCAGGCTCCTCTCTCCACAGCTTTGATGCTTGATCGGTAACGTCCACTGTCTGCTCCAGAGACCAGTCCGAGCATCATCCCCGCGCGCGCACGGCCTCAGGAACAGTCTGGTCTTTTTGCGTCTGGACACATGGAGATCTCCGCGCGTGCGTGAGGCCCGTGGTATTGTTCGCGAGCAGAGCAGAGTAAACACGGGGAGACTGTCCCGCAGGAAACCGGAGCGGAAGACGCCCCGTGGAGGACTCTGAAAGACCCTCTTTGTGATGCCAGACTACTGTGAAGTTCAGTCAGGCCGGACAGCACCGAGCCATTGTTGACCACAGAGCTGCACACACGCCACAGGCTTAACAATGTTACACCACGTTAACGTAAAACTGCACATTATAGTCCATAAAACTCTTTAACCACAGTTTAGTGTCTGGTGACAGGTGAAAAGTGACTGTGAGGTTTGTTGACAACCTTTTCTCCCTTTGTCTGAGTAAACACAGAGCAGCCTCTTCACTGTGGAGTATTTTCATGTTTAATTGGTTAATCTCCAGTATGGGATGAATTATTTAAATAAATTACAACATGAATATGCGTTTATAATCTCACTAAAAGGTTGTTTATGTAAAATATGATATTGAAGCCGGTGCTTAACCCCGTCATGTAACTTTTTAATCAAAAACTAAACGCATGTTTTCATTTCATTTTAGATGCATTAAAACAAAAGTAGAAAATCTGTATCCTTGCTGTGAGCGAGCTTACGTCTTTACAGATCTAACTTTTTGATCTGGAGCAGTGCGGCCTCCTGATTGTTTCCATGAACATTTTTTTTTTTTCAGATATTATAATCCACAGTTTGGTAAGTATGGTTTTTACTTTCTATTTCTACAGAATTGTGCAGGTGACGTGTCAGGTCCAGAATGTTACAAGGTGTTGCATTAGTTAACAACTGTTTGGCCAATTTAAAGTGTTTCTAAAGATGGAAAGTCACCTGCATGAGTCCACTGAAATGGAAAGTTCAATCATGCTTTGAAACATTCTCCATGGAGATAAACAGGTTATATGCCGCACTGTGGAACATTACAGCAAAAGGTGCAACATTTCCACAAAAACGAGCAGGAAGAGGCCTCCCCAGCAAAATAAGAGTCAGATTTGTGGATATGCAAGTCTGCTCATTTTATATATTTGTTTTTCAGTGCAATACAAATATCCATAAAGAAAAACCTTACTTTTATTTCAGTTTATTTTCAAGGGAATATGAAAACTGTTCACTCACAACTTTCTCTCTCTCTCTCGTTCTAGCCGAGTTCGACCATCAGCTGGTGCGAGCAGCTGCCGCCCTCCTCCGCGGCGCTGTCCGGCTCCAGCCTGTCCCCGGCCTCTCTGTCCCTGGAGCCCTCCGCCCCGCCGCCCGCCCCCCTCCGCTCCACCCACGCCGGCCTCGGACATCGCCCCCTCAGCCCCGGACGACACGGAGTCCGACGAGCGGCCCTATGTCTGCGACCTGTGCAACTGCGCCTACAAACACGCCAGCTCCCTGCTCAACCACAAGCTCACGCACAAGATCGGAGACTTCAAGTGAGGATAACTTTCACTAGATCGGGATGTTAGAGGCCGATCACTGAACTGACCATGTTCATTTTTAAACAGCCGATACTTGGGGTGTAACAAAAAACTAAATATTGTAATGTCGTATCGTCAAAAGTCTCACAATATCGCGAGCCGCCACAATATATCGAGTTATAAGTTCCTTTAAACATCGGGAACTACATATCCCATGATTCATTTCAGCACAGACAACATGAAGAGTTATGTTTTTTACTTGAATTCTTGAGATTATGACCGTAATAATTCACACCAAAATCTTGTCAAGGTATTTTAAAAGCAAAAAAAAGCGTCCCATCTACAATTATATCAGCTTTTCCAGAATATCGCAATAAATATCGTACCGTGAGATGCATATCGTGATAATCGTAGAGAGATATTTGGATATAGTTACATCCCTAGTCGATCATGTTGACTTTGTGAGAAGAAAAAACTGGTTTATAGGATCGATAGAGTTTAGTTACATGATGTTTTGAATTCTGAATTAAATAGTTCAGGATTCAAATATTCTCCTCCGAGTTTACATGGAAATAATAATTCCGATTTGAGGTTTACATGGAAAACACGTTAAATCGTCTATTTAATTCTGCTGAATGTCTGGAGGTGGGGAATGGTTCTGATTGGACAGAGACACGAACGTATTACATCTCTGGGAAGAAAACACACACTTCAGCTGCTACCGGCTTTTCTGTCATCTCCGTTTGTCGTTACGCCGCGGACACAAACACGATCCAAAGTTTTGTCGCAGTGGTTTCGATGATAATTGCGCAGCAGCTGGAGAATTCTCTCATCACGCTTTACGTCTGTCGGCTGAGGAGGAGAAGGAAAGAGTGTCGGACAAGGGAGGAAGAAGACAAACTGAGTGTGAGGCTGCTCTACCTCAGCCCACTCCCGCATCCCGCTCACAAATCCAAAGAGACGTGGATGAAAGTCTGAAGCCAGGACTGGTGGAGCCAGTTGTTCAGACCTTCTGAGCATGCGCTGAACAACTGGAATTATTTTTAAGAAGAATAAACATTTACATGATCGAGTAATAAATTAATTTATCTTTAAAATCTGAATAAACCACCTGCTTATTTAATTTAATTTAATTCCGAATAATCATTTTCATTAGGATCTAAGTGTTTACATGGTCTTTTTAAAGCTGAATTCATTTTTATTCAGAATCAAATTATTTTTATGCAGAATTAAAGCTCTCATATAAACGTGGCAGATGTTGGCCTATAATGTTCTTCTGCCCATCAGTGAACTCTGTGGTTTTACTTGAACACTGTGTTTTAAAGTTTCACTACTGTATCTCAGAAACAATTGAGGGAACTGTGAAACTTACTCAAGCCCACAATTGGTTTCTGTTTGACAAAGAGACAAACACATTCGGACTCTACACTGTAAATCTACACTTCTAGTGAACTGACAATTTTCCTGAAGCTCAAGCTGCTCAAGACTAAGGCTACTTCCAGACTGCACATGAAGTGACCCAAATCCGATTTTTTGGCCCCTATATTTCTGTATCTGATCTTTTAATGTCAGTCTGAACAACACAGATCCAATTTTTTCAAATGCGACCCAGGACACTTGGATATGTGCACCTAAAACCGATACATATCTGATCTTTTGACATGTGACTTCAGTCTGAACAGCCAAAGCGCATTCATCCGACCTACACGTTATCAACAAACCACAAACGTCACTATTCTGCACTGAAGTAGGAGAAAATTGTTAATGAACTCCGTGTCACTGAAGCGAAGCACATCACCACTCACCACTCTTGGCTCCGTCTCCACATCCACACGTTCCTTTCAACGGACTGAACCACAAAACACCACGACCAAAAACCTCGTCCTTCTCCTTCTCAATCTCCTCCTTAAAACAAGTAAGTTGTTCCTGTTCGGGCTCCGGTACGAGAGGAACTTTAAAATCTCCAGATCCTCAATGCTGCGTCCATGTTTGGACAACTTCTGTAAACACAGAGACGCTCGCTGCGGTTGACGCCGTCGTGTCTCCAGTGCACATGCGGGACACTTTGGGGCTGTTTAATGTTCACACTGGAGTCACATACAAGTCACATTTAATTGGAAATGTGAACGACCTCACAAAAACATCGTATTTCACAAAAAAAATCCGAATTGAGCGTTAAGCCCTGCAGTCTGAACGTAGCCTTATTTATATCATCAGTTTTCTTATCCCTGCTTTGTTCTCTGTCCCAAACCAGGTGTGACTTCTGCAGTAAGCCCTACACAAACTACATGTCCCTGAGGAATCACATGCGCATCCACGGACAGAAGCGCTACATGTGCGACCTGTGCGGGAAGGCCTTTCGCTTAGCCCGCTACCTGCGCAACCACCAGCGGATCCACGACGACGGGCCCAACCGCTTCGACTGCCCCTCCTGCTGCAAGAGCTACAGGACCATGCTGGAGCTGGCCCAGCACCGCTGCAGTGCTGCCGCCAACAACCAGGTACGTCCCACCACAGCATCGGTAACATCATAATAGACCAGAATCTGTAGCTGACAGTGACATGTTTTCAGATTTTTGGATCAGTTGTACTACATTTGTGATCTGTCAAATTTAGGGGGTATTACGCAAAATCGGCTTTTTGGAGCTTTACACCACGTTTTTGTTTCCTCATAAAACCTGCCTGAAGAGGTTTGAATGTCGTCTATGAACTTTTTGAGTATTTTAGTGATCTCTCTATTCGAACTAGAGGTCTGCGCGGGACAGTATTTTCAGTCACGCATCTGCAATATTTTCAATCAGTCAATCAATCAAACTTTATTTGTACAGTACTTTTGCTTCACGCGCAACAGAAAAATTACAATACATTAATTAAACAACAATTTAAACATAAACATAAAACATAAACATAAAACGTTATAGTAAAAATGAAAAGATCAGATGGAGACTAACTAAAATAGTAATGATAATTTAATTTTAAACAACTATAATAATAACAGTAATAATGCAAATTTAAGTTAAATCAGGTAAAAGTTTCAATTAAAATCTAAATTAAAAAGATACTTTTTGAGTTTATTTTTAAAAACATGAACACTCGCAGCGGACCTCAGATCCTCAGGTCGACTGTTCCACAAACGGGGGCCGTAAAAGCCGAATGACGCCCCGCGATTTTGTCCCGCTCCTGCCCGCAAGAAGAGGACGTTCGCTTTCTTTCTCACAAAAGGTCTTTTCGTTGACTCTTCGAAGCTCCAACAAACACGGAGAAGCGGAAAGGAATTGTCAAAACTGTGCGTGAGATTAGAGCAGGCGTGTCCAAACTACGGCCCGTGGGCTAAATGCGGCCCTCAGACAAATTTTTCTTGGTCCTCAGGCTTCCATGTAAATTGGACCAAATCACCTTGCATCAAAATTAACTTTTTACTAAGGCTGATACTTAATATTTAGTGTGTGGTTTTAAGGATCTCAACATGAATAAAGTCTCATGGATCATTCTAACGTGTTTAACATGGACATGCTTCAATTATTCACTGTACTCGAGCACCAGTCTACGGTCCCCGATCGGCCCTTTGCTTCGTCTCTGTTTAGATATGTGGCCCTCGATGAAAAAAGTTTGGACACCCCCACTTTACACTCAGATTTAGTTTGCGGGGCTGCACTTTATCATCCCACCTGCCCGTTCTCGCATTGTACAGTCCCGCTCCTGCCCACAGTGAGCTTTCAAAACGTGTCCCGCGCCGCACTGTTTTCCGTCGGGTCTAGGGGTGGGCATGATTAATCGATAATTGATCATTAAGAATTTCATCGATTACGTTAATTTTAATGGACAAACCGAATGTAGGTTGTTGTGCGTAGCGTAGAGTGACCAAACAGGTGTGTACATGTGTCTCTGCATCAGAAGCAGCGAGACACAAACAGTGGGTCAGTCTGTAACGAACCGAAGCACAAATGTGTATTTAACGATGATTTGTACAAGAAATTCCACACTTTCCGTTGCGTTCGGGACAAGTGTGAGTCCATGTGCACAGTGTATAAAGCAGCACATATGTTTCTGGGTGTCCAGTGGGAAAAAGTTTTACCAGGTGAGAGTCGCTCAATGTGGATGACGAGTCCCCACCTCCCTCCCCCCGTACGGTGTCCTGGTTTTGACAAACGCAAATCTGGTCACACTAACCTGTATTCACCTGAGTCATGTCATTTAATCCGACAGAAATTGACCGCATCAGCGACACGAGCTGTAGTTTTATCTTCGCTTAGTTTATGCAAATTAGCGATGCGGTTTTAAGTTTTGTTTCTGTGAGAGTTGCGCAAAACTGAATTAAACACATTATAATGTCAAACAGCTGATGTGGCTCTAGAGTGATTACGGTTTATATGTCGTAAAGTTGAATTTATTTATGCAGATTAGTGCAGATAGTAATAATAACGATGATCATTTTAATATAAAAACGTTAATGATTAATCGATAATCGATCGTTAATTCTTCCGACGATCGATTAAGAAAATTTCATCGAATGCCCATCACTAGTTGGGTCCTACGAGTGCAGGGCTCTAATTCGAACCCTTTTCACGTTTAGCTGTAGAATCCTGTTCAAGGCTCCGTCCACAAGCCTACGTCAAAACAAAAAATACACTAAAAGTTGACAAACCTGGTGAGATGTGTAGCTGGATAAATGCTGAATCCGCTCTGAAAGGGTAGTGACTTAAATGGAGACTATCAAAAGCGAAAACTGAAACTAAACATTTTAATTTGTGGTTTTGGGCGAATATAGCATTTTCAAAACTATGAAAGTAAACATGGTGATCTAAACGTTACCCCGCAGAAGTGTAATACCCCCTCAATCTCTCAGTCTGGTTTTATTTTGACAGATTTCTGTGAACACTTTGTGCTTTGTAGACCAGGGTCAGGAGAGGTGTAGGCTGAGTTTAGGGAGAGAGAGGGATGTAGTCCGGTTCCTTATATTCATTTTTTAACCTTAGTGGGAATTTTTGGGGGATTTGCTTAACTATATATTT